TGCTTCCCAGGATGCTGAGAGTTTTGTCACTGTTCCAGAGTCAAATGCATAAGCAACTCCTTTGATTTAAAAGGCCAAGTTCACGATGGCAGTCTTCTATAGAGAATGTACAAAATTTAAAGCATAGACCGCACAAACGTACTCTTAAACTGTGATATGTTTATCAACCGGAGACTTGATTATGATTGAGATCTGGGCTTTTATTAAATGTACATGTGTTTAATTTGTCATACAAAGACAATATAATTCAGCATTGATGTTTGGAGCTTTCCTCTGGAAAGTGCAGTAGTCTAATATGCAGGACGCTTGAATTGGAATTCTGTTGCCACAGTTACTTTAAGCCTATATCTCAGTGGGTTTATTGGAGAAGGTTTGGGACATAGGACTTGAGTAGTTTGATGCTGTGAGAATAAATAAACCAAAGAGCTGACCAGGACCAAATTCAATCCCTGTTCCCTCAACTGAGTTATTCATCTTTTGCCAAATTCAAACAAGGATTAGTAATACACAGCAACAGACGACTCAGCACAGTACCCTGTGATGGTTTAACTGTAAGCTACTGTCTAGTTGTACCTTGAATATTAGTCTGACACACATACTTATCTGTATAGTGCTCTGGACAAACTATACCACTGAGCTGGCCAGCGGCACAATCGTAGCTTTGCTTGGATTTATTGTGCAGGTAACTAGGTCCCATCACAGAGGTCGTGTGATGCCTGTGAGATAGGCATGAAATCTGCCCAGTGGGATATCCTGCTTTATAAGCTTTCACTGTGTCTGGGAAAAATGCAAGCTGATTTCAAAGCTGCTTTTTGGTGAGAAGATGCTCTTTGAAGACTAGATGAAGAGAATCTACAGTATAAGCAAAACTATCAGCCAGTGAAGCTTCGGCTTTAGATGAAGTTACCCTCATTTTGATCTGAAATTTGAGATGCTCTCAGTTGATGATGCTATATTCTGTTGCCTGCCTTTCAAGGCCGGTCTCAAGACCTTTCTCTTTGACCGAGCCTTCAGCTCCCCTCTCAACTCTCTACCCCTTCCTCGCTCCCTCCCTCCCCTCCCCCTGACCATTTCCCCCCAATGCTCGGGTCCTGACCCAACTGTCCAGCGCCTTGGGACGTCCTCCCGACGTGAAAGGCGCTCTATAAATGAAATCTTGTTGTTGTTGTTATAGTCAACTTTTCAGTTTACTTATATTTGAATTCACTCCTTAATCTCCCCCCCCCCCATTCTTTCTCCATCCATTTCCCTTAGACATTTTTCATACATATGGAATGTGTTATCCATCGAAGTGTGAACTGCTTCACCCAAAGGAGAGTAACATACCCACAGTTTCTAATGGCAACTTTAATAAAATGCTCATTGATGCTGCATAAGTATCACTACAGATTCGGTATAGCAAATGCTTTGACCAGCATTTGAAGGATTAAACGTGCGTTGCTGAATTTCAATCAGATGTAGCTGTTAGAATATTTGTGCCATGTTTAAAATAAACATATCCCAAACCAATAGAACTAATCAAGCCAGAGAACTTCATTCTTTTTATGTTAATTCTCTTTAAATGTTGCCAATGGTTCTGAGACTGTGAGGTGAGGTTGGAATTATAAAACTGGATGTACCGATTTCTAACAGAATGCCAAATAGTGTTGCTCAGAATATGAAAGGTTTTTATTGTAACCTTTAAGAAACGTATCGTCCTTCCAATTTATTCCAATTCAAATGTTTTAAATGCTTAGCTGTCTGAAAATCTGAATTGATCTGTGATGTCAATGGAATCTCTTAGAACCAAGCCAGCAGACAACAATCATCATTCAAAATATGATGTGAAATGGTTCAGTTCTCACTTATTGTTTTTAACCATGAGTGAATATATCAGTGCTGATACCATTTTCAAAGGATTTTTCTTGCCTCTTGCAATGATTGGCCACATTATTTTAACTGAAATCAGTGCTTCCCAGAATAGGTAGTTTTAGCAACTATTGTGATCTGATTCTAATTTCTATTTTGAGATATTAAAATAAATCTTCTGAATTTAATTCAAAGTGCTCACTTATGTCTGCATTTCTTACTCTCCAACCTGCCTATAGTAGTGTCTGACGTACTCTAGGGCAACTGGAGCCAGCGTTCTGCCCCTTTTACATTACAGAATGGAATCCAAAGCATCAGTGATATCGTGGAAACAACTGTGTATATATTAACTTGTTCATCTATATGGTTGTTCTTAAACATGCTGGAGCGACCTTTCTGGTCAAGGCTTTCTGATCTCTGGGGAGAGCCAGTGAAATAAAACTTACTTAGCCATAACACTTACAGAGAACAGTGCCATTGCCTTGCTGTCCTAGAAGCATGTTTCCAGGAGCAGAATAAGTAACACTTCAATGCAACACTTATCTGCCACTAAAGACATGACTGCCATTTGGAATATAAAGAGAATTAATTACAAATTTAGTTTCTGGCATCTAAGCTACAGCAGTGCAAGCATATTAATACAAATCCATAATGAACTCATTACATTTAGGAAATAAAAAATAATTTCCTCATGGTTTTGCAAAACACAATTTATCCTGTATATATGTTTGTTCAATTTTAAATGAACTCTGCTGTTTGCAATTCCCTTTCTGTGAAACAGAATTTCATAAACTAGCAATTTTTTTTAAAAAAGTGGCTATAAATTGAAATGCAACTTCATAGTGTGTTGCATCATATAATTATACATTCCATGCCTTTAAACTAAATATATATGTATGACATAAATCTCCTTTTACAGCAACCTGAAGCCTTTAAGACTGTGATGTTGGTATTCATTTTTATCTTTTGAAGGGAAGGAGGGGCAAGATAAATTTTATGAATCAGAATGTGCCTTTGTTTGAACATGCTGCTAATGGATGAGTTGGCAAATAGTGTTAAAATAGTCAAACCTTTCAAGTTCAGAGGTGGCACTGGGGAATTGAGCCAAGGGAACTTCAAAGTCGGCACAGCAGGACAGAACGTGTTTGAAACTGGATAGATTAGAAGCCATTATCAGTCGTTTGCTATGATGTGGTGAACAAAGGCATGTTTCTCCCTTTTGGAATAGGGGCAGTGAAGTGTAAAGAAACTTCGCAGCACCATACTTAGGAACTGGCACTCGCTGCCAGCCATGTATAGTGTGAGGCCATGAAATGCTGGCACCTCCAACTTCATCTTATCACTAAACTCAACACACCTATATAATTAGAGCAGGATGGTCTTTTCAACAATAGCAGAAATCCTGGGGGAGTATAGAGTCACCTTGATACACTTCTACATCTAGTTTCCTTTTCAATTCACTTTGATTAATAGCTAATAGGATTTCTGTTGGTAGTGCAGGATAAGTTGCCTGTGGCCAAGACACAGAGACTTTGTCTTTTCTATTGTTTAAGGCTAACTGTTCATTGCTGTTGGTGTTCTATGCATTAATACACAATCTATGAAAGCAGAAATTTACAATGTAGCAAACAGCATTAATGGATCTGATTTTTATAGAATTTACAGCATAAAGGAGATTTGTTATGTGTTTTATGAATGGAATGGCACGGTGTAGTTTCAATTCCATCAAATTAGTGATTTCTGTTTGTTTGCAGAATTGTATGTTAAAATGAGACTAGACCTGGAAAGAAAAATAACCATGATTGCTTGCTCTTGACAACTGGCTATGGATGACATTGTCCTCAACCTGCTGTTATATCCAAGTAGTACCAGGAATGAGGGATCTTGATGATGAGGAAAGGCGAGAGAGGCCGGGATTATTCTCATTGGAGCAGAGAAGGTTACGAGGAGACCTAATAGAGGTCTTCAAAATCATGAGGGGATTTGATAGGTTAGAAAGGGAAAAACTGTTTCCACTGGTGGGTCTGTCAGTGACTCGAGGTCGCAGATTCAAAATAGTCTCTAAAAGAAGCCGAGGGGAGGTGAGAAGAAATGTTTTCATGCAGAGAGTTGTTCGAATCTGGAACACATTGCCTGAAAGGGCGGTCGAGGCCGATTCAATAACTACTTTTAAAAACGCGGTGGATGGGTATTTGAGGAGGACAGTTTTGCAGGGTTATGGGGAAAGGGCTGGGGAGTGGGATTGGCATTGCTCTTTTCAAAGAGCCGCACAGACTCGATGGGCCGAATGGCCTCTTTTTGTGCTGTACGATTCTGTGATGATTCTTTGATAGTTGTTAGCATGGAGAAAGTCAGACAAGAGGCCGAGAGTATATCTTTTCTACCATGCTTTTGGACCGCTTCCTGCTGCTTGGCCAGTTAGTATTGCCCAACCCATTAGGACTTTGGCTTGTGGTGTAAATGGGAATTAAGTGGGAAAAATCCTTGCTGCCAATGACTTGTCTGCCCCTCTAATTCCTGCCAATGAGCCAGGCTGGCTGGTCTGTCAACAGTAATGCCCTAGAGGACTGTGGGTTCAACTGGCTCAAGAATTGGACTACGAGACTGCCACAGATGGTTGACCATTCTGCCTTTTTTGTGAAACACGTCATGTTACCTTGGAACCACTTCATCTGCAAAGGGATTCCGCTTAGCACTTTTTCCCCCTCTTTCCCCCCCCCCCCCCCCACTGGAGGATAGTCTTTCATGAGCCAGTTGGGTTTGTTTGGTGGTTTAACACTGATATGGCTGTTTTATGTCTTTTGTACCATTGGACTTCCTTGTGTTATACAAAAAGTACATTTGGTGAATGTTTGCAAAGTGTAAAATTCACCACTCAAAAAAAGTATGTTTTTTAAACTGTTTAATCCACCGTCACTTGGGGTTCTGTTTTTCAGGTAAATATGCTATAATGTATTGTGTTTATGGATTTAAACCTTCATTCTCCCTTTCCTCTCTTCCTTCTGCTCACCTCCTCCTCCTCCTGAGTCCCATTGCTCATCCACTCCTTTTAATATTTTAATACCCAATATATATTTGTTCTATGAAATTGGGAAGAACATCCTTGTCAATATGTTTTGAGTTCATGTGAAATCTCATTTTTTTCCTGATAGAGATGGGATCCCACCATATAGAATCCGAAAACAACATCGGCGGGAAATGCAAGAAAGTGCCAAAGCAAATGGACGAGTGCCGCTACCTCATATTCCTGTAAGTGTCATTTTTTAAAAACGTCTTTCCTAAAGTTGGCTAAAGAATGGATGATGAATTGGCATGTATAGTCAGTTGGGTTTTCACTAAGTCTCATGCCTGTGCTTACTTTGCAGTTTGCCCTGCTTTTCAGCATCTAATTAATCATGGAAATCCATTAAATTGTTCAGCTATTGACTTCACAACAGAAACAAAAGCTATAGTGAAATGCCTTCATTGTACAGAATATACTTTGTATTTTGCACATGTGTGTTATAGAGGGCTCTGTTTGATGTAGTGAAAGTTAATTTGTTGTACAATTTCATTTTATTGTCCATTGTTATTGTACTTAAGTTATAGTGTGTTGTATATATTTTTCATGATGTATAGCATACATGATACAGTGTGACAGGTAGTGTACCTTTCAGAGTGGCTTGCAGATGACCCTGGCAGTTAGCTAGCTCTGGTAAGTAGTAATTGTATTTGAGTGTGATTGCCAGTTGTGGATGCCTGAAGGTGTGGCTGGACAGTTGTAGCTTTGAGTGTCCACAGCTGGATGAATTGATGTGTAAATTCCTGCCTTATTTCCCCAAGTCAGAAGCTATACATTACTTGTATTAGTTTTAACAGAAGTAACATTCTGTTGTAACAGAAACATTCGTCAGAGCTCTCTTATTAATATTTTCTCTTACTCTTATGTAATATTTGTGCAAAAGTTATCATTTTCCTTGCTCCCTTTCAAATATTTTAGAAGAAAGTATTGTACCATGTATTGGTACTATAACGTCTGGCTAGTTGCCAGATGTTACCCTCAGCTCTACTATCTACTTCTCATTGGTGGCAATGGAGGAACTGATGCTAAAACATACAGTGTTGACGCCTGGTTTGGAAGCTGCATGGAATCCTAAGCCACACCAGTGCTTAAAAACAAAATCTAAATGATCACCGTCTGTGTTAGATAATAATGTTAGAAAAACATTATCCCATGTGTTTTTCAATTTTTTTGTTTTGATTTAATCCAACCCCTGTAAAACAGGAAGCCAGGGATATCCTAAAGCTCTTTAAATGTTTAAAACCTTTTAATGGAATGTTTCATTGTAAAGGGTGAAATTGGGGTAGTTCTGCCTCTAAATAGTATTTTAATTCTAAGACCAGAGAGGACAGTATAATTTTTGTGAAAGAACTTTACAGAGGGGAATGGGATTTATCGTTTTTCCAATTAATTTGCAAGATTAATACAATGACCCCTGTGCAACCTAGGAGTAGATACATACATCGGTAACTGTCCCTGAAGAGCACCAAATAGAAAGCCTGCATTTGAAACCTAGGATATAATTGTGTGTGTGGGTGGGGGAGGGTGGGGAGAGAACTGAGATACAAATTTGTAAGTGATGGGGAAGATAAGAAATGTGTATGTACTCTTTTTAAAAGAAGTAAAACAACAACAAATTTAAACCCGAGAAAGTGGGACATTCTCTCTTTCATGTCGGAAGGATGTCCCACTGAGTTCTGTGTGTGATGTATTATCTGGTGTTCTCTCCTTGTTTATAAATAGAGGATGATTCCATATGTCCAAGGATTTCTCATTCAAATTAATTTTTTTTACTTTAAATCTCTTCAATAAAAAAAAGCCAAATTTATTACATTATTACATTTGTACTGAGGATGACTTTGGACTCCATTTCCAATAAAATAATTTTTCATTAAAAAGTTGGATGGCCAAAGAATTGAAAGGAGTACTTCAAGCATTATTTCTTACATGTATTATTTGCCATTTAATGAACATTATTCCAATTATTTTTAATAAAGCAATAATATAGGAGCCTAAAATCCTCTATTTCAGAACAAAACATCTGCTTATGTTATATCAAGTCAGAATGGACTCTTGGTTGGAGTTTCCAGAATGAAAGGAGGGAGAAATTGAAAAAGTTCAAAGCAGATATTTTCTTGGTCTCTTGTTGTGAGATGAAGTGTTCTTTGCTAGGGTAGCAAATTCTAATTTACATTAGTTAAGAAAAAATATATATGTATAAATGCTTGTTAATTAATATAGTACACTATAAATTATTTTGAAATCTGCATTAGAATTCACCAAAATAAAAGTCGTTTTTTTACACAAGAAAGATTTGTTCATTGGTGTTTTAGTTCAACAGAAACCGTGTCACTGATGCCCTTTCTCAAAGCCATTGCTGCTGTTCTCCATCTCCATTGCACACCAGATTAAGTTTCAAATGTTGACAGCTAGAGAAAGGGTTAATAAATTCCCCATCACAGCCCTAAAATAGATAGCATATTGTCATCTTATGGTGCTCGTAGCAGCATTTGAGTGCCTGAAGGCGAAGAATAAACACTGTTCCAGAACAAATTCTAAGCAACAGTGCATCTTTAAATAGTCTGTAATTCTTAAGACATTGTAATTTCTGAATTAAAGAATGATCAAACAAAATGTGTAGTTTAAATTCCTAGTAAAAGTACAGTAAGTAGCTTTTCAGAATGCAGTTAACCCACAGTTCTAATAAGTGCAATATCCACTATGGTATGACATTAATCTTTCTCATCTATTGGCTTAAATGCCCTGGGCACTTTCATTATATCTGAGTGTGACATAGTCAGATTTATGTGGACTGCAGTTAGTAATCGGTAAAAGCCTTATAAAATGGCCGTTAGTCTGATATGCTAGCAAGTTCAGCTATATTTTTACTACAATCCTGTACAAGGTTGTGTTCAGGGTTTAGACTTACCACTTCCCCGTTTCATTTTGTGCCAAGAGGTATTATATTACCAGCCCAACGTGTGTGCTCAGTCTGTCTTCCCTGCAGAAACTGCAGGGGATTTGCGTTAGGCATTTGTAATGATGGCGCAAATTTCCTGCTTTGCAGCCAAGATACCAAACATGATTTTTTTTAGTCTGAACAGTAATAGGAGTAAAGCACCCAACAATGTTTTTTAGCGCTGGCTTTGTAACTAATCTGAAAAATATTCAATGATAATGAATTTATGGCTGCAGTCAGCTTCTTAGCTCTGTTTGAAGCTTTGTGTCTTAATTGATGAAATAACTTGAGTGTGGCAAACAACGCCTCTCTTAGCTGCTGTGTATAATGTTATATGGATGTATCCAAGTCTTGTTTTCCTGTGCTTCTAGCTATATCAAAAGTCAGTGCACAAATTCTTTGCTGAAGTAAAGAATCTCTACTAACAATATAATAGAAATCTGCCTTCTCACTGTTGTGTTTTAGGATAACTTTGAACCAAGGGTAATCAGATTGGGTCTAATTCCATCAGTACAGTCAGAAGTTCTGCACCAGAAACAGCTTGGGTTCTCACAGTCTTTATTCTCTTTGCTCAGATCCAATATGGCAAAAGCAAATCCACCATCAATCTAATCTTATTAAGGGAGTTCAGTTAGCTTTGCCTTTAAATTAGATTATTTTCATCCTTAAGCTGCAGAAGACTTACTCCTTAGCTTTGATCATTTGGCTGTGAATAGCTGCAGCGTATCGGGCAGTGACTATTCCCAGCTGTGCAGCTCTCTGTTCATTCACATTGCTGCTTTCACTGCATGGTTGCTGTAGAGAAGCCTTGCCTGAGCACCCTTATCTGGATGTAATTTTTCTCTCCCATCGCTTTTTTAAAAAATATATTGAGTGAGTATAGGTTGAATGTTCTGCAGGCTCGTTTTCTTTAATAAAAATTGTATCTGATCATTGCCTGCTACTTAAGTTCAATAATTGTTGAAGTATACAGCAAATGTTGGAGGTTTGAGTTCAGCTTTACCTTTTGTTTAATGTGCGTGATCTAACCCTTTAAGCACTAAATCATTTGGGGTACACTTTTATTGGTATTTCAAGTACAGTAACAGCTGTTACTGAGACAGTTGCTAAATGTAGTTGACATGATAAAAGCATAATTTGTTTGGATCAAGGGAATAGAAGAATGTCAGTGCAAAGAGTAAGAGGGCAAATGGTTGTAAACCCCTTTGGCTTTTTAAGTCCTTTATCCTCACAAATAGGATCTTCTTTTCAAATAGTGTCTCTAGTGGTAATGAAGCCTGGAGAAGATAAAGTGTAAACTCTTTGAGGATTTAACATCAAAATAGGACTCAAAGGCTTTGAGATGTTTCAAAAATGATTTTATTTCTTTGTTTAATCTGAGAAAAACATAGTTTAATAAAATGTATTTTTGAAACTGGAATCCCGATGAAATTCTGCACATTACACACACAAATGTTATCTAATCAGGTTCCCCATCCTCCTCATTCTTTTTTTCTAACAATATTTTAAAAGAACTTGTTCCGACATGTTTTAACCTGTTCTGGACAAGTGGCTATTTTCCTCCTTTTAAGATTGTATTTTGAAACTAGTTCATTAACTTGCATCCTTGTAATTCAACAGAGAATAATGAGTTTTGGGACTTTTACACCTCAGTGCATGATATTGTATTTCATGCAAATAATCACAGGCTCCTTCAGGCTAGTTTGCCAACAAGTAAAGGAGAACCAGGCTTGGTTGTAACTTTGAAAATGGATTATATTTAAACATTGGATATTCAGAAATGTAGTACTTACGTAAAATCCTATTTATATACACTACACATTGCTCTACAATGTGGAGCTATATCTCACAGATACTGAGGTCCAAGGTTCAACTACAGTTCTGCACTTAGTTAACTGATCTCATCTAAGATGGCTGAGGGGGGAGGGAAAGGGGGTACATTATTTGTCCCCTGGATAGTGAAGTTAACAGCAAAATCTATTACTGATCACTATTTGGTGAAAATATGTATGTGGATGTTGAATGAAGATCAGATAAATCCATTTTCTTCTTTTCTCTTTTCCCCTTCCCCCTGTGCTCACAAGTTGATGTTTTGGCTTTTTTAAAGAGCACATGTTTTGGATGTGTGTGTGTGTGTGTGTAAAATTCACTTAATTGGTATAATTTATTCTTCCTATTTTCTTGCTCACTGCTACTTTTTGACATATTTACATAATTTTTACATTTTAGCTCAGTTTTCAACTTGAAATTTTTTATTTGCTATTTTAAAGTAATTTACCATAGACTTGGAATACTGAAAGAAGAGTGGACTAAAATTCATCCTAAGTACTCCTGATTTCACAATGTGGAACTGGAAACCGTGTTATCTGAAACTCTTGGGGGGAGGGGTTGATTTCAAGAATGTAAAGTCCAGGTGCCTCATAAAATGTACTACAGATGTTTTACACAGAGGAAAATGCCTTGCTTAGAACTTGGTTTAAAATTGCAATCAGAGTAGATCTGAAGGCACTTTTGCATAATTTCTTTCTGCGCATTTTACCAGAGTATAATAATATGAAAATATGAATGATTTCCGTTACGTGATGGGACCCATCAAGTATTTTTGTCATTCTCCTCCAATTCATTGCATTTTACTATCAAACCTGAGTCCTGGATTTCTACATTACTCTTGGTAAATCAAAATAAATGGTGTTGAAAATCAGCACTTATTGTCCATAAATTGTTATCCTTAATGTCACAGCAAAATAAAGCTGCTCATCTTATAATGCTTGTACCTATTTTCTCATGTTATTTTTTTTAAAAATTCCACAGTATGGGGGATTATTTAATGTTGCATTGGATTATTGAGAGAATACTCATTTCATTGACCAAAGTTGACGTTAACAGATTACACACACTATTTGATCTTTAAACTTTTGGTCTTCCTAGCGTACACATCGGATGCCAAAAGACATCCATGTTGAACCAGAAAAGTTTGCTGCGGAACTCATCAGTAGGCTGGAAGGTGTGTTGCGAGAACGTGAAGCAGAGGAGAAGTTGGAAGAGCGACTTAAACGTGTGAGAGCGGTAAGTTTCATATGATAAGATCCTTAAAGAGAGCGGAACACAAGATGTTCCTTTAGCCTTTAGCCATTGTATAAAGCAATACTTTTCTGTGTTGATTTTGTTTTCACATATAAGACTATATTCTGTTTTTGCAATGTATTATTTGTTTTCTTTGCTGTGATATACAGTAGGTGTGTAAATGGAAGTGTACACAAGTAAAGATAACCAAGAACCATGACAAACTGGAACTAAAGTGAAATAACTGTACATAGAAATATTCCCTGGTGGAATTCGAAGCATGTGTATTGCAGAAAGCCAGTTCAGCAGTTGAAATGCAGATTGGAGATATTTTATACGTAGCTTTGAATCAAATTTTATTCAGCCTTCCCAGGAAGCCTACATGTCATCCAGTTATCAATGTATTTATGTATTTCCAAATTTAGTTGGTCTTGTATCCATTTTTTAAGAATTACGAAATTGCCTCTAATTTTGCACCTTTTTATATCATGCTTTACCATCGTGTTATACCACATGACTTCCTATTCCTTTGGCCCCTTAATTTTCTTAGTCAATCAATCACCTTTTCTGTAGTGAAATCGATTTTGCAGTGGAGCAGGTGAATACTCCTGGACTGTACCCCTGCACTTCCTTTATCCCTGTATTTTGTGGTATAATAGTTGTGTTTCTGTGGAAAATATGAGTTTTTCTTTATTGCTAGATGTGTCTTCAAGCAGTTAAATGATTTTTTTTAGAATCTTTCCTTCATTGTACTAGTTTTATGTAAGAATTCTGGTCATGCCACTGAATTGATGCAGTACTCCTATTTCTCTTTTCAGTTGACTCCTTTTTTCCTTTATAGTTCAGTGAGTGCCAGGCACACTCATGTACTTCTTCCAAAAGGCCATTATTGATGTGGGAATTTTGACCGAGCGTTGGCAGGCTATTCAACTCCAAGGGGCATCCAGCCCATTCCAACTTATTCTCAATGGATGTCCAAACATGAATACCTCCCAGCAGGTGTGTGTCTGCACCTGCTGGCTGATTTGTTTTACCTCTCTCCTTCTCTAACTCGGGGAGCTGAGGCCCATTGTAGCAGCCTAACTATTGCCCTGGTTAAGATCATTTAACTCACCACAGATTGGAATGGAATCCGTGACCTTCTGGTCCCATAAAGCCCAGTACTGCTCCAGGTGGTGCCATTACCCACAAGACCCATCTGGGAGCACTTATTTTCAGCGGATTGATTTCTTCAGTAGCCTGTAATTTTTACATTTAAGAACAGTTCAAGATTATGGTCTTGTGTTTAGATGGTAGAAATATCTTGTTCAAGAAAAATGTAGATGAATGGGACACTATTATTTCCTTTGAAGTCAGTGTCTAGGCGTTATTCTATTCACAGTAATTTGCATTGATTGTAAATTGTGCATCTTGATTTTTTTTCTGACAATCTAGTAAAACTGGTGGAAACATACAAGCCTCATTTAAATCCTGTAACATGCATTCCTTTTTTTAAAAAAAATAGAACAACAAATTACATTTGTATAGCGTTTTTTACATTGGGAGGATGTCCCAAAGCACTTCCTTACCAGAGTACTAAAATCAATCGTAAAACATGTTTGCTGTTTGCTCTTATATAGCATGTTTGCCAGGTGTTCATTTGTGCGTAGGTCTTTGATTTCAAATCAAGAATGATGCTAAGATTTCTTGCATGAAGAGGATTGTGTTTGTCTGACAAAGTCCTATTAAAGACATTAGTGTACATAAGTATTTCTCCTGGCTTATTTCTCAGTATTTACAGTATTTTTGTGGAAAAAAGCAACTGCTTGTCAGAAAATACTTTATGAATCCTTTTAAGCCTGACTCAATAATGCCACCTTCTGGCTGGTAACACAAACGTAATTTAAGTGCTGGTTACCCGGACGTTTTAGCTCAATTTAATTTCGCTGCCAGCAATTAGTTGTTCAAATATTACTCACTTACATTGTCTTAATAATTTATTCAACTGTTAAAATATAGTGTATGTATTTTGTATTAGTTGGACCTGACATTTTAGGGAGGCACCTGTGTTTCCATATTTAAATGGTTAGAGATCCTGCACCGGCAGCCAGTAGGATTTCAGCCAAGCTGTGTCTAGCTGACATAGTGTGGTGGAAATTCAATTAAAACAAAATCCCCAAGGGGAATATAATTCAGTCGAAGTTACAGGTATTTTTAGGTCTTGTAATTTTAGAACCATTTTACGTATTTATACAAGATTGTTTGTGGCCTACTTAGTTTATAAATAAGAGATGGGAGTATTGCTTTAACCTTCAAGAGTAAACTAGCACATTTAGCTCCCTTGCAGAAGGAGTGCAATTAGTCATTTTAAAGGTGATCATCGCACAGTTTTCCAGAACATCTGTGACTTCCTGACGTTAAAATTAATAGTTCTCGCTCATTCAGTTGCTTTCCTGGGTAACATTTTTAATTCTAATACTGTACTTTTAGTTCCTAAGCTATACTTTATTATTATTAGTTAAGCAATATTTTTCTATTTTGCATTCTGAAGTGATCAGATACAATATGAATTTGTTGTATGGTTTAGAGAAACCAGGGATAGTTTTTTTTAAAGAGTGTGTGCAGTAGATAAAGACTAAGATCAAATATGCCAGGATTGGAAACTAATTAATTTGAAAGGTTGCAAGGTTTGAAATGTACATCTAAAACCAGCGCCAGAATTTTGATGAGTGTCTTGAAAATTGATGAGCTTCATGTGAAACATCAAAACTGAGGTGAACCTGAGTATTGGAGCGTTCATTTAACATCGACTTCAACTAATTGGATTTTTCCAACAGGAGGAAGAAGGAGAGGATGGAGATGTCTCATCAGTGCCCTCTACGGTTAGCCACAAACTGCCACCTGCCCAGACAATGCAACACTTTAACTCTCGTTACTCTGAGATTGGCTGTGGTGGATTACAAATGCGTGATGCTCATGAGGAGAATCCAGAATCTATTCTTGATGAACATGTCCAACGTGTGATGAAGACTCCTGGTTGTCAATCTCCTGGACCTGGGCGACACTCTCCAAAGTCCCGCTCTCCTGACGGCTTATCCAGTGGCAAGGCAGCAGGGTTAATGGGAACAGTGCTACCTCCAGGGCATAAACATGCATCCAAGTCTGGGATGAAGGTAGAAGCTACCAACACGTACCATCACAAACATGTTTACCACCACATCCACCATCACAGTGGGATGAAACCAAAAGAACAAATTGAGGCAGAAGCCACACAGAGAGTCCAGAGTAACTTCTGGAATGCAGATTCACACCACTATGCAACAAAGTCACGGAACTATGCTGAAAGCATGGGGATGCCACCTAATCCAGTGGAACCTTTGAATCATGGGTAAGTAAACCCATCAACTGGAACTGTGGCTTTTTTCTGGTAGTCTGGTTTGCTAGTGATTCCGTTTGAGTTTCCTTATGGCTTACTGAGTAAATTTGAGTGTTTTAGTGCTGATTGACTTTGATCAAGAAGGATCCCAGATTTAATCCCGAGGTTGTGATAATCTCAATTGGGCAAAATATATTTGTCTTGGTGGTGGTGGGGTGGGGGGGAATTGTTCCAAGCGCCGCTGGATTTGGGAGGGAAACCAATCACCAAGGTTACCATGTCTATCCAGCGACCCCTGATAGAAATGCACATCTGTGAGAAAATGACATAATAATAATCCTTGCATTTGGTCCAGAGCCTTATTACATTGTTTCAAAATGCTTCACAGAGCATGCAAAGTGAATTGATTGTATATTTTGTGGGCAATAATGGTCTGGATCCATTGGAATGCCCTCTGATTAAATAGCTTACCAATTTTCACTATCTCTGCATCCATATGGTGAAATAATGGTGACTCCATCCGCATCTAGGCACTGAGAAAAGGAGTGAAGGGAAGTAAATCAGAGTTGGGAAATGGGGAGACTGATTTGTTTAGTGTATTTAATATATATGGATTTTTTTCATGTTTCAATACATTTTCATTATTGTAGCTGTAAATTTGTAGACTGTGGTTCACATACACCTGTACAAACATTCACAGGAAAACAATTACCCTACTCTGTTGGTATTTGAGGCTGTGATGTGGGAAATGGGTTCAGGGTTCCTGGCCTCTGTGGGTCAAACCTACTAGAAAACACCAGCAAGTGCTCTGTGGAATCTGGCATTAGTGTAACGTACCATTGCCACTTCCAAGGAAAAACTGCACTATTTGCTTATTCGCAAAAGTCTCTTGGCAGCTCCATATTAATATAGTAGTATAATATTTAGCAATTAAAAAAAATTAAAACCCATGTAGTGGTGCTTTATTCCTAGACAGGTTGAAAATTTCAATTGAGCATTTAACAAAATTCTACCTCTATTAATATATAGGGATGCATCAAACATCATTTATGCAAGTGCCTGAAAGTTAAATCAAGTGTGACAGAATATGCAGAATTAAAAGTGGATATTTGAAATCTCATTTTAAAATGATGCAAACCTGTTTCTGATTAACCAATTGTTTTGGGGCTAATCACATGGGTTATTGTCCAAGCATTGGAATTTCACAACATCATCTTGCATTATATAGTGCCCTTCACAATGAGTAATGTATTGGAGTGCTTTACAGAGGCAGTGCCAGATTCTGAACAGTGGAAAGGGGGGCCATGACTGTAGGCATGGTCAAAGTAGTAGTTCTTCAGGCAGCTTTTGAAGACAGATGGAGGAAGATGATGTGGCCAGATGGCTTTGCAGATTTTGGTCACCTGGAAGTTAGACAACAACAACAAATTGCATTTATATCGCACCTTTCATGTGGGGAGGACGTCCGAAGGTGCCAGGTTTTGCAGCCAAGCTGGGAGTTATAATCGAGGAGTGGAGGACAAGGCGGGTGGGGGTGGGAGGATGTCCGAAGGCATGGTCCAAGAGAAAGGTTTTGAGATGGACCTTGAAGGAGGCAAGTGAGAGGACAAAGGGCCTCCAGGATGAAGTTCCATAGGGTGGGGGCAGAAAAGCTGCAGGCCCAACAACAGCAACAACAAATTAATTGTATAGCGCCTTTCGCGTCGGGAGGACATTGCAAGGCTCTGGACAGTCAGGGATTTGGACCTGAACAGGAGTTTGGAATCAGGAGGGGTGGAGGGTAGGGGTACGTGGATGGCCGAAGATGCGGTTGAAAAGGAGGATCTTGAGAGGTGCCTTGAAGGAAGCAAGGGAGGGAGTAAGGTGAAGGGACTGTGGGATGGAGTTCCAAAGGGTGGGGCCAGAGAAGCTGAAAGCCCGACCGCCAATGGTGGGGTGGGGGGCCAGGACGGTGGACACTGAATAGATCAGTGCCCATCGTGTGGAGGGAGTGGTCAGGCTGGTGAGGTTTTCATAGACAAATCCATAAAGATTTCATTGAATGCTTTGGAAGTAAAGAAGTGTCTTCATAATGATCTTTGAAGCAGAGGAGTTGCAATTTTTGTTTGTGTCTTATCTCCTTTTCTTCCTTCTCATCTCCCCCCCCCCCCCCCCCCCCTCCATGCATGTCATGGTTATTTTAAGATGTTCAGTCTCTTAACTTGTTTTCCTTACTGGTGCATACACACTGACTAAAGTACCTCTGATTTGAGCTCTAGATCATTTATTTTTCACATAATAAGCAAATAGGGGGCTGTCTTTAAAAACATGCATGATTTAATTACTATAAATCTGCAGTGTGCTCTATTTTTGCTTATATTGAACATTTGTGATATGTTCTCGAAATGAAACTTTCTAAAAAGGAAATTATCTAAAATGTTTGAATGATTTGCTAGAATTCTATAAAATGTCTGTAATATTCATAAAATCAAAGTGAGTGATATGTGAAGTCAAATTTTCTAAATTTAATAGTTTTTAACGTAGAAGCTCAAGTGCTGTGAGCTGTTCTTTTACATGATAATCTCTGTATGAATGGAATTGCTCTATAACACTGACTAAATGTTGTTGTACAGTAGTAAGAGCAACACACTGTCGAAACGAAATGCTAAGAAGGCTGAGTTGGGCAAAGTGGATCCTGGAAACTATGAAACTCCGGCACCTCCAGAAGACCTTGAGCGGAATCAGAAGATCCTGCAGTGGATAATAGAAGGAGAGAAGGAAATTTATAGGCACAAAAAAACTCCTCATAGGTAAAAGAACCAGTCTTTTCCTGATTTTAATGTAATGTTTGCATTCAATTTTATATCATATTTGTCTATAAACTATTTAGCTACTAAAAATGCTTATCCATTAGTCCCAATGCTGAAAGCAACAAATTGCTTTTATTTTGTATCAGGAGGATGTCCCAAGGTGCTTGACAGTCGAGGGCTTGCACCCAAACTAGGGGATGGATTCAGGAAGGGTGGAGGCTAAGGGTGCGGGGTAGGGGGTGAAGATGACCGAAAGCTTGGTCAACGAGGAATATCTTCAGATGGGTCTTGCCTTCACTCGGGATTGGAGTTTGGAGCTGAAAGCCCAACCGCCGATGGTGGGGCCGAGCGGGCTGGGGTACGTGAAGCGGGCCAGTACTTGCTGAGCGGAGGAACAGGCAGGTTGGTAGGGTTTTAGAAGGCCACAGAGGTAGTGTGGGGCAAGACCGTGAAATGATTTAAAAGTACAGACAGAGATCTCTGGGGGATAGGGTTCACAGTAACGGGTCCCGGGACCGAGCCAGGGGGAGGGGGAGGAAGGTGACCAAAGGCATGGTTGAAAAGAAAGGTCTTCAGAAGAGACCTGAAAATAGGAAGGGATGGAGCGAGGCGAAGGGAGTGAGGAAGGGAGTTCCAGAGCCTCGGGGCATAGTGGCTGAAGGCACGGCCGCCGAGGGTGGAGCATTTTACTCATTAGAGCAAGCCTCGACAGAATTTGGCCCATACAACTTTGTCCTATTCTGTTTAAACATCAATAAAACTATTTCTGCATAACTAATGGCGAGTATTTCCTCTTCTGTGCTGCAGTAGTATAGGAGCAAAGAAACAGCCGAGTCATGATACTTCCAGACCCAGTTCAATCGAGAGGCCAGGAACCGTTCATCCGTGGGTCAGCGCTCAACTGCGAAATCCTGTCCAACCATCCCATCCATTTATTCAGGACCCAACCATGCCACCCAACCCAGCACCCAACCCTCTTACTCAACTGGAAGAGGCACGGAGGCGGCTTGAAGAAGAGGAGAAGAAGAGTGGCAAAGTACAGTCCAAGCAAAGGTGGGAGATGTTAATATAACATTTCATAATTAATATACAAAAGGGTAGTAACCTATTCCAGAGCTATCTATTCAAACAAGTGACAAAAAAACTCTAAAGCACATTGTTAAATGAGTAAGATTTAGCTTTGCATAGGGTAAAAATTTATATGTTGGATAAATATGAAAATTAATCTGTTTTACAAATTAACTCATTTTTGCTCACACCATTTAGAATATTTACTCTTAAGAAAAGAAGGGATCTTCTACATTTTGACATCCTAGCATTTTGTAAAATGTAAATTTAATTTGTCAACCTATCTGACACTTCCTCCTCAAAGGGCCCTAGCTCTATAAAACCTTATTCGAGTTACTGAAGGTCACAGACCAGAAAATGCAATTTAGTACAAAAGGAAAATGGCTCTTGCAGATTCCTCCAAATTTAAGCATTGACGATAAATACAGCTTTGAAACCAGAGATTCAAATTCAGGTTTCCAGTTTTGACAGATTTGCATCTGTTTACCCTTATTCTGAACTGTTCAGTAGTTCTTCACCCTGTTGTTGGAGCACACTGTTTCTTAGGAAGGGCAAAGGCATTATAAAAGCTTGCAGGACTTACCTGCTGGTTGAGAGATACAGTCTGAAGTTGATGTTGGGGCGGGTGGGGGGAAAGAATAGAATCATTCGGTACTTTTTGGAACCTATTTTCATGTTTGGCCATTTTCTTAATTGTGGTATTCTTCTCACCTTTCACACTCTTGCTCTTGACATGGCTTTTAATGAGCCCTTAGCTAGACCAGCTGAGGTTGACTTATTAGCAGATTTAACAAATTATAACTTCCCTTTGAGAAGAAGCTTTCTCTGATCTCTGTTCAGCACCTTTTCTGAAGCTGGGATCACAAAATCACCAATTGGGAAATGGCGGGAGAAAACGTCATTGTAACCATATGGCGCTTTATATTAGAATGAGCTTGATCTCTCCAAAGATGACTTTGTGACCCTCCAAACACTCCTGATCTCATATGCTGTTTCTGAGCATTTAAGTTTTAAAGAGGCAAGTTGAAACTTCTAATATACAACGTGTTTAAAAGTATTAAACATTTTCATTAATTTTTTTTGGTATTTACCAACATTTTTACAGACATTTCTCTGTTAATAAAAAGGCAAAGCCAGTTTCAACCATGTGGTAACAGTATCATACAATACAATTTTTTGAAAACATTTTTCAGAAAGATGGTTAGGTTACTTGTTTACCAATCGTAATATTTGGAAATGAAATGACTGAACTATATTATCTTAGAAACCGCGTAATTCTCCAAATTGGAAGTACTTTTTATATAAATTTGCTAACCACTTGAATTGGTTCTTAATGACTTTCAGTGTACTTCTGAAATTCACATTGTTGCATGTCTTTGTAATAGCTCGTCTGAATCAGAATAAACCTTTTAGGTTGGCATAACAAGGATGTACTCCAGTCTTTATATGATGGGAATGTGATCTACTTAACACATTTTTACCTAGAAGAAATCAGCAATTCTTTATCGCAGTGAAGTTTATAAACAGTGAAGATAGATAGCAAAGCAAGCTTCTGATGTTTGAGGTTAATCGCCTGCTGTGCAGTTGCTGTGAATTTCAATGACAATTAAAAGCAGTGGTAAGGCTATTAGTGAAATTGCTAGATTTAATTCCAATATTTTACCTTTCTCTCTTGCTCTCTCTCCCCCACCCCCCCATATGCATGCACAATTAAGTGGAAGGACAATGGGCAATCTTTCTAGGCTTCAAACTGTTACTGTGTACTTCCACAAACTTCTTGGCGGCTGATAAGGTCTGTGTGACTTGGAGACCGTATTTACAGAGCAGCAAGTATAATGCCCTATTAAAAACAAAGATTTGTTTGAAATCCATTTTTTTGCCATATTTCCTTTTCTTTGTGGCTCCTCTCAGGCTGACTTTTACTGAGGTACAGCTCCACAGCTGTGAGATCATCTTTGGGTAAAGCAGCTGAGTGACTATTTCTACATTTGCGAGTCTAGGCATTGAAGCTTGCCAGTCTAGTTAGTGATAGTCAAGTCATACCAAGCCCAGTCTTGTTCTTGGTTGACTTGCCCACACGTTCACTTGCTAGGATGAGGTCACTGGACAGCAATCAGTAGTGGAAATTCTGGCTGATGTTTCTGCTCTAATCAAGTGCTAAGGCCAATTGTAGGTTCCAGTGGCTGGCCTGGCTAACAAACTAACTCTGCATAGATTGCGATTGAACCAAAGACCTTCTGGTCTGTATAGTTTAGTACTACACTAGCTGGTGACTTTATCCACTATTGGGGGGACCTTGGCTTGACATTTTTTATAGGTTCTGGAAACTTGTGAACTGAATGTTAGAGATGAATCACTAATTTAAATTTCTAAGTTCACTAGATCTGTGAAAATAAAGTAGCTTGTCTCAAATTTGGCTAGCAATTATCATATTGATCCCTGTAGATTAGCCTGCTGTACGGTAGATTGAACATTGCTCGAGAAGTCACTCCATGCCAATCATTTTCAACTTTTGGTGCCTGGATCAATAGCTACATTGACATGACTTTGATGTAAGACCCCCGGCTTATATTCAGCCAAAGAAATTTCTTGTGCCAAAGGAAAGAGGAAATTAATTTATTTTTCATGCATCAATGTGATTTCATGTGTAGGTTATGTAGCATGACTGCAGATGGGCTGTAAGTTCATTGTCTGAAATAAAAGTAATGCAGAGGACAGGCAGAGCTATATATTTTGATTGTAATGTTGAAGCTGTTTATGGGATAAGAGATGGTATGCAGGATAGGTAGCTGGAATGGAGCATGTCTAATTCCTAGGATTATTCTCCATGACACTGCAGGTATGTGCAAGAGGTTATCCAACGAGGTCGCACGTCTATCAGGCCAGCATGTATTCCAGTGCTGAATGTGGTACCAGCCGTCTCCGACATGGATCTCTCCGAGTCAGAGTACGTGCCGCTGCTGTTGATGTATTCTCTGTGATTCTAGGCTTAGATGTAAATTAGTTTGTCTTGACTTTCAGATGGAATAATTCAATATATAAGCATCTTCATCTTAATAGCGCAAATTGTAAGCCATTTATTAAATTTAATGCCTCTGACATGAGTTTTTTGTACCAATTCTATACTCGTGGGGTATAGTTGTCATTATTGTCGCAAAGTCCAATTTCAGAAATCACTTTGTGGCTGTTATGTGAGATGAAGGATAGTAATAATAATAATCCTTGCATTTTGATATAGAGCTTTTCACGTCGGGAGGACGTCCCAAAGCGCTTCACAGAACACACTGTAAAATGAATTGACTGTATATTTGTGGGCGAACGCGGCAGCCAATTGCGCACAGCAATGTCCCACAAACAGTCGTAGATTGAAAATGACCAATTTATTATTGTTTTTGGTTTTGGAGGGATTATTATTAGGCTCTGTGTGGAGTAAGGAAACTTGCCCAAGGTTTCGCCCTCTGCCTGGAATTGAACTCAGGTCTCTCGCTTGCAAAGCGAGTGCTCTAACCACTGAGCTACAGTACTCCCCAAATGTCATGAAGTTTGGATAATACTATTAACTAAACCAATTTACATTGTCAATGTCATTGATTCACTTTGATAGCTTTGCTTTGAAGCTCATTTTCTCTCCTTTCCATTACCATCTGAAGGTTTCTTTCTCCATTTTATTTCACTGGTATTTGGTTCCAAAGGTGCTGGGCACCTTCTGCTACCTCATTCTTTGTCTGGGCACCACTATTTGGCTAAGGGGGCAACGTAACTGATCCCTGTTCAGTTCCCATGCAACGTCCACCAAATGTATCTCCAGCAGGGGAGCAGGTGGATACTGTCAGGAGTGGGAATCCTTTGCCCTCCAAAACTATTTCTTGAGCTAAGCATTGAACCTGGGACCTTCCCTGTTCCCGCTGTAAAGCTCAGTGGCTCACTGGCTAACCATGCTGAGCATGGAGAGCTCCAGTTGTGCTTCATAATGAGCACATTTTCTGCCAGTCAACTATAGTGCACAACATGTTTAATTTTGCCAGAAGGTATTGTTAGAATATTTGGTAAAATTGTGTGTTAATAACTATTTACATTTAAGTAGCAGTTAAACAGTTATGCTAAGGAGACAGCAGAGCAGTTAAAGCTTTAATTATGCAATACAATTTATATTTATATAGTGCCTTCCACGTTGGCATAACGTCTCAAAGTGCTTCACACTGCTGTGTGGTATATCCAAGCTGGTGGGGTGGGATAGGAGGAAAACATGACCAAAAGTGAGGTCAAAGAATTTGCTGATTGAGAAGATATTTAAACTGGGAAGTTCTTTTTTTCTTACATACTTAGTAACATTGACAACCTCACATTATACATACTATGATTAAGAGGAACAAGAATAGAACTTGCCAGAGATGGGAATGGAGAAGGTGATTCTGTAGTATCTTTTATCATTTTTTTTCTGTCTTCAGTATTTTAAAATGTACTTATTTTGAATCAAGAAGACTTTTTTGAGATTCCCACCTTTTCACTGGTTTAGTTGATGGTTTACTGGTTTAGTTGATGGTTTAATTAATTTCACTGGTTTAGTTGCTGAACTGAGAATTTAGAAAATGAAGGTCTAGCAGTTATGGAAGAGAGAATGCTACGTTAATATTTCTGAATATAGTTCCTAGAATGCTGTGTAGGACACAAATGTGTTGAAATTTGCCAGGTTTCGTTCATTTAAACTGGAATCCCCTTTGGTCAGCTTTGTCTCATCCCTTTCTTCGGCCAGTTGGCTGGAATGTCAGTTCAAGCCCTACTGATCAACATGAAACAGGAAATCCTACACTGTTCCCTTCCTCTCTACTCCTGGTAGAAACTGTTGTGTTACTGTGAGAAATCCCATTCAATAATTTGACCAAATATCAAAATGTTCCCATACTCGGTAACGGATATTGCTGAGTAATTTGAATCCTAAAGTTTAAATGCTATAGTTTGATCAAGTTAACAAAAAATAATTAACACATACAGTACCTTCCTTTTATCTATTGTCCTTTGCATATTTAATTTATCTGTCACCGGTCTTGTATTCAGATCTTAATGAGTTGAATTGAAAACTACCCCATAGGTTCATATTAAGGTCTGATACCGCCTTGCCCCCTTCCCTTGCCTCCTTCAAGACCCATCTCAAGACCCTCCTCTTCGACTGTGCTTTCGATCACCCTCCTTTCCCCCCTGCCCTCCCCAATCCCAACCCCCAGCTCTGGTCTGAAACACTGACTGTCCAGCGCCTTGGATGTCCTCCCGACATGAAAGGTGCTATACACATGGAATTTTGTTGTTTTTGTTGATACCCAATCAATTGATACCTACCACTCAAGTGCCATGCTTCCAGAATATTTTTGTTGAAATTAGTACACCCTGATGTATTTGAATTGATGGTTTACATTTATACTGCTTTTCATGTCAGGAAGATGACAGGCTCGTGGAATAATTATTTGCTTGGAATAAGGAGAACTGGAAGTCTCGGGAGCAGAGATTGAAACCATTAACCTTTTAATTGTGTTCCCTATTTCAGTATGGTTTTTGGACGTTGTGCAGTTTAGTACTTCATCTTTAAATCTGTTTGTGAGTTTAGAGAGTGCCAGAGCAGCAAGATGAATCTTCAGCTGTTGGTTCAGCAGACTGTGCACGAGACGCTTGTGAACGAAAGGATGTGAAATAAGATCCTAGGCTCAGCTGTTTATTTTCTGGTTAACTTTTGTGTGTCAGTGTGGTAGATTTTCTTTAAATAAGGTTGTCTGAGTCACTGGCTCACTCCCTTAGGCAGGCTTGGTGCAACAGAACTTGAGACACATTTTCACGGCTGCAGAGTATGGGTTGAAACTAACTTTTCAGGTTGGCTGAAGATGTGTCTTTGTAATGTAGTTTCTGGAAACCAATTTTTATAATAAGAAATATCACTAATAGTGCAGATGGTAGAAAAATGGAATGGTGTATGATTAATACAGTAGTTCACTGTTCGATTTTGTAGATTCTATGAAGAAACCAAATGCAGTACTGAGAACCAAGGTATTTTGGTGTAGTGGAGATTATTTTTGAAATCTTAGTGGGTTTATTTTAGTAATTGGAGTCATTTTATACAAACAATTCCTTTGTTTATCTTAGTAAATCAAACCTATAAAGTTGTAACTCATTAGATCTCTGTATTCCTCAGTTTTCCATATCTGCATTTATCAGTTGTATTGCGACAGATCTATGATGGCTAATCATGTGCAAGATGAAATAAAAGGTTAACTCACTGTGATTTTCTTTCCATTGTAGGCATAAGCCACAAAAGAAGTCAGCTACTGGCGATAACATTGTTGTGGCCTACTATTTCTGTGGGGAGCCAATTCCATACAGAACCACTGTTAAAGGGCGTGTGGTCTCACTGGGACAGTTCAAGGAGCTCTTGACTAAGAAAGGGAATTACAGGTGTGTATAAACCAGTGCCCACAGTGTATTTAACCCCTTGGTTCAAAGAAACCAGAAGCAAGTTATAAGTTAATGAGACTTTGTATGTAAATGTGGCCTTTTTTTCCAATGAGATGATTCCACTGCCGCTATAACATGTTTACCATCGGTGTTCGGGCCTTCAGCCTCTCAGCCCCGAGGCTCTGGAACTCTATCCCCCAGTGCCTTCGCCGCCTCCTCCCTTTCCTCCTTCAAGGCCGGTCTCAAGACCTTTCTCTTTGACCGAGCCTTCAGCTCCCCTCTCGACTCTCTCCTCGCTCCCTCCCTTCCCTCCCCCTGACCATTTCCCCCCAATGCTCGGGTCCTGACCCAACTGTACAGCGCCTTGGGACGTCCTCCCGACGTGAAAGGCGCTCAATAAATGGAATCTTGTTGTTTTTTTAAAAAGTATCTTTTTTTTTAAACAATTGAAGGTTTTTTGTTCTGACAATGACTTGAGAATGCAGTTTTGAATTTTAATAATGTGCTGTAGGAACTTATTATAGAATCATAGAATATTACAGCACAGAAGCAGGCCATTCAGCCTATCGTGCCTTGCCGGTTCTTTGGAAGAGCTATCCGATCAGTCCTACTCCCTCGCTCTTTCCCCACATCCTTGCAAGTTTTTCCTTTTCAAGTAGGTATCCAATTCCCTTTTGAAAGTTGTTATTGAATCTGTTTCTATCACCCTTTCAGACAGTGCATTCCAGACCATATCAACTCTCTTCATCTCCTATCTGGTTCTTTCACCAATTATCTTAAATCTATCCCCTGGTTACTCACCCACCTGCCAGTGGAAACAGTTTCTCCCTATCTACTTTTATCAAAACCCCTCATAGCTTTGAACACCTCTGTTAAATCTCCCCTTAACCTTCTCTGCTCTAAGGAGAAGAATCCCCACTTCTCTAGTCTCTCCACATAACTAAAGTCCCTTATTATTGTCGATTTTTGTACTCTCCAGGTATTATTTCAAGAAAGTCAGTGATGAGTTTGACTGTGGTGTGGTATTTGAAGAGGTGCGTGATGAGGATGCAATTCTGCCAATTTTTGAGGAGAAAATCATTGGAAAAGTGGAAAAGATTGACTAAATGCCAGGCAAGCATAAAGAGGAGTATGTAATGGTACAAGAGAAGTTTCAGCTGCCAAGAGTATTTCAGAATGCATTACGGGGGTCACAGCAGTTAACTGTGGAAAACGCATCGTACTGACTGCTTTGAGGCTTCCAACTCTCCACAGGGATGTTTTACAACTGCTCAATATAAGCAGAAAAAGTGGTGCTTTCAACACCAGGGTCTGCCAGTGCAGTCCTTTGATGGGAATGTTTGCAGCGTTACCTTCTCTCTCTCAGTATATTTCAAACACTAAGTGTAATGTAGCATTGTAAAATTGTATTAGAAAAAATGTAATATGAAACTGTTTACTAAAGCTGCATATTTTTGATATAATGTAATCGGAGGAAAATAGCATTTTTAATGTAACAGTGCTCTTATGTTATTTTGAAACATACATATAGGTACTTGAACTCACCAAATGTGTACAGCCATCTGTAATAATAGCTATTTGGTCCGTATTTCAAACCATTGAAAGGTGTTTCTCCACTTGTATAATGGATGACTATCACTGATTCCGTTGTCTTACCGGGACAAATTGTCCGTCAAAGTTTACATAGGCCACCCTTGCAAATACTGCTGTATAGGCCTTTTTCATATGAAAAAGTTGCACAGTTTTTTTAAGACTCAATACAATAGGAATGTGTATGTTGTGTAGAAAGTGACTAGTACCAGACTAGTCTAGTAAGTACTTGTACGTATTCTCTCTCTCTTCCCCGCCCCCCACACCCCCTCCTCAGTATTTTGTTGGTACAGAGTTGAAATGCTGCTTCCCAGCTCCTGCATGTTAAGGCTAGGGACTCCACGTGGATAGCTCAACCTCTCACATCCTGACTGAATAGACCCATCCACACAACAGCACAGATGAGTTAGTTTTGCCACTTTACACTGGCAATATGGATGTTGCTGTTTCTGTTAGAGCAGGTGGAGTAGCTTGTGACTATTGCATTGGTTTTCTGGGCATTTGCAGCTCACCACAATGAATTAATTGTGCAGCGGTTTTGCCAGTCAGCATCCTAGACTGAGATTATATCTCTGTAATTGGCCTCAATAATTCGACATATATTGAACAAGTTGACAAAATGAAGTTTGCATTCCAACACCACGATCACAAGCCTTTGGATCTTTTATGCTTTTTAACCAACATCCAAGCTGCCAATAGTAAATGTACAGTGTAGAATGCAGTATTTGCCAGCGGCCACCGTGTTGCCTTTACATAACTGATGCAGGTAGATGCAGTGCCATCTATATTAGTGCAGTAATAGGTTTAAAACATGTAAACAGGCTGTGCAGTTGGCTGCTTCAAGCATTACGTGTTCCCTTAAGCAGCCACCCTTTTCATCACCCAATACCATCTTATCAACAAACCAAAATATTTACTTATTTAATTGTCAGGGTGGTATTTTGTTAAACTTTTCTGTTTGAACATTACCCAGAAAACATGTAAAGTTTAAAGCAACCAATCAAAATTTCTGTATCTCTCGTAAAAAATCATTCTAGGTCTAACATGGATGCCAAAAAGTCACTTAAGCAGTGATGTGAGAGTGCCACATGTCTGTCTTCCATTCCGTTTATTGGCAGTCCACAACATTGTAATGAATAAACCACAGATAAAATGTGCCAATGTCTGTTTTACCCTTTACACTCTGCAATAGTAAGCATTCTTAGAACTACACTTGGTGTACTGTGCTAGATTAGCATTAGCTACAAGGATTACACACTACTGCAGCAAAACAAATCCACTCTTCACTATTTTAGCTCGATAAGACCAACACTCAAAACAAATATTTTGCAGCTTTGTACCACTTGTCTTTAATCAGATCTTGGGCATTCTGATTTTCCTGCATAATTTAAATTGCAACATTTCTTTGGTACCGAGCTAAAATCTTTGTAGCCCATTAAAATGGTGCTTTTTTATATAAAAAGGAGATATTTTAGGTTTTCTGGAACTTTTTTTTCTTGTGCAGGGGATGGGGGGGAGAAAGGCCTATACAGTAAAACACCGTTGGAATGTAATCTGAGACTGGTAATTGCCCAGATAACAATTACCTGCCAACCTGTGTGCTGGTTTGTTATAGAACACAGTGTCCTAACTCAAAAAAACTAAAATAAGGGCATCAATCTTGGTTTGAAACATTCATCCTGCAAGTTGGACTTTTGCCACTGTGCCAGTCACTAGCTATACTAACCTAAACTCGAAGCTGCCAACCCCTGCTTCTGATGGCAGTGTTTGTCCTAACAATTTCATTACTGCCATTTGTCTGCCGAAATTGAAAGAAACTACTAAATACTAATAACGGGTCTTCAATCTGTTACACGGAAGGATCATCGGTTACAAATTGTTTCCCAAATCAGAAAGCCCTAGGAACAGCCTAAAGCATCACAATTGCATTTCAGAAAGGTATTATGTAAATAAAATTACATCACAGAGTGCCTTTATACTCAATGCTGTTACCTGTCTTGACGCTATGTGACCCCCACCCCCCCCCCCACCCCATGACTGAGGAATAAACTCATCCAGGGATCTGCAGTATGGTTTCTCCTCCTGCATTTTGGTGTCCAGCGGGATTTTTATGTGGCCCTGCATTCACGGGTTTTGCATTTCCCTTTTTTCTAAGGGTTTCCATTGTAAATATGTACATTTTCTAAAGATGATGTCATCAAGTAGCAGCACGTCAGAAGATTTAGTTACCTGGTTTCAGTCATCTTTCAGTGTGCTGGCTTGTACAATTATCTTTTAAAAGGTACTTGGACAATAAAGAAAATAAGTCAATTTTGTGTACGTTGTACATTTTTTTATTCTTTGTTCATCATAATAATCCTTACATTTGATATAGTATCTTGCATGTCAGGAGGATTTCTCAAAGTGCCTCAAAATATATACTGCAAAGTATATTCACTATTTTGTAGATGAACATTTTGCATCAGCAATTTCTGACAAACAGCTGTGAAGTGAATTTATTTGAGGGATTGTTGGCCAGAGCACCAGGAGAAATTTTCTTCTGTTTTTGACTAGTGCCATGGGATCTTTACCTGAACAGACAAACTGACCCCTGATGCAGCATAGCCTAAGCTTGAATCCACGACTGTCTGACTCGGGGGGCAAGAGTGCTACTAACTGAGCCAGGCTGACTGGGAGCTGCGTTTGAATATCTCCTTACATAGTAACAAGCCTTCCGCTCATCAAGCCTGTCTCCTTGTATTAATAGTTGTAGAAAAGATTGATAACTGGAAACGTAAACTTAAAAGGAAGCCAACTGATTTTAATACTCAACTGAAACTTTTCAATAGAATTGAATTTTCACTTACTGGTCAGTGACCATCTACAATTTATATTTATTCCTATTGTATCTTTCGCGTCTGGCGGACATCTCAAACCCCTTTCAAGTAACTGAAAGAGCTTGAGCTGGCGGAAAGGGGAGGGGAACGTTGTCTGAAAGCATGATTGAAGAAATAGACCTTAAGGTGGGTTTTGAAGGCAAGGGAAGGAGGGGGCAAGGTGAAGAAACTTGAGATGGAGTTTCATAGAGCAGGGGCAGAGAGTAGTTGAAGGTTCACCCACAAAGAGTGGGGTGAATCGAGTGGGCCATGTGTGCTGAGCAGAGGGAGTAGCCAGGGTAGGAAGATCATAATAATTGATTTTAATATAGTGCCCTTCATGTCAGGAAGACATCTCAAAGCTGGGATATACTGTAAAGTGGAGTGATAGTATTTTGTGGGTAAAAATGGCAGCACACATTACACTCAATTCACTTTACAGTATATTCTGTGAAGCGCTTTGAGATATATTGAAGACATGATATGGTGCTTTATCAAATGCAAGGATTATTAACAATTTGCACACAGCAATATCCCACAAACAGCCTTGAAGCAAATAACCATTTTTTTATTTGGGAGATTGTAGGCCAAGCCACCAGGAAAAAATCCTCTTTATGAATTGTCCAACCTGAATAGGCAGACAGGTTCCTGGTTTAATGTCTTATCCAAAGAACAGCGGTTCCAACAGTGCAACACATGCCCACATTGCATTGGAACGTTAGCCTTCCCAGGACTGCGTTGAGTTCCCAGTCATGATGTGAGGCTTAAACCTACAATTTTGAGACCCAGAGGCAAGAGGGCTGACACAAGAAAAAATCCATCTTAGGGAGGCATCTTGAGTAACCAGAAGACTCCTGGGAGCAGGTTCACTGCCTGAATGAAGATGTGATCAGTCTCCTCAACAACTTCAGGTCAAAACACAGGTGGACACTGGAGGGCACCACAATTATTGTACAGTGCAATACCCCATTTCGGTCACACGATGGCACCATAATGAGCAACACTGAAGGGCAGTTACATGTCATCGTTGTTGATGTACATCACAGTCCCAACATCTGATCCAGAATCTTTCTTCTGCTTATCTGCACAGGAGAAATGAGCAAATAAAACTATTGATCTCTGTTTATTTTCCTGCCAATTGGCCACAGTGACAAGAAATCAGAATCCTTGCATTTGACATAGTTGCCCTATGTCGTCGAGACGTCTCAAAAGCGCTTCACAGATACACTACAAAGGGAAATTGACTATATTTTGTGGGTGAAACGCGGCAGCCAATTGCGCACAGCAGCGTCCCACAAACAGCCGTGGATTGATTGGCCAATTTATTATTATTTGGAAAGATGGAGGGATTATTAACCCCGGAAAGCGATCCGCCAATCAACTAACAACAACAACTTGCATTTATATAGCACTTTCGATGCAGGACAAGCGCCTCAGAGCGCTTAACAGGGGCGGAGTTTAACACTGAGCTGGGTGGGGGGGGCGGGGAGGGTGAGGGTGGCCCCGAGCCCTGTCGAAGAGGAAGTGTTTCAGACAGGACTTAGGAAAGGGGAGAGGGGGAAAGCCGGAGGGATTGAGGGAGAGAGTTCCAGGGTTTCAGGGCGTAGTGGCTGAAAGCGCGACCTCCGATGGTGGGGCGGAGGGTGTGAGGGTCGAGCGGAGGGGCCGGGTGGTGGACTGGGGAGTGAGGAGGTCGGAGAGGGTGGGAGGTGCCGGAGGAGCCCGGGGGGGGGAGCCCGGGGGGGGGGAGGAGCCCGGGGGGGAGGAGCCCGGGGGGGAGGAGTCGGGGGGGGAGGAGTCCCCTCTCTCTCTCTGGTAATAACTCGAGGCCGGAAGCGCGCACGCACTGGTAGAGGCGCGTGACGACAGTACGCACGCCAGACGGTGACGGGGGCGCGCGGTGTGACGGGCTCTGACGGGGACGCGCGGGATGGACGCCGTGGCCGCGGTGATGGATGAAGTGGCCCTGGAGGGCCTGGACGGCCTCACACTCGGGGCCCTGTGGTGCCGCCTCGAGCACCGCGTCCCCCGGTTCCAGCTGCAGCTCGACCCCGACACGCGCCGCTTCCTGTGGGCCGCGCTCGGCGCCAACCCCGGGCTCCAATTCTACCGCCTGCCCCGGGCCAGGCCTCCCCTGGTCTATATAGACAGGTCAGAGGGGGACAGGGACAGAGGGGGAGAGAGAGGGGGGGAGAGAGAGAGAGAGAGAGAGAGACAGAGAGTGTGAGAGAGACAGAGTGAGAGAGAGAGAGTGTGAGAGAGACAGAGTGAGAGAGAGAGAGAGTGAGAGAGAGAGAGAGAGAAGAGTAAGAGAGAGACAGTGAGAGTGTGAGAGAGAGAGAGTGTGAATGTGAGAGAGACAGAGTGAGAGAGAGATGCAGAGAGTGTGTGGGATACAGAGTGTGTGAGAGAGAGATCCTCTGATAATAATCACAAGATAATAAATTGGTCGTTTCAATCTACGACTGTTTGTGGGACATTGCTGTGCGCAATTGGCTGCCGCGTTCGCCCACAAATATACAGTCAATTCACTTTACAGTGTGTTCTGTGAAGCGCTTTGGGACGTCCTCCCGACGTGAAAAGCGCTATATCAAATGCAAGGATTATTATTAGAATATGTGTGTGTGAGATACAGTGAGTGTGAGATACAGTGAGTGTGTGAGATACAGTGTGAGATACAGTGAGTGTGTGAGATACAGTGTGAGATACAGTGAGTGTGTGTGAGATACAGTGAGTGTGTGTGAGATACAGTGTGAGATACAGTGAGTGTGTGTGAGATACACTGTGAGTGTGAGATACCGTGAGTGTGTGTGAGATACAGTGTGAGATACAGTGAGTGTGTGTGAGATACAGTGTGAGATACAGTGAGTGTGTGTGAGATACAGTGTGAGATACAGTGAGTGTGTGTGAGATACAGTGAGTGTGTGTGAGATACAGTGTGAGATACAGTGAGTGTGTGTGAGATACAGTGTGAGATACAGTGAGTGTGTGTGAGATACAGTGAGAGTGTGTGAGATACAGTGAGAGTGTGTGAGATACAGTGAGTGTGTGTGAGATACAGTGAGTGTGTGAGATACAGTGAGATACAGTGAGTGTGTGTGAGATACCGTGAGTGTGTGTGAGATACAGTGTGAGATACAGTGAGTGTGTGTGAGATACAGTGAGTGTGTGTGAGATACAGTGAGTGTGTGTGAGATACAGTGAGTGTGTGAGATACAGTGAGATACAGTGAGTGTGTGTGAGATACAGTGTGAGATACAGTGAGTGTGTGTGAGATACCGTGAGTGTGTGTGAGATACAGTGAGTGTGTGAGATACAGTGAGATACAGTGAGTGTGTGTGAGATACAGTGTGAGATACAGTGAGTGTGTGTGAGATACAGTGAGTGTGTGTGAGATACAGTGAGTGTGTGTGAGATACAGTGAGTGTGTGAGATACAGTGAGATACAGTGAGTGTGTGTGAGATACAGTGTGAGATACAGTGAGTGTGTGTGAGATACAGTGAGTGTGTGTGAGATACAGTGAGTGTGTGTGAGATACAGTGAGTGTGTGTGAGATACAGTGAGTGTGTGTGAGATACAGTGAGTGTGTGTGAGATACAGTGAGTGTGTGTGATACAGTGTGAGATACAGTGAGTGTGTGAGATACCGTGAGTGTGTGTGAGATACAGTGAGGGTGTGAAATACAGTGTGAGTGTGAGATACAGTGAGTGTGTGTGAGATACACTGTGAGTGTGAGATACAGTGAGTGTGTGTGAGATACAGTGTGAGATACAGTGAGTGTGTGTGAGATACACTGTGAGTGTGAGATACAGTGAGTGTGTGTGAGATACAGTGTGAGATACAGTGAGTGTGTGTGGGATACAGTGAGTGTGTGTGAGATACAGTGAGTGTGTGTGAGATACAGTGTGAGATACAGTGAGTGTGTGAGATACAGTGAGTGTGTGTGAGATACAGTGTGAGATACAGTGAGTGTGTGTGAGATACAGTGCGGTGCGAGTGTGTGCGGTGCGAGTGTGAGGTGCGCTGCGAGTGTGTGAGGTGCGCTGCGAGTGTGTGCGGTGCGAGGTGCAGTGTGAGTGTGCGAGGTGCGAGTGTGCGAGGTGCAGTGCGAGTGTGCGAGGTGAAGGGTGAGTGTGCGAGGTGCAGGGTGTGTGTGCGAGATACAGGGTGTGTGTGTGAGGTACAGCGAGTGTGTGTGTGTGAGGTACAGAGAGTGTGTGTGTGACAGCACAAAAGGGATATGTGTCCCTCGGGGAGAGAGTGTACATCCCATTCCAGACACAGTGAAATCTCTATGTATACACAGGATACCCATGAGAAACTCCCCCTCTCTCACACTCGTCAGCACAGTGATGGGTGGATTTCCACACGTGTCAGACATATACCTGAAGGAAAAGAAAACTTGAATGAAAGTTTTCGGGGAGAGGAGAAATTCTGGCGAAAAAAGCAACCTGCATTTAATTTTAATTTTTTGTATGGGTCTCACCAGGTATGAAGAGATTGATCCAGAGACAGGAATTCAGGAGTCGTACAGGGATCCTACCCCCAGATATGACGTCTATCCCATTAATATCATTTTCGACCAGGATGAAATCCAGGGTTCCTGTCTCTACTTTAATGAGCGGGTTTGCATAACTGCAGAGATTAGGAATTCAGATTTCCAGCCAACTTGCACATTGGACGAGGCTGTAGCAAGGTCAGTGCTCCGTTGTTTTTTTTTTGCTATTTGTTGTATTGAATTTCCAAACGATTTAGTGTTCGGCCGAACCTCATTTTATGATTCCTAATGTCTTCTGGCAGTTTGACGTGATAACAACAACAACTTGCGTTTATATAGTGCCCGACGGCGTCTCGGGAGTGCTTCAAAAATTTTGCAAGCACGTAATTTTAGCCACGTTTTCACCCACAAAATACAGTCAATCTGTTTTATGATATATTCCATAAAGCGCTTTGAGATGACTCAGTGACGTGATAGGGCGCTATATCAAATTAAAGGGTTATGTGAATTGACTGTATATTTTGTGGGCCAGTTGCGCACAGCAGTGTCTCACAGACAGTCATGGATTGAGTGACCAAATTAGTTATTTATTAAAGGGATTTATACCCCCGGAAAGTGATCCGCCAATCAACTAACAATAAGGTTCCTAAATACTACGAGGTAACCAGGCGTGTGGAGTAAGGAAACTTGTCACTCCCAGGAATCGAACCCGGGTCCTCTCACTTGCGAGGCAAGCACGCTAACCACTACGCTGCAGGACTCCCATGTTGTACACATTACAGGTGGCTTCAGCTACCATGATCAGCACAGCAGGAAAAACAACTAAAAGTCCCTAATTTTAAAAAAAAATTAGTCAAAAAGGATATAGGAGGAATAAGGTTGTTTATTTTGACGTTTATCCACGCCACTTCTGGTCTAATCTTTCTTTGTAAGGTGAGGTGCGTGCTTCTTCATGTTTTGACACGAGATTGCACAGTTAGGACATTGTTTGACAGCGTTTTACCACAACCATCAGTGGGCTGCTCAGTAAGGTTCTGCTCTGTTTTTGCAGATGGGGAGAAAAACTCGTCATTGTTGCCTCCCAAATGATGCGGCACCGAGCTCTGATCGGGTGGGAAAACGATATAGAATTGAAGCTGCCTGACTATTCCTATTGTATCCTGGAGAGGTTAGGCCGAGCGAGATGGCAAGGGGAGCTGCAAAGAGACCTTCACAGCGGAGCCTTCAAGTGAGGAGTTGTGGCGTTTGTGAAAAGGAAACGTAATTGGGGAAAATTTCCATCCAGATCTGGATTTATTCTATTTATGTAGCATTGGAGGCAACCAGAGTTTGGTAAATTCTTAAACGCTGCCTTAGTTTTGAAACCTGTTCTCTTTTAAGTGCCTTTTAAGAATCTACAGAAAGTTGCCTTCGAAGATTAAAACTGAATTCAACGATTTGCCAAATTTCTGAACCCTCTAAAATGGTACATAAATGAACGAGTGAATCCAGACCCATTGTGGAATTTCTCTTCGATAATAGTAATAATCCTTGCATTTGTTACAGTGCCTACAACGTCAACACTTCTCAAAGTACCTCACAGGGAATTGCTGTCAAAGTGCAGGCACTGTATTTGTTGGCAAACATGGCAGCCATTTGCGCACCACATAACAACATTCTTAAAAAAAAGTCAAGGCTGATGAAAGCCCATTCAGCACATTGAGGCTTGGTCTAATATTATATTGTCCTAAGTCACCCAATATAACCCATAAAGTATACAGTCACTACACTTTACAGTACATCCTATGAAGACATTTTCCCAAAGTGAAAGGCGCTGTATTAAATGCAAAGATTATTACTACGATAATAACATTTTGAAACATGCACAAAAGCAGCCAGCCGACACGTCGTGATTGAGCCACAAGTTATTTTTTAAGATTGTTTTAAAGCCTCTGATCCTAATTTAATTTTAAATTATATTCTTGATTTGCATGACAGAGACTTGAAGGGAAATGGGGATAAGGCAGAGATTGAGATTAAATGAACACCTTGCTCTGAGAGCCAGAGCAGACTCGATGGGCCGAATGGCCTCCTTCTACGTTGTACATTTCTATGATTTGATGATACCTATAATCGCTTAATACCTTTGAGTCTCCTGATGGAAATTTTTTGATTTCAAAGCTAAAATCTAATTTTTGTTACAGAATAGACGCTCGGAAAATGCATTACCACAGAAGAGTGCTGGACAGAAACGATCTGATAACCCTTCAGGCTCACGTGATTCGCCAGGCCAATGGGAACCAGCAGTACTCCATTCTCCTGCTCCTCAAGCGCTTTCACGTAGACAGGTGAGGAAGAGGCTTTTCTGTTCATTTCTTACTGCTGAGGGGCTACAACCTGAAACAGTTCAGTACATGGCTCTCTGCTCTCTGCTGTGGCACTTGAAGATCGTGTCTCGTGTGTGTATCCTTACAAAAAAATCCTTACAAAAAAACAAAACACAAAACTGCAGTCACTCAATGCAGGAGTGTTTGTGGGACGCTGCTGTGCACAATTGGCTGCCGTGTTTCGCCCACAAAATACACAGTCAATCCACTTTACAACGTATTCTGCTTTGAGACGTCTCAACAATGTGATAAGGTGCTATATCAAAGACAAGGATTATTATTATTTGTAGGCAAATGCAGCAGCCAATTTCTCCCACATAAATTTACTGTAAAAGGATGCCTTTATGTATTTTATGGGTGAACGCAGCAGCCAATTTGCACACAGCAATGCCCCATGAGCAGTCGTGAAGTGAATGTCCAATTTTAGATTTCCTTTGAGATTTCAAAGAGGAATTGTTGGCCCGGATAATGGGAGAAATTCCCTTCATTGCGTTGCTTTTTTATGTTGGCACCTACAGGAGAAGCAAATACGACATCCTCATGGAGAAAATCTCCAACATTCTCACTGGGCGTCCCAATCAGATTGACATCTTGCAAAATCTTCGGGATGAGCTGGTAAGTCCTGGGGAGTCCTGTAGCGTATTGATTAAGAGCACTTGTCTCGCAAGCAAGAGGTGGGTGGTGGGGGTGAAACCTTAGGCGAGATTCTTTACTTCACATGTCTCTTTATGCGGGGTAGCGTCTCGGAGCGTAACTCCATAACAACAACAATTTAAATTTATATGGTGCCTCTCAGGTTGGTAGGAAATCTCAAAGTGTTTCATAAAATCATAGAATCGTACAGCACAAAAAGAGGCCATTCGGCCCATCGAGTTTGTGCCGCTCTTTGAATAGAGCAATTAATGTCAATCCCACTACTACCCCGCATGAAGGGCGCTATATAAATGCAAGTAGTTGCTGTTGTTGAGTTCCAGAGGTCGACTACAGTATCTGGATGTACATCATGCCAAACCGTGGGAACCTTGCTCTCACGCAATTCACTTCAGTGTCTTGGTCAGCAGTCCCCCAGATAAAATTGATCATTCAATTCACATTGGGCAAGTTGAGGAAAGAAATGGAGAGGGGAAATGAAAGCGCAGTCGAAAAGAAAGGCGTTTACAATCATTGACTCTTACAGCACAGAAGAAGGCAATTCGGCCTTTTATAATGGCTCTTTCAAAGAGCTGTCCAATTAGTCCCACTCGGCTAAAGGTGTGGAAGAGGGAATCATTATTGAGTAATACAACAGCAACAAATTACACGCCTTTCACGTCGGGAAGACGTCCCATACAATACGCTATGAATTGCCACTGTTTCAGACCTGCGATGTTGCTTCGCATTCTTAATTCGAGAATTTTCTCATTCATTTAACAGCTGCCTTTTCTCCTTTTCTTAGGGACTTTGTGAACGAACGTTCAAAAAGCTTTATCAGTACCTGGTGGCAGCTGGTTTAGCAAAGATAGTCTCCATTCCTCTTCAGGAGCTGCATCCTGATAGCGGGCCACGTGTGACCAAAAAAGGTGAGCTACTTATGTGATGATGTATAAATGTGAATCTAACATAGATTGGCTTGGGAGGGAGGGTGGGAGGGCGTGGGGAGGGCACACAACTTCTCGAAAGTGAAAGGTACTTTTTTTTAAAAAATGTTGTAACAAGCGTCAGAGATGCATTTTGTCTCCTCCCTCCATCTGTGTTATGGAAGTTGTGGCACCGAACATGGCGACGGATCATTATCTGCCATGAAAATAATGGAACTCACTCACTCTCACACACACACACTCTCACACACACACACACACTCACTCACTCACTCATTCACACACGCTCACTCACTCACACACACACACACATCCACTCACTCACACCCACACTCACTCACTGGAAAAGGATGAAAAGGACTAATTTATTCTTCAAATGGTAGTTTGTGACTCGTGAATTCTGAAAAGAAAACAGACTTGCATGAGCTTTTTTTTTGCTGTGGTCAGCTGCAAAATACAGTGATTACGCTGAACAGTAAATCTTGTCAAGCGTTTTGGGACATCTTCCTGATACACGCAAGGATTGTTATTAGTATTATTGGCATTTATTCATCTTTTTGACCACTCGTCAGTCACATATTCTGCCCCCCAGGCTAGAGCTCCCAGTCTACTCTGTGAAGGACGTTGAGATGTCCTGCTGACTTGAATGGTGCTGTACAAATGTCGGTAGTCGTTGTTTAATTGCTATCTTTTGTGCCTTTTAATGAAATTTTAGGAACTCAAATCATTGTCCGGTGCCTCAAACTGTTAAAGGCGTACAGGAAAAAGGTGGAGGAAGAGGACGACGATGATGAAGATAGTGCCAGCAAAGCAGTTGAAAGTGTGGATGTAGTTTATGAGAGAGATATGTTGACCCAGGCATACGAACTAGGTAAGTTTATACGTTGGGGAGAGTGGAGCAATTTGTGCATATGTTCACCCTGGAAGATGCCAAAGCTCAGCTTTAGGCTCTAAATGGCTCTTGGTCTTTGAGGTGCCAAGGTGTGAAAATCCTTTCACTCTCTGGCACTCCCCTACCTTTCTGACCTTACTCTCCACTCCACTACCCACTGCGTCAGCTCGATTGGCACCAGGCTGATGCTTGTCTCTCACCCCTCCGCTCCACCATTGGTGTCCGCACTTTCAGCCACTACGCCCGGAAGCTTTGGAACTGTCTTTCCCCCTCCCAATCCCTCCATCTTGCCCCCTCCTTCACCTCTTTTAGATCACGATTGAAGACCTTCTTCTTTGACCATGGTTACGGTCACCTACCCCTGGCTCGACGGCAGGCTCTACCATTGTTAAGAGCTCTGGGCCATTGCTATATCAATGCAAGTTGTTGTTGTTGTCTTTCTAGTTGAGAAAAGTGGCACCCGAGGGATTTCACAGTCTGCGATCCGAATGGCCTTGAACGTGGGAAAGCTGGAGGGCCGTATGCTCTGCCGCTTGCTGGAAAGATACAAAGTCGTTACGGTAACGTAGAAACTATTTCCGAGTTCAATTCCTACTGACTCAACCAAACTAAAATGGCACCAGGCATTGTGAGCCCCCTGGAGCAGGACATTGTGGGTTTAGTTGTGGAGCCCGGCATTGTGACCCCAGTGACCCTCCCTGCCACCCCAGCGGGTAGTAATTCTTCATAAATTACATTTTTAATTCGAACGATCAGAAAGCTTTATCAATACAGTGACAGCTGGCTCAGCAACGATAGTTTCCATTCCTCTCCGGGAGCTGAATCCTGATGGCGGGCTTCATGTGATCAAAAAAGGTAACTTATTTTGTGATGTATAAGTGTGAATTTAACATAAGGCTCTTGGGAGGGAGGGAAGGAGGGAGGGCAGGTCCACATGTTCTCAAAATTGGCAGCACAAGTGGAAAGGGCCGTATTTTTATAAGAAGCAAATGGTATTTTGGGTTTTACACGTGGGGGCAGAGAGTACAGGAGTAAGGCTTAATGTTTAAACGTTCAATCCGCAAGAACAGAGCAGAACATGACCTCAACCCGCTTCCTGCTTTTCTAAACCCTGAGAGTTTGTTCCCCAACAGGGTTTTATGGAAGATGAAGGGCGTCAGCGCACGACCAAGTACGTGGCCAGGCCGTTTGTGGCCCAGAGTGAGCTGAGCAAGCAGTTTGAGAAGGAAAAGGCAAGACACGAATGGCTAGCGACAGCGAGCCTTACATCTCCTGAACCCACCGAAGAGGAACATTGTCCACCGAGCGGAGGGGAAGAGCCCGGAGAGGACGTCACTGATTACGTACACGAAGATCTGCCCGAGGAAACACCGGCAGAGGCAGCGGCTGATCAAAGCGACCCCGTACCTTCTCCGGCTCTCCCACTGGAGGAGAACCGACCGGTGCCGTCCCACTTGGAACCGAAGGAGAAGAGTTGCATCGCCTCCCAGACCATCATTAACCAAGGAAAGAAATTAGTCAAGAGTGCGCTGCTGAGAAAACTCAAACTGAAGAAAGGGCTGCGACGAACCAAGTTGGGGAAAGGTCAGAGAGATTTGTGGTTATTGTCATTTAGAGTTCACAACATGAAATCTTAAGCGCCTCAAGTTTGTTATTGTGCTGCATGTCTGAAAATGTTATTCGCAAAAAAAGTGTTTTATTTTTATTTGAATTTGGTTCGACTGCAACCCAGATTTGATCAGTAGGGGCAGCGTTGGCAGAGTGTAGTAGGCAGAGCTTCAGCCACATACCAAGAGATCCCGGCTTTCAATGCGAGTCATGCTCCGTTTGCTGGCCTCAGCTGGTACTGTACAGGGTGTCCACAAAGTCCTGTTATCGCCTGTTACAAACAACAATATGAAGCTACGGAGGAGCTGAAACAAGGTCAGCAATGCATTTTGTCTCCTCCGTCCATTGCTACGGAAAATGTTGCAGCAAACATGGCGATGGATCATTATCTGCCAGAAAATTATGGCGCTCACTCTGATCCTGTAGACGTCTAAATACAGTTAAAACACTTGTACTGAATGCAATTAAGTTATTCTAAATACAGTTCTCATTATTCTTCCATGAGTTTCAGTCGTTAGCAGGGAGACACTTTAAAGGGCTAACAAAGGGCGGAGGCAGAGAAAGGAAGACAAAGGAGAAAATGAGGCATAGGACAGGGAATGATGGGTTAAAGAGGTGTTAATGATGTAAAACCAAGGGGGGGAAATTGCAACAAAACAACAACAGATAACAAAATGACATTTATAGAGCACCCTTCACGTCAGGAGGACATCCCAAAGCGCTGAACAGTCAGCTGTCGGGGTCCGAGCATGGGGGAGGGGTGGTGTAGGGGTGAGGGAAGGCAGAGAGGTGGGAGGGTGACCAAAGGCACGATCGAAGAGAAGGGTCTTGAGACCGACCTTGAAGGAGGCGAGGGAGGAAGCGAGGCGAAGGGACCATGGGATGGAGTTCCAGAGTGTGGGGGCAGAGAGGCTGAAAGCCCGGTCACCGATGGTAGGGCAGGTGGGGCGGGAGACATGGAGTAGGACGGAGCCCGCTGAATGGAGGGAGCGGGTAGGCTGGTAGGGAGAAGTAGGAGGGGGTAAGGCCATGGATGACCTTAAAGGTGAAACAGGCAGACCAGAGAGAGAAAAGGTGTGTCTGGGACCCAGATGATGTGGCAATGGTCACAGAACAGGGATGGGGGGAAGGTGAGCTGTTATGGTCTGAAATGATTTTTAATCAACATCGAGGCCAGAAGGCTGTAAGGTCCGTAGCAGATAGATGAGGTGCTGTTCCTCAAGCTTCCGTTGTGGTCATTGGAACAGCGTAGGAGACCGTGGATGGAGCGGTCAGAGTGCAAGTGGGAGGGAGAGTTGAATTGGCAGGAATCCGGGAGCTCAGGGTTGTGCTTAATAATAATAATAATCCTTGCATTTGATATAGCGTCTTATCACATCTTAGAGACGTCTCAAAACGCATCACAGAATATACTGTAAAGTGAATTGACTATATTTTGTGGGTGAAACGCAGCAGCCAACTGCACACAGCACCGTCCCACAAACAGTCGTGGATTGAGTGAATTTTTTTTAAGGAATTATTGCTTGCGGGCAGAACGGAGGTGTTTGGCAAATCGGTCACCCAATCTGCATTTGGTCTCCCCAAATGTCTCCCACATCGTGAGCAGCGAATGCAGTAAACTACATTGATGGTAGTTTACGTAAATTGTGGTCTCACTTGAAAACTATGTTTGAGGCCCTGGTATGGGAGGAGGTGAAAGGCAGGTATTTCATCTCCTGCGCTGGCATGGGAAGGTGGCGGGGGGAGGAGAGCAACTGTTCATGGTGATGGAGGAATGAACCAGGAAGTCACGGAGGGAACAGTCCCTTCGGAAGCTGAGAGGGGAGAGAAAAATATGTTTGGTGGTTGGATCACGTTGGAGGTGCCGGAAATGGCGGATAATTATTTGTTGGATGTTGAGGCTGGTGGAGTGGAAGGTGAGGTATAGGGGGGCCCTATCACAGCTCTGGGAAGATGGGGAAGGGGTGAGGGCAGAGGTGAGGGAAATAGGGCAGACACTGTCAAAGGCCCTGCCTACTACAGTGGATGGGAATTCTTGATCGAGGAAAAAGGAAGACATTTCAGCTGCTTTAGTGTGAAAGGTGGCATCGTCAGAGCAGATACAGCGGAGGCGGAGGAAATGAGAAAAGGGAATGGAGTGTTCACAGGAGGTGGGATGGGAGGAGGTGTAGTCCAGGTAACTGAGGGAGTTGGTGGGCTTGTAAAAGATATCTGTAGATAATCTATGCCCCGAGATGGAAATGGTGAAGTCGAGAAAGGGAAGAATCGCAGATGGACCATGTGAATGTTATGGAGGGCTGGAAGGTGGAAACAAATTTGGTGAATTTTTCCAGCTCACAACAAGGGCAGGAAGCAGCCCCAACACGGTCCTCAATGTATCTGAAGAACAGGTCAGGGAGCGGAGCTGAGTAGGCCTGGAACAAGGAGTGTTCCAGGTGGCCAACAAATAGGCAGGCATAGCTGGGACCCATGCGGGTTCCCATAGCGACACCTTTTACTTGGAGGAAGTGGATGGAATTGAATGTGAAGTTGTTCAATGTCAGAACAGGTTCAGCCAGACGGGCGGAGGAAGGTGGTGGTGGATGGAGACCGGTTGGGCCACTGTTCGAGATGGAAGTGGAGGTCCTGCAGGCCGTCCTTGTGGGGGATGGAGGTGTAGAGGGACTGAACGTCCATTGTAAATAGGAGATGGTAAGGGCTGGGGAACTGAAAATTGTTGAAGTGGTGAAGGGCGTCAGAAGAGTCACGGGTGTATATTATTTTTGAGTCAGCCAGGTGTCTGACACATGCGGAAACTCATCACAACGCTTAAAAAGTCACCAAACCGAGAATTCCGTTGCCAAACATGTCACCTTGAAGCCAGTTCAGCTCCAAGGAGAACCCGTTTACCTGCCCCTCCACCAAGTCAAGAACTAAGAAGCCAAGTTGTTTGCCAGGTCTGCACTGCAATCCCTCCACTTAGGGCAGGACACCCACTCCTTTGCCTATGACCAGACATCACTGGCACATTATTATGGATTACGTCATTATGATCTAAAACATCAATCAGCATCAAAGCCAATTGAACGGCTTCTAAAACTACATTAGCGATTGAAAAGGAAAGGCTGTCATTTTCTTTTTATCCTTTTTTTGTTCCTAAAAATCCTTGTGTTGCAGTTGTAACAGGAAGGAAACGATGCAGTTTGCGAAAGCTGGCTGTTGGCAATGGACAGCCACAGAGCCTGGAGAAGGGTGACGAGGAGCCAGCCGGAGAGGCCGAGGCTGAGCCCTCGCAGCAGGATTCAGGAGTCGCCCTTTCGGCCCACTCAGAAGAGGAAGAGATTGCTGTCATTGAAGAGGTCAAGATTGAAAAGCCAACGGTATGAAGGATTTTTCTTTTGGTCTGCATGTCTGACACATGCAGAAACCCCTCACCCTGCTTAAGAGTATCCAAACCAAGCTGGGTCAAGAGGGTTGGGAGGTTGGCCTTCAGCACAGTCGAAGAGGAAAATCTTGAGATGGGCCTCAAAGGAGGCAAGGGAGGAGGTGAGGCGGAGGGATTCCGGGATGGCAGTTCCAGAGGATGGGGTCAGAAAAGATCCAACCACCAATGGTGGGGTGGGCAGGGGGGAGTGGAGGGAGTGCACTGGTTTGTCTGGTGTAATAGGTCCTGTGTTAGTATCTTTCACCGTTTGTACAAGTGTAAGTTGTTGTTGTTTATCAATAATTTGTATAAATAGAGTAAATGTATAAATCCGAAAGTTCCCGAATGAAACGTTGAGCCAATATTACATTCAGACCTTCAAAGATTGTCAGTTTCTTCTTTCTCCCTGAAAAAGAAGCAAATAGTGACTTCCGAGAGGTAGAAATATGACTATTGGGAACCTGGTGCTAGCCCTCGGTCATGACTCACGCCTGCCTTTGCCATTTGTTTTCTCAGGAGAGGGAGTGCGGCAGCAAGATAAAGAAATTGTGCCGGCCCCGGTTAAAGAGACCTCATGAAACCTGCCGGCTGCTCAAACGCAAAAACATGATCATAGAAGCTGTGCGGAGTCTGAAGCTGATTGAAAGTCTCTTCTCGTAAGTCTTTATTGACCGGTGTCAGTATATTGTGAATCTTATTTTAAGGCTCTTCCAGAAGAGGTCTGGGATCTGCTCTCCGTGCATTAGCCTGTTGACTTGCCTGACAACTTGCCCTTTAAAGCCATTGGCTTTGGGCAAAGGACTAGCAAAGCATTGTACAGGTGTCAAAAAATGAACTCCACTGCAGCCTATTTATTGGACACCTGTAGCGTATTGGTTAGAGCGCTCGCCTCGCAAGTGAGGGAACCCAGGATTGATTCCTAGGCAGGCTGAAATCTTTGGCGAGTTTCCTTATTCCACATGCCTCTGTTTGCCCAGCAGTATGTAGGAACCCAGTCGTTAGTCGATTGGTGGATTGCTTTCTGGCGGCAATAATCCCTTCAAAAAATAAATAATTTGTCACTCAATCCACAACTGTTAAATTGTTCTACTCCAAGACAATCTTGGAGGCTAAGGACAACCCTAGGCTCCTCATCTCCATCATGAACCAACTCCTCCACCCACCCTCTCACCGATCATCACTCCAAATGCCAACTGCGAGGTGATGTTGGACTTCCTTGAATCAAAATTCGAGGGAATCCGCTCAACTGCCTCTGCCACTGCAACTACTACCCCCTCCTCATCTCCTCCTCCCAACCCAGCCCCTACCTCCCTCCACACCTTTGAACCCGTACGCCCCCGCCCCCCATTCTCATCACCACCATAACCCCTATGAAACCCACCACCTGCTCCCTGGATCCCATCCCTACCCCCCTCCTTACCTCCTTGCCCCTCTACTCACTGACATTGTTAACCTCTCCCTGTCCTCTGGTACTGTTCCCACCTCTTTAAAAATCGCTGTCATCATTCCTACCCTTAAAAAACCCTCCCTGGACCCTTCTCTACTGTCTAACTACCGCCCCATCTCCAAACTCCTCTTCCTCTCCAAGGTCCTGGAACGAGTTGTTGCTTCTCAGCTTCACTCCTTCCTCTCCCGTCACTCCCTTCTCGAACCCCTCCAATCGAGCTTCCATGCCGCCCACAGCACAGAAACCTCCCTGGTCAAAGTGACAAATGACATTCTGTCCATCTGCGACCAGGGCTCCCTCTGCCTCCTCGTCCTCCTTGACCTCTCTGCTGCTTTCAACACCATCGACCACTCTATCCTCATCAACCGCCTCTCCGCTCACCTCAACCTCCATGGTGCTCTCCTTCACTAGTTCAGATCGTATCTCCTCAAACAGCTTCTCCTCTATCCCCCGGACTGTCTCGTGCAGCGTTCCTCAGGCCTCTGTCATTGGACCCCTCCTCTTCAACATCTATATGCTCCCCCTTGGTGACATCATCCGCAGACATGGGGTCAACATCCACATGTATGCAGATGACACCCAACTCTATCTCTCTACCTCCACCCTTGATTCTAGGACCACTGCTGTGCTGACAGAATGTCTGTCAGACATCAAATCCTGGATGAGAACTAACTTTCTTCAGTTGAACGTCAACAAGACCGAGGCTCTCCTGATTGGCTCCCGTCTGCGCCTCGTCACCTCCAATAATGCACACCCCTCCTTACTAACCCAGTCCGGAACCTTTAACTCACCTATCCTTTTTACCCCACATTTATGCCATGACCCGCTCTGCCTTTCCCCAGCTCCGCAACGTCGCCCGGCTCCGACGCTGTTTCACACTGCAGGCCGCCAAAACCCTCATACACACATTCAGAACATCCAGGCTCAACTATGCAAACTCACTACTTATAATCCTTGCATTTGATATAGCGCTTTTCACGTCGGGAGGACCTCCCAAAGCGCTTCACAGAACACACCGTAAAGTGAATTGACTGTATATTTGTGGGCGAACGCGGCAGTCAATTGCGCACAGCAATGTCCCACAGACAGTCGTAGATTGAAAATGACCAATTATTATTTGGAGTGTGGAGTAAGGAAACTTGCCCAAGGTTTCGCCCTCTGCCTGGAATTGAACTCAGGTCTCTCACTTGCAAAGTGAGTGCTCTAACCACTGAGCTGCAGGACTCTACTTGTCGGCCTCCCCAACTCCTCCCTCCACAGGCTGCAGATCATCCAGAACTCTGCAGCCCATATCCACTCCTGCACCAGGCTCCGTGACCCTATCACCCCCATCCTCACCCAACTCCACTGGCTTCCCATCACAGAGAGGATACAGTTCACGATCTTGGTCCTCACCTTCAAAGTCCTCCAGGGTCTTGCTCTCCCTACCTCTCCGACCCCCTACCATCCTGTTTGCTCCCTCCGCTCAGCGGGCTCCAGCCTGCTTCATGTCCCCCGCCTCGCTCGCCCCACTATTCCGCCAGTCTGCACTCGCCTCTGGAACTCCATCTTGCAGTCGCTCCGCCTTGCCCCCTCCCTCGCCATCTTCAAGATCCACCTCAAGACCCTCCTCTTCGATCGTGCTTTCGATCTCCTCCGCCCTCCCACCTCCCCAACCCTCAGCTCAGGTCTGAGACTGTGTCTGTCCAGCACCATGGGATGTCCTCCCGACGTGAAAGGCGCTATACAAATGTAATTTTGTTGTTGTTTGTGGCTGCCTCGTTTCGCCCACAAAGTACAATTTACTTTATTATTATTACTGTAGCGCATGGTACAGTAGTTTTATTACAGTATATTCTGAGAAGCGCTTTGAGACGCCTCAACAATCTGATAAGGCATCATATCAAATGCAAGGATTATTATTAGTATATGGAACATCAGTGGAAATGGGACAGGTTGCACAGTTGCGGCAGGTCTGTATAACCTAAAACAATGCCTTGTTGATTTGTTTCCAGGCTTCAGAAGATGATCATGGACCAGGAGAAGCTGGATGGCATCGGAACCAGGTGCTGCAAGAAATCTATCATAAGAATGGTGCAGACATTGTCCCAGGAAGGCTTCCTCAGACTCTACCGCACCACAGTGATACAGGACGGCATCAAAAAAAAGGTGAAGGCAAAACACTGTCGCCAAATAAAACTTTTCCGACTTAATAACAACAATTCTTAATTGTAACAACTCGCTACATAAAAAAACAATTTTTTTTATCTCCCCTCTGGTACTTTTGCCAATTATATTAAATCTGTGTCCTGTGGTTACCGACCCACCCATCAATGGAAACTAGTTTTCCTGCTGAATTTCAGTGAAACAATTTTTTTTTGCACCAAATTGTTTTATTCTGGCGATAGAGCGTTCACTCACTGTGCTGTGCCCCCAGACTAACAATTCTCGCGTGTGTGTATTTCCCCAGGTGGAGCTTGTTGTTCATCCATCAATATTTCCCACCGATCCGCTTGTGAAAAGCGCCATTGAGCAAGTGCGGTTTAGGATCTCCAGCTCATACACAGCTCACAGGTTAGTGCTGGTGTCTGGGCTTCCCTTGTATTGTTTTATTTGGTGCTTTCGTATCAGTCTGTCCCAGTGTTGGCATTTTCCCCTCTGAGTCAGAAGGTTGTGGATTCAATTTGCGACTTGGAATCATATAGCTTTAAGCTGACACTCCATTGCAGTCCTGGGTGTAGCATTGTCCGAGGTGAGACGTTAAACTAAAGCCCCGTCTGCTTGTTCATGTGGACGTTAAGATCCCATGGCATTGACTAATAACTTGCTCTTGTTCGTTCCCTCATCAGTTTGAATTTCTCAGAGGGAAACATATGCTGCACATTGCTCTGTTGTTTTTGTGCAGAATGAAAGCATCCCAGAACCAAGCTCAGAGAGAAAAGCAGGAAAGTGAAAAGGCGGCTGCGGAGATGGAGGCAAACAAAGGTTCCGAGACGCCCAGCAAACCCTCCACCAAGAGAACCGAAGAGAAGATGGGCGTCACCCCATTGAAGAATTACCACCCGGTCATAGGTGAGAACCTCTGAAACCAATCATTTGTTTTTGGGTCAATCAGCCAGGTGTCTGACACACACAGAAACCCATCTCCGTGATCAGCCGGGTGTCTGACACACACAGAAACCCATCTCCGTGATCAGCCGGGTGTCTGGCACACACAGAAACCCATCACCGTGATCAGCCGGGTGTCTGATACACACAGAAACCCATCACCGTGATCAGCCGGGTGTCTGGCACACGCGGAAACCCATCACCGTGATCAGCCGGGTGTCTGGCACACGCAGAAACCTATCACCGTGATCAGCCGGGTGTCTGATACACACAGAAACCCATCACCGTGATCAGCCGGGTGTCTGGCACACGCAGAAACCTATCACCGTGATCAGCCGGGTGTCTGATACACACAGAAACCTATCACCGTGATCAGCCGGGTGTCTGATACACACAGAAACCCATCACCGTGATCAGCCGGGTGTCTGGCACACGCAGAAACCTATCACTGTGATCAGCCGGGTGTCTGATACACACAAAACCTATCACCGTGATCAGCCGGGTGTCTGATACACACAGAAACCCATCACCGTGATCAGCCGGGTGTCTGATACACACAGAAACCCATCACCGTGATCAGCCGGGTGTCTGATACACACAGAAACCCATCACCGTGATCAGCCGGGTGTCTGATACACACAGAAACCCATCACCGTGATCAGCCGGGTGTCTGATACACACAGAAACCTATCACCGTGATCAGCCGGGTGTCTGATACACACAGAAACCCATCACCGTGATCAGCCGGGTGTCTGATACACACAGAAACCCATCACCGTGATCAGCCGGGTGTCTGATACACACAGAAACCTATCACTGTGCTTAAAGAGTATCCAAACCAAACTGAGAATTCCATGCATCCCACCTACACATTGCCTTCAAATCCCTCCACTTCTCTGCACCCCCCGACCTCTCTGACCTCTCTCCTCAAAACAGTGCCCGTTGCCTTCGTTCCTCCGGGTCTGGCCTCCTCCTCGTCCCCCGAGTCCTCCGCTCCCCCCTCGCGGCCGTGCCTTCAGCCACTATGCCCCGAGGCTCTGGAACTCCCTTCCTCACTCCCTTCCCCTCGCCCCCTCTTTTCCTATTTTCAGGTCTCTGCTGAAGACCTTTCTTTTCGACCGCACCTTTGGTCACCTTCCTCCCCCTCCCCCTGGCTCCTCCCCCTCCCCCTGGCTCCTCCCCCTCCCCCTGGCTCCTACCCCTCCCCCTGGCTCCTCCCCCTGGCTCCTCCCCCTGGCTCCTCCCCCTTCCCCTGGCTCCTCCCCCTCCCCCCGGCTCGGTCCCGGGATCTGTTACTGTGAAGCGCTCTGAGACGCCGTCCGGCGTGGAGGGCGCTATATAAATCCAAGTTGTTGTTGTAAATTTCAGAGATAGATTGTTGACACTAATAAAAAATAGTAAGAGTCTGTGGTTAGTGGTGCACTGGGAGACTGCGGTATAACAGGGAGCGAGGTAGGGTGGTAGGATGGAAGAGAAATGCCTGACTCACATTCTGCCTAAAAACGTGTTGAGTCCTCTTACATTAAGTATTCCCACATCTACAGTGAATATTTGTGTAGGGAATGTGGTGGGATATAAACTAACGCATTGGCAATTCTGTGGTCGGAAGCTTTTTCCCTATTGTATCGTTATAATATACACACCCATCAGACAAAGACTTCACTGACTATAAGTGACATACACAAGAATATCCATATTTGAAACGAATACTGACCAGCTGGTAATTAATTGTATAAAGTGTTTAGTTTGGCAAGCTTGTGAACATCGATGCACTATAGTTTAAAAAGTAAGTTCACTAAGTAGAATCCGAACGTATTCTTATGAGAAAGCATCTGGTTTGAAACTGTGCGTTAGGGCAATGAAGTTCTGATACCGCTTGAGACATGAGATTATGTCACTTCTGCTGCACTAATTGAATGAGTTAGCCTAAAAATAGAGATGAAAAGTTGTTGTATATTATCTCTATCTTTTTGTGTGCAATTCCTTTTAAGTTTTAACTTTGTAAGTGTTCCGTTTCAGTTCCCGGGCTCGGACGTTCACTTGGCTTTCTGCCCAAGATGCCTCGGTTGCGCCTGGTCCACACCTTTCTGTGGTACGTTGTTTATGGACATCCTCTCCGGAAGCCTCCCGCTGAAGCACTGAACAGTGAGGCAACAGAGGCTCTGGCCACAGACACGGCGGAAGAAGCTTTGAGCTCAGCAATGTCAAATAAGGTCACTGACGTCCCTAAGACAATACTGAGCGAATCCAATCTGGGCACTGGAGCTGAAACATTGGCCCCAAACGCTGACAGTGAGGGCACCCAATGGAACTGCGAGATTGAACCTTTATTTGTCAACAAGACCGGTAATTCCATTTCTTCCTCACTTTTCTTTGAAGTCATGATCATTGTGGAGTCCTGTAGTGTATGGGTTAGAGCACTCGGCTCGCGAGAGAGCGAGAGGACCCGAGTTCGATTCCCGGGCGGGGCGAAACCTTAGACAAGTTTCCTTACTGCCGGCCTTCCTGGCACCTCCCTCCATACTGCAGGTCATTCAGAACTCTGCAGCTCGTGTACTGTCCCGCACCAGGCTTCGCGACCACATCACTCCCACCCTCGCCCTCGCTCGCCTCCACTGGCTCCCCATCCCCCAGAGGATCGAATTCAAGATCCTCATCCTCACCTACAAGGCCATTCACGGCCTCGCTCCCTCCTACCTCTCCGATCTACTATCCCCCTACTTACCTGCCCGTACCCTCCGTTCCTCTGGCTCCGGTCTGCTCCACATCCCCCGCCCCAACCGCCCTACCTTCGGTGGCCGGGCCTTCAGCCCCGAGGCTCTGGAACTCCATCCCCAGTACCTTCGCCGCCTTCTCCCTTTCCTCCTTCGAGGCCGGTCTCAAGACCTTTCTCTTTGACCGAGCCTTCAGCTCCCTCTCGACTCTCTACCCCCTCCTCGCTCCCTCCCTTCCCTCCCCTCACCCTGACCATTTCCCCCCTGCTCTGGTCCCGACCCAACTGTCCAGCGCCTTGGGACGTCCTCCCGACGTGAAAGGTGCTCTATAAATGAAATCTTGTTCTTGTTGTTACTCCACACGCCTGTTTACCGAGCAGTAAGTAGGGACCCGGTTGCTAGTCGATTGGCAGATCGCTTTTCTGGGAGAAATAATCCTTTAAAAAAGAAGAGTAATTTGATCAAACAATCCACGACTGTTCGTACGACACTGCTGTGCACAATTGGTTGGCGAGTTTTGCCCCACAAAATACACAGTCAGTTAACTTTACGGTATATTCTGTGAAGTGTTTTGAGATGTCTCAACAATGTGATAGGGTGCTACATCAAATGTAAGGATTATTATCAGTGTGGAGATGTTATTATAAAGGACCAGATCAGTTTGAAACAATATCCTGCACAGGGACAGTGATAATATTATGATGCTTATAAATTCCTGTTTGTAGGAACCCCAAATGTATCCACAACTGCTGATTTGATTCTGTTTTGGGAATTGGTGTTTCCTGTGGTATCTCATCTGTTAGTTCACATCTACCTCAGGGTTTCTTTGAAATTACTTTTTTTTTAGGAGAAGGATAATCATTTCATTCACTTAATGAACTGGGTGTTAGTTCTGTCCATTTCAAACCCAAAATATTCAATTAATTTGATAGCAGTGCAGGTTTAGTACTATTGTTAACCACTGCAACTGACTGATTAATACATCACTTTCCTACAGTGTATGCAGACGAGGCAACATGGAAGAGATATACTCCTGCTACTCCTATTCACAAAGAGTTTGGGCAAGGCTGGGCTCTTGTTAGCGATGTTCTGCTTTGTCTCCCTCTCTCCATCTTCATCCAGATAGTTCAAGTCAGCCACAAGGTAACTTATTTCTTTCACCTGAATGTTAAACCGTGGAGTCCTGTAGCTCAGTGGTGTGGAGTCCTGTAGCTCAGTGGTTAGAGCACTCGCTTTGCAAGTGAGAGACCTGGGTTCAATTCCAGGCAGAGGGTGAAACCTTGGGCAAGTTTCCTTACTCCACACAGAGCCTAATAATAATCCCTCCAAAACCAAAAACTATAATAAATTGGTCATTTTCAATCTACGACTGTTTGTGGGACATTGCTGTGCGCAATTGGCTGCCGCGTTCGCCCACAAATATACAGTCAATTCACTTTACAGTGTGTTCTGTGAAGCACTTTGGGACGTCCTCCCGACGTGAAAAGCGCTATATCAAATGCAAGGATTATTATTATTATTATTATATTGAGCCCTGCTATTTGGGGGTGTGGGTGAGATTCGGCTAGAATTACGGTGCTACAAAAAGAAGGATGATGGGGGTGGAAAAAACAGACTTTCGAACTCGGTCTCTCTTTAGAGGGTTTCATTTGATCATCCAATGGTGCAGGTTTTTCAAACGGATTGGTTAATGTTCTGCAGGGCTTACAAAATGCTTCAAAATACGTTGTGCAAGGATAAGGCAAGAGTTTTATAGTATCTTCAGTACAGTGCTATTGAACATTTTGTGTGGATCTGGCTAAAGGCTGTATTGTATTTGGTTGTTAATCCACGACTGTTTGTGGAACACTACTGTGCGCAATTGGCTGCCACAATTAACCCACAGAATGTACAATCAATTCACTTTACAGAATAGTCTGAAGTGCTTGGAAACATCTCAATACATGATAAGCAGTTATCTCAAATGCAAGGATTATTATTATTATTTAAATAGCCCTGACTAAGGGAACTTGATAGATTTTACATTTTCACCTGGGAAGTTTGGACAATTGGTAACCTTCCATTATTCATGTGCATATTAAATGTACAAATATGCTAGTTGTTTGTTTGTAATGTGTAATTAAGCGCTCCATTAATGTAAGCTACAGAGGGCACCCTTGTTAATAAGGAACTTTGTCCACAGACGGTTGTTCTCCGTAATGGATTCTTTCATTGTGAATCAGCATGCTGCAGTATATTTAGTGTGTAATAGCCTGCAGCAAATGGTACAGGGGTGTAAAACAAAACACTTACCGAAATGGTGCTTAAAAGCACTGCTTAGAACGTAGTGGGTGGTACGAAAGGCTCTCTCACACTTTTGAAGGGCTCCTATGTGGCAAAAACTGTTTTCCTTAAGAAGATAAAGCCGCTCAACATTGCAGCTGAAAGTATGCGGCACAGCACCGTTTCTTAACAAATCCTCGTGTTGGTTCGGGTCACTTCCAGGTATTTTACATCTTAATCAATGGTAGAGCTGTCAGTGGTGGAACCTTTCAGCCTCCTGACAGTGTTTAGAAATAAGCAGGTTATTGGGGTAAGCAGGTTACTGAGTTGCTGTCCTGGGTCAAAGGTGCGAAAAGGATACAAGGCAATGGTGTTTGCTGGTTGGGATTGCTTTACAGTTATAATTTAGACCCCAGTAAAATAGCTAATGTTAATAGGGAGCTGTGTGTATGGGTGGAGGTGCGGTGGAGGAGAGAGAGAGCTGATCCTGATAATTCTTCCTCGGTGTGAGTTGCTGTAATCTATACTATCTGATTGCCTGAGTCTTCATTCCTGGCATCTTCCAGTCATGTGAGTGGTCCTTTCCTTCTTATATTGCCTCCTGCTGCTGCATAGTGTGTCAACATTGACTGAAGATTGACTGAAGAGATTGTGTGGGAATGGACCTTTGTGCATCATTCCAGCAATATTCACCTACAATGCCCAGTCACTATTACAGTGGGTCCAGCGAAGTGCTTTGAGACGTTCCCCCGAAGGCGAAAGGCGCTGTATGGATTTTTCTATTATTATTATTATTTGCTTTTTGTTTTGCAGGTTGACAATATGGAAGAGTATATAAATGATCAAATGAAAAAGTTCTCTCTAGTTAAACACCTGCCGCAACCAATGAGGCAGCAGCTCCTTTATAAGAGGTTAGAGCATTGGCTTTCTCTCGCGCGCGTTTTTTTTTAACACTTTCTCGTCTCTGAAAACCCTGAGAGGAGATTGCATTGCGTGAGAGTATTTTAGACCCCAGTGAAGGCAACAACGGAGTGTGTGTGTGGGTGGGGAAAGGGGGTGGTGGTGGGCGAGATTAAGCTTGTTGCTTGTGGGAGAGCTTCCTGGAGATGTCATTTGTTAGATTATTAGCCCAGTTGGTGAATGGAGTTTCAGAATTTTTTTTAAATAAAGAAAAATTATTCTTTTTGTTTCTCAGGAGGTACATCTTTTCTTTCTTTGAGAGTTTGCAGCGTCTGTGCTACATGGGGTTGCTGCAGTTCGGTCCGACAGAAAAATTTCAAGAGAAAGATCAGGTATTGTTTTGGGGAGTCCTGCTGGGTGTGGGCTGTTTGCACACGTGTTAGTGTTGACTATGGATGGAGGCTGTGCTATATGTTAGAGATGGCAAAGAGTAAGTAAACTGGGCATGTTCACACTGGAAAGACAACAGTTGAGAGGTGATATGATTGCTGTTTTTAAGATTCTAAAGGGACTAGATAGTGTAGAGATAATGTCCAGAACAGCAGAACTAGGGGACACGGCCTGCGTTTGAAGGGGGGTAATTTCAAAATAAATCTGTGGAAACATTATTTCAGTGAGCAAGTGATAAGTCTGTGGAACAGGCTCCCTAGGGAGATGGCAGAAGCAAAAAGTGTTGATTCTTTCAAATGCAAATAATTTTGTTTAGGAAATAATAATTTGGGATACAGTATACGAGTATTTCAGGACATGCCACTTGGCGCAGTTGGTAGCACTCACACTCTGAGTCAGAATATTGTGGGTACTAGGCCCTCATAGTCTATGTAGACTGTATGAGGGTGGCTATAGGGCTGGGGTGCGCTGCGTTGCTGGAAGTGCCATCCTTCAGATTAAACTTTAAACCGAGGTCCCGTCTGCCTCAGATGTTCAGGTGGATGTTGGATCTCATGGCACTATTGGAAAAAGGAAGGGAGTTTCTCTCTCCTGGTGCCCTGGCCAACAAACCCTCAAATAAAATTTGTCACTCCCTTTGTGGCTGTTTGTGGGACACTTCTGCAGGCAAAGTTATTGTTGTGTTCACCTGCAAAATGCACAGTCGCTACACTTCAGAGTAAATCCTGTGAAGCGCTTTGAGACGTCTTCCCGATGTGAAAGCTATCACTGTATATCAGTTGCTACATTATTATAATATGTAATTGGAGTCGGGTGTACAGGGAAGCAATCGTGTCACCATGTGAGTGTTGGTGAATGTTAGATATTGTTGCTGTGATTGGAGTCGGAGCTGTTTCTTACCATAGGCAGGCGGGGTAGGGCTCAGTAGGTCACAGCAGGTATCAGTGGGTGAAGCGACCATGGTTCTCTTGTTCACCATCTCGCCGAGAAGTCACCATTCACTTGCTTGTCATCGTTTTCACGACAGGTTTTCATTTCTATCAAAAGGAATGCCACCATTGTCGACACGACCAGCTGTGACCCCCATTATAACATGGCCAGAAGCAACCGACCGTTCGATAAACGGCGCTACACCTTTAACCGCTTCCAGGATGTGGAGAGCTTCTGGTTTGACCTGATGTGTGTGTGTCTGAATACACCACTGGGTAAGTCAGCCTTTCCTTACCTGTCCTTACCGGCTAGGTTTGGCTCGGTTGTACCAGAGTTTGAGGGAGTGTTTTGCTGCAGTAATATTGCTCACTCGATGTAAAATTGCTATAAAATAACTTATGCTTTATTCATTGAATTGTTACTCTCCCAAGAGAGTTTAACAATATAATAACATACCAGTTTATAATAACATACCAGTTTACACAGCATAGTGATCATAAAACGTTACAGCTTAGAAACAGGCCGCTCAACCCATCATTTCTGCGCTGGTGTTTTTTGTCTCTTGATAATCTATACCTGCTCATTTTCCTCAAACCCTTTTAGTATTCCTCCTCTTGAAATAGCTATACTTTAAAACAATAATCTATAGACTCTGACTGAACACTTATTTATATTCCATTGAGCCTTTGTGTACAGACACCTCAACAAATGGGCATTTTTTTTAACAAAAAGCCTTGACTATTGGGATCCAGGTTGTGTTGTGTTAATCCTCCAGGATTGCTTTACATGCTTTGGCCACACGGTGTCACCAAATGTCACACTGCAGTCAAAGTTGCATTGCAGACGTTTAGTCTGACTGTGTTCATACGGTGAAGCCTCATTATAATGTGGTCGTCGGGATCCATTAATTATAATGTGGTTGTTGGGATCCATTAAGTCCGGTAATGAAGATTTCTAACTGTGCGTCACAACTGGTTTCACTTTACGGCCGCAGACAGCCGGCTTGTTCCCTGCATGTTCTGAGACTTTATTTTGCGTGAATAAATGTAAGTTGTTGGGTGGTTTCCTGGCTGAGAAAAGCCCAACTTCTGGGTCAACATATCACCGGGCGATGACACTTCCTGGTTACTGTTTTAGCACACAAACTACACACGTGCACAATGAATGAGATCCGCATGCATTATAACCCAATTCATCCTGTAAACAACAACAACTTGCATTTACATGGCGCCCTTCACCTGGCCTTGTTTTTGTTGTTGTTTGAAATCTCTGGCTCTGCAAAGCAAGGCCAATTGACGTCATAAAGTAATGTCTGCATTGTATTATTTTTTAAGGAGTGATTCGGTTCCCTCGCCAGAACAAAAAGAGTGGTCAAGCGACACAAGCGGGAGCAGAGGAGCGTGTACCCAATTCGGTGATGGACCAAGAGACAGCAGCTGGCCGTCACACCCTGGAGCGGAGGTGTGCCATGCTGGAGTACACAACGTATGTGTTGCTTTCAGTTGATTTACCTGTTGCCTATGTCTCCAGTTAGACTTTTTCTCCTCAGCTTTCCACACTCATTCAGTGAATTATTTATGTGTCCAAACCATTGTCCTCCATCCCAGAGGAAGAGTAACGTGTACTGCTAACGGAACGGCAGTTTTCCTCAGCCCAGGGGGTCTCTAACCCATCGATCACTACTAGGTGTCGCTGTCGCACATCACGAAAAAGACAAAAGAGGAAGGAGCGATGGAAAATTATTTCAGCCTCACTCAGTGGATAACACTCTCGTCTCTGAGTCTCAAGGTTGTGGGTTCAAGCCCTATGTCAGGACTTTGAGCTCACATTCTAGTGTCTAGGCTGACACTCCAGTGTAGTGCTGGGGAAGCGCTGCAATATCAATGGTTTGTCCTTCTATTCAGACGTTAAACCGAGTTTCAGGTGGACATTAAAGATCCCATAGTACTATCCGAAGAAACGAGGGAGTTTCTTCCAGTTTCTCCTGGGCAATAATCCCCACTTCATAGCTGTTTGTTGGACATTGCAATGGCTTCCACATTTGCCTGCATATACACACTCCCCACATTTTAAAATACAATCCTATGAAGCTCTTTGAGACATCTCAACAATGTGAAGATGTGCTCCATCAAGTGCAAGGATTGTTGTTATGTATTTCTGTGGCTCTGCTGACTTGCCTGCCTTCCAGGGGGAGCCGCAGTCTGGTGGATGATGGGATCATACCCGGCGATGGCCTCGGGGCGGCAGGTCTCGATTCAAGCTTCTTTGGACATCTGAAGAGAAACTGGATTTGGACCAGTTACATTATCAGCAATGCCAAGAAGGTAAGGAGTTTAAACAGGGCATCGGTGAAGGCTGTGTCTCTCTCTCTCTCCCAGCACCTTGAGACATCCTCCTGACGTGAAAGGTGCTATACAAATGTAATTTTGTATTGTACTGTGGCACAGCAAGTATTTCACCCACAAAATACACAGTCACTCCACTTTACAATATATCCTGTGAAGCACTTTGAGACTTCTCAATGACATGATAAAGCACTATATCAAAAGCAAGAAATATTATTGTTGTTATTATTAAGTACCACCACACACTTGCTGGACTGTGGTGGAGCCACAGCTCTGTTGTCTGAGAATCTCCATGTTACAGCATGATTGCACAATCAACTACAAATACACAGTCATGTGGCTTATAGGAAATCTTGTGAAGCTCTTTGAGACGTATTTATGCTGTGGCAAGGCACAATAACAAATGCAAATGGGATGCATGTGATTCTGTTAAGCATGGTGACGGGTTTCTGCATGTGGGAGACACATGGCCTACCCACACCTCAAATCCAGAGATGATTATTATAATAGCAAGACAGAAAGACAAGATTACATTATTCTCCTTATTCTCCTCACTGTATGATACTGTTTCTAATGATCTAAACAAATGAGGAACCATGGGCTTGTCCTTCTGGACACCTGTGTTTTTTTATAACCTCTGTGTATTATCCTTCACATTAGCTTCCCTTTTTTCACATTTTGTGTCATTGCCCCACAACTTGTCTGTTCAGTTTTTTCCCCATGTTATCACATTAGTTTAGAGAGCGATATAAGCAAACTACTGTCTTTAATACAGGCCTGCTTCTGTTACAGAACAACACACCCGCAGAGAACAGCCCAGCCCTCAGATTACAGATCTTCCTGAGCAAACATCCCCTTTCTCTCAGTATTGCAGGTGAGATTCCTTTGGCTTCAAGGAACATCAGAACGATAGTAATGTGGTTCTGCATTGCTTGCTGTGTAATGGATTTCTGCTATAACGTAGAGAACATTTTAGTGAAAACTTTTATTAGCATCGCAAAGGAGCACCACAGCCTAATGTCATCGCTGATCAGTACTGGACTGGAATACTGAAAAATGTACAATTCAATACACAGCACAACCTTCGGTACTCCTCATTTGCCTTATTTTAAATGTAATAGCCAATATTGTCTTTGTAGGCTGCTTACCAATAGCTTGTAGAAAAGTAATCGCAACTATTTGTTCTGTCGCTTTAAGAGGATTTATAGGTTGTGCAAAAGTAATCGATAATTCCCTCCCCCCAGCTGCTCTGCTGTCTTGCTGCCTTTAACAGGGTGCAAGAGAAGAGCAGCACTTTATCTCACACAGGTTTAATGGCTCTTCCCCTCCCATTATTTGTGCTTCTTCTGATGAAGATGTTTTGGTTTGGCTCAGGAAATGCACTGAATATGCTGGGGGCTGCTGAAGAGCCACTGGCCAGGAGAGCGGAAGACATTCGGATGGAAAAAGAGCTCAACATGGGCAGAAACAAACGAGTGGGTGGCGGGAAGGGCATGAAGAGAAAATCGCCTGAGAAGGACAGCGTGAGGAGACCGAGGAAGAGGAAGAGGAGAAGGAAAGGTTAGTCCATCTTTCTTATTAAATCGTACATTAGTTTAATTTCCAGTCAGACAGTTCACAAAGTGCAGGGGTTACCTCAATAGCAGCTGGAACTTGCATTTATATAGCGCTCCTCACACTCGCTTGAGTTCAGCCTCATTGTGTTCGGTGGCTGAGTGTCCACGATGTAAACGAGGTGCCAAAATGACTTGCGGATCACCACCAATGTTACCTTGTGTTGGCATGGCATGCAATGGCAGGAAGCATGGCTGTTTGAAGTGCCAACAGTTCAGAACACGTTCGTGTAAGAGGTGACGTTAGAGACTTGCTCCCTGGGCAAAGCAAGCACGTGTGTGACGTAGGGAGTAAGCTAATGACCTGTGAGAGGGCTATTGTGGAGTTTCCTTGCAAGTGAGAGGACCTGGGTTTGATTCCCGGGCAAGTTTCCTTACTGCACACACCTCTGTTTACCTAACAGTAAATAGGAACCCGGTTGTTAGTGAATTGGTGGATTACTTTCTGGGGATAATAATCCCTCAAAAAAAAGGTCACTCAATCCACGAATGTTGTGGGACACTGCTGTGTGCAATTGGCTGCCTCGTTTCGCCCACAAAATATGGGATCAATTCGCTTTACAATATGTTGTGTGAAGCGCTTTGAGCCATCTCGATGACGTGATAAGGCGCTGTATTAAATGCAAGGATTATGTTTTTAATGTTGAGGAGCCAGCTGGTTGGCCAGCGGGGTGTACTACGTATCCGGTGAGCACAGGTCTACGGTTGGCCCAATAAATGGACTTTTATTCTTAAAAAAAAAGGGCCGTGATCGCTTTCTAACATTTGCAGACGAGTCGTCGGAGCAGCAAAAAGCAAAACGGTTCCGCTTCCACGACGATGCTGATAAGAGCGCGCTGTGCCGCATGACAAAGCTGCGGGTGACTTGGACAGCTCAGGAAGACAGTCTGCTCATGCTGTGTCGAGTGGCCAGCCATGTCCTCAACAAGAAAGTAAGGAGGGAATTAAATACGCATGGTTTTTTTTAGGAGTGGGGGGGGGGGGGCAAATGAAGGACGCAGGCGGGGGCTTTTCCTGATTGAGGGTTACTGCACTTCACAGTATATTCTGTGAAGCACTTTGAGACTTAACAACGTCTTAACAACATGATTAGGCGCTATACCGAATGCAAGTGTTATTGTTGTTGCGTGAGATGTGGAGGGAGGGAATGCCAGAATTGCAGACTCCATCTCATGACTGAACCCTCTGCTGGTGGTGAAGAGCAGGAGAGGCTGAAAAAAGGAGGCAACACACAACAGTATAAGTCACTGCTTTCCTGCTGCTTATCCAGCTAGGACCAGTTAGCAGTTAAATGGAAGAATCTCTGCTCTCGGTGACCAGTCACCGCTTCTAAATTTATCAGCAAGGATACAGCCTAGCTAACTAATTAAGTAAAATTCAGTGGAAATATACAAATCTGGTCTGTTTTTAAACCTAGATTTCTTGTGTTTAGGTAAAGGGGCCCTTTGTGCCCTGGCAAGCTGTGAGAGATGTCCTGCATGCTCATTTTGAAGAGGCACTGGATAAAACCTCTCTGGCTGTGGGCCGGAGATCCCGCTATATCCTCAGGAATCCACAGACGATGCTTAACTACAGGTAAAGTGCGATTGCTTCTCGGCCGTTTGGCTAAGATCAAGTGTGATCTTAGCCCCCCCTTCCCCCATGCTGCTCCCCCTTTATGCCGGGACGGATAGGCACATCACAGCTTGAGCACTTGGTCACTAGGCTCAAGGTGTGCTTGCCTCCTTTCCTCCTCCACCACCACCCACATCCCCGCTTGCTCTGTCCCACCATACTATTCCTGTTCCTATATGCAGTCGAATGTACTGGGTGTTGGTGCAATAAATATTGTATGGATCGGACGAAACGTTGGGCGGGTTTCCTTACTCCACACCCCTTTGTTTTCCTAGCAGTAAGTAGGTACCTAGTTGTTAGTCAATTGGCCGATCACTTTCCCAGGGGTAATATCCCTTCGAAAAAAAAGTCAGAATAATTTGGTCACTCAGTCCACCACTGTTTGTGGGACACTGCTGTGCACAATTGGCTGCCGCGCTTCACAATATATTCTGTGAAGTGCTTTGAGACGACATGATAAGGCGCTATGTCAAATTATTATTATGAAGGTAGGTTAATAATGATGCTTTTTTCCGGGTCCTTCTCACATTCATTGGCTAATTGTAGCTGTTAAAATATCAAATGTTTGTCACTTGTGTCATTTTGTGTTGTCTGCAGGATCTGTCTTGCCGAAGTCTATCAGGATCATGACTTAATTGAAGAATTTATGAATAAGAGTGGTGATTATCAAGACTTCCACGTAAGCAGAACTGTGTGGCTTGTTTTCTCCCCAAAGATCAGAGCTTTGAACAAAGTAGAGAAAGTGGAGAATTGCCTTAATGTAACAGATAATGTTCAAACAAAATGTTCATATTTAATGTTGGATTGTGCAGTTTTCACTTAAATATCCTATTTTACAATTGGAAAGTACGATGTGGGGGAAGCGATTACATGCTGCAGTGATCAGTTCAGGAGTGCAGACGGGACTGTAAACAGATTACTGTGTAATTAACACAAACCGGGAAGATTAAGTTGCAGCTTAATTCACTCATCTGCTGATTGATATGATGCGTTTTCACCAGTTGGCCACTCAGGGTGAGGCGACTGCACAGCTTTCTGGGCTGTTGCCAAGTTACCCAGTCGGACCCTCAGGTTGGCATTGTCAGTCGCACCTTTGGTAATGTTGGCCTCTAATGGTATTTCGCATTTCACCCCCAAAATTCACACAGTCACAGGTTACAGTATAGCCTGTTGAAGTGCTTTGATACATGTTATAAGCGCTCCAAAATACACCTACTCACATGAATGCTATACAAATGCAAGATATTGTTGTTGTCACTCAGATGACATGATAAGACGCAATAGACACCAGAGTCAAAGTTTAACTCAGTCATCAATATTCTAACTGTTCACTGTCCTGCAACAAGTCCTTTGGAACTGGTTTCCATCCAGTTGAGACACCAGCTGCTAAGAGCAAATGTTTTTATTTAATTTATTTTTATTTAACTCCCACTTCCAGAGTGGTCTCTGTAGAATACAAAATTGTGTCTGTTTTTCACGTTTAAACACAAAGCAAATAAGGGAGATGACGAGGCAAGAGAGGGGAAGAAACATAAATAGGCAGAGTAACCGCAAGCTTCTATAAACAGGTATATGGATTTCTCTTGTGTACATAAATCCTTAATCCTTGTATTACAGCAGTAAAGCTGCTCAACTGGTAACATTATCGTGGTAATCCCAGACGATTTGCGGGAGCTGAAATGTTTCGAGCAAGCAGTAAAGCCGGGTTAACAGGAGCTGAGGGGGAAGAGTCACTGTGACTGGTCTGTCACTCCAATACTTGCCACTCCAATGAGCCAGGCTGGCTGGGCTCTCATCAGCAGTGCTCTGTTGTACCTCACATTTGCTTGAACAAAATCGCCACAGAAGGGTGACTCGATTCTCACATTCTGTTGCCAACATTCTGGCTCACTCTGGTCATCTCCAAGGAGATTCCGAGGAGGGTAGTCCCTAATCGGTGAATCCCTGGGGTTGAGTTGGTGTTGATTTTATTCAGCAGCTAACAGTGTGAATAATAGTCATGTTGCTTCTGTCTGTCTCGTGTGTCACAGAAGCGGCAGAGGCTTCATGTGATTCTTGATACCTACCTGGTATTATAATAATCCTTGCATTTGATATAGCAGCTTATCACATCACAAAGCGCTTCACAGAATATACTGTAAAGTGGATTGACTATATTTTGTGGGTGAAACGCGGCAGCCAGTTTAGCACACATTGTCGTTGTTTGAGGCTTTAACGCTCCTGGAAAGCGATCAGCCAGTCGATTAGTAGCCAGGCTCCTACTTATTATTAGGTGAACAGAGGCGTGTGGAGCAAGGAAAGGCTTAAGGTTTCACCCTTCCTGGGAATTCCAACTCCTCTCTTTTGTGAGGCGAGTGCACTAACCACGACACTACAAGTCTCCACATGAAAATGTGCTTTATTTGATAGTATTCGTCGGAAGGGGTGGCTGTGCGTGCTTGTCTATTTGCTTTATTTTTCTCGGAATCGACATCAGATATTGTTTGTACGGCACAGGTTTGTTCGGCGGAGTTTAAAGTATTCGTAGGAAGACTGAGAGAGAAATTCAGCTCAACAATAGGATCCGGAAATATTGACATCCCAGACACTCTGCAGGAATTGTTTGCCAGGTTGGTGCTGACGACAGTACGAAGTGGATCCTGACGAGCATGATAGCTTTAGTTAGACACTGTCCCACTTCCTCTATTTACAGCGCTCGGCTGCAGGTGTTGCCAACTCTGCATGTTTATAAGATTTGTCAAACATACTGCACGTGGCTTCATATTTACTATTTACTTCACTGCTGAGATTTTTGGGATTGATTTCTCTTCTGCAAAATGTTTGTATCCTAAACTTATGATTCCTCACTCTCTTTGGCGATTGGGATCATTCACCACAATCATTGCCTACAACACAGTCACTAACTACACTGTAGTAAACTCTGTGAATTGCTTTTGAGTCCCATGACTAGTGCAAAGAAATCAAAGTGGTTTTGATAGGAAACTGAGTGGGACTCGGGTACGTGTATGACTTAGTGGATCATACAATTTATAAGGAGAAGACTCTTGCAGGTTTTACTGTATCATGGTTATGGTGCAGTGGAAGGGAGATAACAAGGTAAAAGTACTGCGGCCTACAGACTGGTTAGGCCTCAGTTAGAATACTGTGCCCAGTTCTGGGCACCACACTATAGGAAGGATGTTAAGGCATTGGAAAGGGTGCAGAAGAGATTTATGAGGATGGTACCAAGAATGAGGGACCTTGATTATGAGGAAAGGCGAGAGAGGCCGGGATTATACTCATTGGAGCGGAGAAGGTTACGAGGAGACCTAATAGAGGTCTTCAAAATCATGAGGGGGTTTGATAGGTTAGAAAGGGAAAAACTGTTCCCACTGGTGGGTGTGTCGGTGACTCGAGGTCACAGATTCAAAATAGTATCTAAAAGAAGCCGAGGGGAGGTGAGAAGAAATTTTTTCACGCAGCGAGTTGTTCGAATCTGGAACGCATTGCCTGAAAGGGCGGTCGAGGCCGATTCAATAACAACTTTTAAAAACGTGGTGGATGGGTATTTGAGGAGGACGGGTTTGCAGGGTTATGGGGAAAGGGCTGGGCAGTGGGATTGGCATTACATTGCTCTTAAAGAGCCGCACAGACTCGATGGGCCGAATGGCCTCTTTTTGTGCAGTGTGTTTCTATGATACAGACAATGCATGGTCTTTTCTGTATCTCTTAACATTGTGTTTACCCAGGTACAAAATCTTAGTGATTGGGGAAGAGGAAGATGAAGAGCAGAAGCAAGACGAGTTCCTGAGGTAAAGTCGCTCACTGATCGCTGTTTTGTGCAGTTTCCGAGGTCATGTTTTGTTATCACGGAGAGAGCGATGGTCTGGTCTCTTAATACTCACTACAGCTGCCAATTATTTCTGCAACCCATGGGGAAGGTGCTTTTTAGTCTGAGATACTCTAGAGAAGAAGAGAGACTTGTGGTTGTGGAGGTAACACACACACTGGGTCTCCCTCCTCCTTGCCCCAACCTTGCCACTTGCTGCCATCTGTGCCTTATGCCGGACAGAATTAGGTAAGCAGGGTGTATCCCTCCAAGGAGAGAGTGTGTGTTCCATTCTAAATTTATTCCACATTTTTATGTGTAGGTGGTATACATGGAAAACTCAATCTGGTTCCGATCATCTTAATAATAATATATGGTGGAGTCCTGTAGCTTAATGGTTAGAGCACTCACCCTCACAAGGGAGAGGACCTGGGTTCGATTCCCGGGCTGGGCGAAACCTTAGGCAGGTTTCCTTGCTCCCCATGCCTCTGTTTACCTCTTAGTAAGTAGGAACCTGGTTGTTAGTCGATGGAGAATTGCTTTTCCGGTCATAATAATTCCTTCAAAAATAATAATAATTTAGTCACTCAAACCGCATTTCGCCTACAACATACACAGTCAATTCACTTTCTGTGAAGCCCCTTTGAGACGTTTTGAAGATGTTATAAGGCACTATGTCAAATGCAAGGATTATTATTACATTGTAACTTTTGTTTTGCAGTATTGATGATATTCATTACGTGGTCCTGCAGAATCTCATTCAGAGCACATTAACTCTCTCGGACACACAGATGAAATCCTGTCAGTCTTTTCAGGTATTTATGGTATTTGTACAGTGTGTCACAAAGTCCTGTTACACAAAAGTGATGTGAGACTACGGAGGAGCTGGAACAAACTGTCAGAGATGCATTTCGTCTCCTCACTCCGTCCATGTTACGGAAGACGTGGCATTGAACATGGCGACGGATCATTATCTGCCATGAAAATAATGGCGATCACTCACTCACACCGATCCTCTGGACGTCTAAGTACAATTAAACACTTGAACTGAATACTATTAAATATAATTATCTTTATTCTTCCACATGTTACAGTTGTTGATCAGTGCACTGCAGAAAAAAAACATGGGGGAAACAGGACGTTGTGGAGACTCTTTATTGACAAATGTCACTAAACTCTTTATGGTTCCAGTCGCTACGACATGACCTGTGTACTCTTAGTTATAAGTAAGGAATCAGATTTTGAGATGTAGGAAAGCCAATTTAGGCCTTGCTTTTAAAGAAAAATTGCAGAAAGTCATCTTCCAAATTTAAACTGGAGTTTTCAAAATTCTGGACGATTTTACATTTTAAGATGAACATCATGGGGTAGAATTTCGAGCCTGATCTGTTGACTTTTAAGATTTTCTATAATTTTATTTTGAAGATTTAACCTTCCCTTTGCCAGAATGGTTCTTTGTAAAATGTGCGTGTGTGTTTTTGTGCGTAAAAGCTTTATGATATGATTTCCTTCCGTAGACTTTCCATCTGTACAAACAATACAATGATGATGTCTTGGTAAAAGTCTTCGTTGAATTTCAAGAGAAGAGTTTGATAAACCGGCGTCGAGTCAGTAAAAGTTTAGGACCAAAGAAGAGTCGTGCTTTGCCTTTCGCACCCATGTCTTATCAGTTGTCGCAGACCTACTTCAGGTGTGTAGCACTTACATTGGCACTTTGAGTTCACAGTCTAGGCTGATGCACCAGTGCATTGTTGGCGGAAGCTGCATTGTCGGAGGTGGCGTCCTCCAGGTTAGACGATAAACTGAGGCTCCGTCAGCCTGTTCAGGTGAACGTTAAAGATCCCGTGGCGCTATTGGACAAGAGAAAGGAGTTTCTCTTTCCCGGTGTCCTGGCCAACAATCCTCCAAATAAAACTGGTCACTCACTCTGTGGCTCTTTATTAGATATTGCTGTGCGCAATTAGCTGCTGACAAAACAGTCAGTCCACTTTACAGTAAATTCTGTGAAGAGCTTTGTGAAGTCATCCTGATGTGAAAGGCGCTATCCCAAATATAAGGTGTATTATTTTACCATTTTTTTTTACCATTTGGCAGTCATTTTGGAACGATTCAGAAAAGGGGAGATGATCCATTAGTTTCAATGTTTGCAGTGAATTTTGTTGACTTGGGAATGTAATTCTCACAGGGAAATCACCAGCAGATCTGGAATAGTATCCCCCATCTAGTTTCTAAACCAGCAGAGTTGTGGTGGCTTTGCAACTACTCTGCTGCAGCCTGGGACTGATTTCATGGTTGAGCTATGCTCTGAGACCCATTGTCCAATAATAATATCACAACAACAATAATAATCCTTGCATTTCATATTGCAACGACGTTATATATTGTTAAGTTGTTTCAAAGTGCTTCACAGAATTTTACCTTGAAGTATAGTGACTGTATAGCCTAGAGTCACTAGTAAAACCAGTGATAAGTAACAGACTGCAAAATGGTGAAATAGATTTCCTACAGCTATACGTTTCTTAACCAAATGCCTGCTGTTCCACTTGTTGCCGACATAGAGCTTCACTTACAGGGTGATGATGTGTAACGTGTGTGTGGTTTATTACTTATAGGAACTTTGTCTGGCGTTTCCCCAACTATATCTGTTCGGAGACGTACCATTTTGTTGAAAAGCTCAAGTCGGCTGGAACGGCAGATATTCCCAACACCTTCTCCTTTCCCGGCAAAGAAACTCTGATGGAGACAAACATGGTCACCTACCCTCTGGACGGAAATGGCGGCTACTGTGTGGCCACAATATCTTTGTTCGTCCTGGGTCTTCTCTCTTTCAGTGTCTCCATTCCCGAGCAGATAGTGGTGGTGGACAGCACGCTGGTGGACAACGAAGTTATAAAAAGGTAAAGGAAATCCAGTTGTTATGGAAATCCTCTCCTCTTTCCCCGCCAACCCTCTCCCCCCAAAACTAACACTGGTAACCAGCCAACACTTTGTCATAGCAATTGAATGCCACGTTTCTCCCACAAAATACCCAGCCAATTCACTTTACAGTATATTCTATGAAGCGCTTTGAGACGCCTCGAAAACGTGAGAAGGCACTGTTCAAATGCAAGGATTATTATTATAGCTATGTCAATTCTGTGATCAATTATATTTGACATTGTAAAGCCTCAACTTTTAGCATGTATTTTAATCACGTTGTTCCCTTTGGGTTGGAAAGTTAGTTCAATCTTGACGGATCATTGGAGGGTAAGATTCTATTCCGTGCTTCTATATTTCAAATTGATATTCAAGGAGAATGGGAATTTTTTTTTAAGAAAATCAGATTTTGCACCAAATGGGGTGGACGAGCCTTCAGATGCAACAGCCCTAAACACTGGAACTGCCCCCATTTACCCCTCCGTCTCATCCCCTTTCTGTCTACCTCTTTGAATGTGCCTATGATCACTTCCCCCTCTCCCTCTCTTGCTTGGAATCCTGGTAAAGCGCTCCAACATATTACCATACGTGAAGGGTGCTATATAAATGCAAGTTGTTTGCTGAATATTGGTAAAAGAAGTCAACAGTGCCTGATGATGGTCCAATGTTTATTTCTTACTCAGTTATCTGTATCATTGGTTTTGTTTATTATACACTGGAAAGGGGGAAGCAAGAGAGGTTTAGCATTAACTATAAGCAATGTAAGCCACTTGAGCAAAGTGCACACGTCTAGTGGCGCGAAACAACAGTGCTGGGAAACTAGACTTGGATCTTACAGCAGAAAGTTAGGCCAAAACTAGTTCATCAACTGGAACTGGTACCACTGTTGGTTGTCCTGTTTTTATTGGAAGATGTGATATTTCTCTACTTTTGTATTTTGATAGACTAGGGAAGGAAGGTTTGGATGATTATGATGATGAAGATCTGGATGAAACTGGAAGCAAACCCAGAATTGAGGTGAAGGCTCCTCAGGCCTCCCACACCAACTACCTGCTGATGAGAGGCTATTACGCCCCAGGAATCGTCAACACTCGCAATCTGAACCCAAACGACAACATTGTGGTCAATTCCTGTCAAGTCAGGTTAAAGCTGCGCGGTACACCAGCCCTCGGAGGTTTGGGCACGCATGGTTAGTTGTTAGGTGCTAGTATTATTAATTGTAGACCAGTTCCCTTACTCCGCACGTTTCTTTACTTAGCAATAAGTAGGAACCCGGTTGTTAGTCTATTGGTGGATCGCTTTCAGAGGGTTAATAATCTCTTCNAAAAAAAATCCACGATTGTTTGTGGGACGCTGCTGTGTGCATTTGGCTGCCGCGTTTCACCCACACAATAGACAGTCAATTCACTTTGCCGTGCATTCTGTGAAGCGCTTTGAGATGTCTCAGCGACGTGATAAGGCGCTATATCAAATGCAAGGATTATTGTTATCTCTTGATTATCTTCAATATCTCCCTTCTTTCACCTGCCAGCATGTGGAGGGTAATGTACGTGAATCGGTTATACCCCATTGTTTCTAACAAGCTGCTTTCTTTCCGACAGATTTAGCTGTTCTGTACAAATCTGCTTCAGGCGAGCATGAAGTGCCTCAGTCGTTCACAAAGGTGGTGAGGCCCAGCACCGAGACCTACGGAGTGGAGAAGGTGAAGAAACACCTGATGGAGGAGCTCGGCTACAGTCCTGAGGATCTGGTCGCCGTTCAGGAGATTAGCAACAGAATCAAGGACAGCGCTGTGTTTGGTATAGGCCAGACGGAGCTGGCAAAGGCCTTTGCTCATTATGAAGAGACACAGGATGAAAGAATGAAGACGTTAAAGCAGTACCTGCAGGTTTGTCAAACATAAAATCCTAGATAAAAACAGAAGTCGCTGAGAAGGGTTTTGGCGAAAGGTCATCGACCTGAAATGTTAACCCACTTTCCTCTCTCCATAGATGTTGCCTGACCTGCTGAGTGTTCCCAGCAACTTTCAGATTTCCAGCATCTGCAGTATATTGCCTTTTATAAAATCATACGGCTGGTTCTCGAGTATTGCAATCTGCTGAGGAATAAAGCCTAATTTTGTGGGACGTTGTTCAAAACTAAATCACCATTTGTCAATTGAGCCCAACAGGGAATCGGTAGTGATTTATATATCAGTTTGTCTCCACTGTGTCCATTGTGCCCTGACACAAGAGGATGTGGTTCAACATTTAGTGGAATATTTGACATTTAATAAGGAGCAAGTTCATGTTCATATCATCAAGCGCTTTGATACATCCTCCTGACATGAAAGGTGCTATATAAATATACATTGAATGTTGTGTAATTGCAGGATAATAATAATCCTTGCATTTATTACGTTTAATGTATTTAAGGCATTTCAGAGCGCTTCACAGGATCCACTGTGAAATATAGTGGTTGTGGATTCGAAGGATGTCGATGTTAGTGGTTTCACGAAGTCAAATTTATCACAACCTGTAGAATATCAATGAATGTAAAGTTTGTGCATAATTTAATGGCGATAATCAGGCTGCAGAAATTCATGTCATTGAAATCCTGAGCAAAGTGCAAGTTCATCTCTTAATTCAGCACAACAACATATCCATTTGCTTACAGGATTTAATGGCCCTGGACCAAATAGTAGCAGTCGGGGGTTACACAAACCGCTTTGTGGCAACAATACACGCTCATCCGTGGCTGCTGCACCCTCTCGAAGTGAAGAGATTGAACGAGGATCTTGCTTTACCGAGTTCGGTCGAGTTGGTATCAGAGCAGAGCATATTCTCAAGGCCCAGAGCAAATGGTTCAGAATCGAGCACAGAGAACAATGTCCTGGAAAGCACGGAGCAGTTTGAAGGAAGCAGGGAAAGCGTAAAGGCCGATCCTAACACAGAGATTGCACTGGACGAACGTGATGGGTTGCAGGCGAACACTGCAGAAGCAGAAAATGTGCCGTTAAGCTGCAGTCCAGTGTCAATTGAAAATGCAAAACGAAACAGTGAAGATATTGGATGTGAATTGGATAACTGTGGCCATCCTAGTAAGAGGTCTCGCCTCACAGATGAGGCTTCTGAGTCTAGGCACGGTGACAGAAATCCAGATGATACAGTGGAGATATTGAAGGCAGACCTTGTTCAGGATACGCCATCTTCCACCTGTTCTTTGAGCCGTATGGATCAGCCGTTAACAGAATGTCAGGATTTGTTACCAAGTGACCCAGAGAGAGAGGGTTGTGAGCTCGCTCACAGTGAAAGTCAAAGTGGAGATGAACGTGCTGTTGAAATTATCCCTTTGGATAGCATTAAAGAGCAGAGCGTCTCTTCCGAGCTAAGTAAAGAAGAGTGCAGTAGTCAGCCAGGTAAGCACTTGGGGCAGAGATGGAAGGAAACATTAGCATTTTGTTTTAAACTTAGGCAGGTTTTGTTACTCAACACGCCTCTGTTTACCTAGCAGTAAGTAGGAACCTGATTGTTAGTTGATTGGCGAATCGCTTTCTGGCGGTAATAATCAATTCAAAAAAAATGTGGCCACTCAATCCACGACTGTTGTGGAACACTGCAGTGCGCTATTGGCTGCCGCGTTTTGCCCACAAAATACATAGTCAATATATTCTGCGAAGCGCTTCAAGACATCTCAACAATGTGATAAGACGCTGCTATATCAAATGCAAGAATTATTATAAAGTCAGGTAGTCTCAACTGTGTTCTTAGTGATTACGTAGCTGCAGCTCAAAATTTCTGTAGCATGGTACATAATTGATCATCACTCAGAGAAGTGACAGATAAGAGAACAGTGAAACCAAGTGTTTTATGGCCATGATATGGTGTAGAGCAAGAAGTATAAAGCAGGCTCTGCTGTGTGCAATTGACTGCCATGTTTCATCCACAAAATATACAGTTAATTAACTTTACAGTATATTCTGTGAAGTGCTTTTGAGACGTCTTGAAGACGTGATAAGGCGCTATATCAAATGCAAGTATCATGATTATTATTCTGCATCGCATTGCTGCCCCCAGTGAAGCTGCTTTAAGTTTAGCAGTAGTACAAACACATCCCTGCTGCTTCTGCTCAACAACAGAATTACGTCAGCTAATTGTTAATGGAGCCCATACTTCCTTAACTGTTGTGCATAGTTTTGATTTTGATCTCTCTGCAGGAAATGCAACCAAAGTAGGTCCTGAAACAGAAAGTGCCCAAATAGCAAAATCGTCGCAAATCCCATTGGCCTGGTAGGTATTCCTCTTATGATGACTATCATGCAAATTGACTTGCTAGGAAGATGCAAAAATAATGTATTTGTGCTATCATTGATTATGATTTTAGCTCCAACTCTTACTGTAGATTGTCCTGATCATCAACCCCTCCACCCCACCCCGGTTATTCAACTCTGCCATGTTTGCCAACAAATACACAATCGCTTCACGTTTCAGATGTGAAGATTTTCGAGGATGACCATTAATGGACTCAGATGTTCTAATTCAGATTCACTTAGACCAACAATCGCCAAACTTTATGATCGGCCAACCCAAGAAATCTTTCTTCATTTAATTTTTCTTAATTTACGACTAGTCCATGAGTATGGTGGCTTGATAGCTATTGGAGACGAGGTATTGATTTATCATGGACTTGTCTGAACTGGGGCGGGGGTTTGGTGGGCCACTTCTTGACGGCGGACTAGTATATGAGAATAGACCGGTGTCACTGGAGGAATTAACATCTTCTATTCTAAAGTACAGACTTCATCACATATACATAATCTCGATTCCACTCCCACACCCAAAGATTCCCTGCAAAAACCCACTGTTTGAATAGTCACTTCTGTTGTTCTCACAAATAATAGTGTGAGCTCAGCAGTTACATCCATGCCATGACCCGCTCTGCCTTCTGCCACCTCCGCATCATTGCCCGACTCCGCCACTGTCTCATCCCTCAGGCCGCCAAAACCCTCATACATGCCTTCATTACATCCAAGCTCGACTATGCCAACTTGTCGGCCTCCCCAACTTCTCCCACCATAGACTGCAGATCATCCAGAATTCTGCAGTCCGAGTCCTCTGCCGCACCAGGCTCCCCGACCCTATCATCCCCATCCTCGCCCAACTCCACTGGCTTCCCATCACACAGAGGATACAGTTCAAGAGCCTAGACCTCACTTTCCAAGCCCTCCATGGCCCTGCTCTCCCCCAACCTCTGCAACCTCCTAATCCCCTACCAACCTTCCTGCTCCCTCTGCTAAGTGAGCTCCAGCCTGCTCCACTTCTCTCGTCTCGCCATTGTCGGGCGAGCCTTCAGCCACTCTGCCCCCACCCTCTGAAACTCTATCCCGCAGTCCCTCTGCCTTGCTCCCTCCCTTACCTCCTTCAAGACCCGCCTCAAGACTCTCCTCTTCGATCGTGCCTTCGGGCCTTCCCAATCCCCAACTCGGGTCCGAAACGCTGATTGTCTAGCGCCTTGGGAAGTCCTCCCTATGTGAAAGACGCTAAACAAATGTAATTTTGTGATTGTTGTGTATCTGAACAACAATAGATTGTATTCACATAGCGCCTTTCAGGTCTGGAGGACACGCCACAGCGTTGGACAGTCACCCGAGCTGGGGGGTAGGAATCAAGAGGAGTGGAGGGCAACGTACTCGATTTTAGATACTTCACCCATTCTCTCTGGAAGCTGGTTTCTTCTTGAACCACTGCTCCTGACACGGGTTTCCGCATCCTAACAGTACTGTGTAAAAACAACTTCCTTCTAATCTCCCTTTTTTGTTCCTTTGGTAATTATCTTAAATTGACTCCCTCCAGCCACTGACTCACTGTTCAGTGGAAATATCCATTCCTGGTATTAACCTTGTAAATCTCCTATCTGCCCTGCCCCCCGATAGCCCTGACACCCATCCATCCTAAAGTGAGGTGAGCAAAACTGGACACAATAACTCTCAACTGTGGTCTCGTGATTTATACGACTGCACCTCTTTGTTTTTATAGTGAAGATGAACAGATTAGCTTTGTTTGCCATCCCTGGAGGATTGTGGACGGGAGCCTGAACAAGCCAGTGCTCAAGGGAATGATTGAAGCTGTACTGTACCACATTATGACCAAACCTGGGATCACAGAGCAGAAACTGTTGAGCTACTATCACTCTGTACTGCAGCCAGTAGCTGTACTTGAATTGTTACAGGTGAGGGTTTTCTCTTTTTTGGGGCGGCAAAAATGTAGCTTAACTTGTCTTTGATTCTATTAGTCGGCTTGATTTTAGCGTTATAATTTTCTTCAGAAATATAAAAAGCAAATTTCATGTTCCTGTGAATTGACGAGAAAGGTAAATTTTTTCACAAGTGCGATTTTACTCGCGTAAAAATGATGGTGTGTACAGGAATGGCTTGCTTTAACTGAGGTATGTTATAAAGCGCCGTAACATATCTGTTCTCAAGGACTCTTTTGCATTGATGCTGTACTGATTTGTGCTGCTAGCCATATATAGAATCATACAATCATACAACCATTCGGCCCTTCGTGCCTGTGCCGGCTCTTTGAAAGATCCATCCAATCAGTCCCACTCCCCTACTCTTTCCCCATATCCTTACAAATTTTTACTTTTCAAGTAAATATCCAATTCTGTTTTGAAAGTTATTATTGAATCTGCTTCCTCCACCCTTTCAGGCCGTGCATTCCAGACTGTAACAACGTCTCCTCATCTCCTCTCTGTTTTGCCAATCAAATGTAATTTGGGAAAAAAACATTACTAGCTACATTTTCAAGTAAACGATTTTAAGGAGAATAATTATTGCTGTGAATTTCTGTTCTGGTGTCAGGGACTGGAAGATCTCCGTTGCATTCGAAGACGCTGCCTCGCCAAATCCAAACCGGCTTCTTTGTTCTCCGCTCCTACAAGTGCTACAGAGGTGGAGGATCCCAAACTGTCTGACAGCTGTACTGTTTTCTATGAACCTACCATAGACTGTGTTCTGAGACTGAGCAAATTGTTTCCTCACGAACCCAACTGGAATAAGTGGATTCAGTGACGCCCGCCACAAAGCTGCACCCTTTTCGGGGCACAATTTGACGACTTGTTTTATTTTATTGGTGATGGCAACCTCTGTGGAGGGTCCCAGAAGATTGTTTTTAAAAATGAGTTGTATGGTTACCAGCGATTGTTGTCTGTCTGTCCATGGAGTGAACGTTAAATATAAAATATCTGCTTCTTGGACTACACTTATAAAGAACTCAATTGCTTTTTAATGAGGCCACCACTGGATACAGATTGTATTTTGTTTCAATTTCCAGTACATCTGATGCTTGTTCATTGCTGACATCCTTGACTCCCACTACATTACAACTCTTGCCAGTTATAACAGCAACAACAACTTGCATTTATATAGCTCCTCATGCGAGGTAGCGTCTCAAAGTGCTTCACAGTGGCGGAGCCTGATGCCAAGCCAGGGGGGTGAGGGGAGGTGACCGTAAGCACGGTCGAAGAGGAAGGTCTTCAGGCATGACCTGAAGATGGGGAAGGAGTGGGCGAGTCAGAGGGATTGAGGGAGAGTGTTCCAGAGTTTCGGGGTGTAGTGGCTAAAAGCAGAGCCGCCGATGGTGGAAGGGAGAGCACAAGAGACAATTACCGATTGGTAGTATGTCTTTAGGAATGTTAGGCAGCCTAAAGCAGTCAACTCTCAACATCAACTCTCAAAATTTACCTCTTGCTGCACTGAAAACATAGCTCTTTCACTGCGTTTCCATCCCCACCCTCAGCTCAGGTGCTCTTCCAGCATTGTTAAGCACTTTGAGATGTTCTCCCGACATGAAAGGCGTTGTATAAATGTAAACTCTTGTATATAAAACACACCAGTCCTCGCCCTACAGACCTTCTGAAACTTTCTATGTGCTGTGTAGAGCAAGAAGCTTATACTCTGTGTACCGGTTTTGCCCACAGAATATACATACAGTCAATTCACTTTACAGTATATTCTGTGAACTGCTTTGAGAAGCCTTGAAGACGTGATGAGGCGCTATATCAAATGAAAGAATTATTATTATCAGTGATTGTTATGCCAGGCAGTGTTAATTAGCCTATGTGGCTCATAACTTGGTTCTGAAAAAAGGACATTTCTAGCAGGTTATTGTGCAGGACAGCATGGTTCCTTGAGATGATGCTGTCTATTGCTGGCAATGCTGTCTGGAGTCGCCTCGTTCCATCCATTCCAAGGCCATTTGAGGGATCAGTGCACGGTAGGTTCCTGTTGGGGTAGTGTTGGAGCAGTGTACATGCTTTTCCTGAGTATTACTGTCTTCCCCGTACAGCTAGACAGAATAAGGATGTTGATACATGCAGCATAATTTTTCTTTACCAATTTGGTTTACTCTTAAGAACATAAGAACCTAAGAATTGCTAACCTAATGAAAGAAGACCAAGGTCCATCCAGTTCGCCTCACACTATCGCGTGGATAAGTCATGTCCCAAGATATTCTTTCCTAAAGTAAATCAATTTGCTTTTTGAAAGAATTAACTCATTCTGCTTCCACCGTTTCCCAATCTTCCATAGATTTACTACTCGCTCACTGAAATAGTGTTTGCACAGATTTGTTTTGGGGAGCAGATGGGGAGCAGACCGGAGCCAGAGGAACGGAGGGTACGGGCAGGTGCTTAGGGGGATAGTAGGTCGGAGAGGTAGGGGGGAGCGAGGCCGTGAATGGCCTTGTAGGTGAGGGTGAGGATCTTGAAATCGATCCTCTGGGGGATGGGGAGCCAGTGGAGGGGAGCGAGGGCGAGGGTGGGAGCGATGTGGGCGCGGCGCCTGGTGCGGGACAGTACACGAGCTGCAGAGTTCTGAATGACCTGCAGTATGGAGGGAGGGCCGGGAAGGCCGGCGAGGAGAGAGTTCCCATAGTCCAGCCTTGAGGTGATAAAGGCGTGGACCAGAGTTTCAGCCGCGTGAGGGGTGAAGTAGTGCCGTAGTCTGGCGACATTCCGGAGGTGATGGAAGGCGGTGCCAATTGTGGATATGGGAGAAAGGACAGCTCAGGGTCGAACAGAACCCCGAGGTTCCTGACCGGCTTTGAGAGGTTTAGAGTGCAGCCTTGGATGCTGATGCTGTCAGCGCCTGAAAGACTATAAGTAGGGCGTTATAATCGAGCCTGGAAGTGATGAAGGCATGAACAAGAGGTTCAGCGGCCTGAGGGGTGAGGTAGTGGCAGAGTTGGACAATGTTACGGAGGTGAGGGAAGGCAGAGCGGGTCATGGCTTGGATGTGGGGAAGAAGACAGTTGAGAGTCGAACAAGACACCTCGGTTCCTGACTGGCTGGTGAGTTGAAGTGTGCAACCATGGAGGTTGATGGTGCCAGAGCCTGAGGTGGTGCTGGCACGAGACAATCAGGAGGGCCTCAGTCTTGTTCACATTCAACTGTAGGAAATTTGCCCTCATCCAGGACTTGATGTTGGACAGACAGTCTGTCAGGACAGCAGTGGTCTTGGAGTTGAGGGTGGAGGCAGAAAGATAGAGTTGGGTGTCATCCGCGTACGTATGGAAGTTGACCCCATGTCTGCGGATGATGTCACCAAGGGGGAGCATGTAGATATTAAAGAGGAGAGGGCCAAGGACAGAGCCCTGGGGACGCCAGACGTGACAGTGCGGGGACTGGAGGAGAAACTGTTAGAGGCAACAAAGTGGAGACGATGAGAGAGATAGGATTTGATCCAGGCAAGGGCAGGTCCGCGAAGATTATGTAAAGAAGAGAGGCGGTGTATGAGGATGGAGTGATCGACAGTGTTGAAGTTGGCAGAGAGGTCAAGGAGGACAAAGAGGCAGAGGGAGCCCTGATCACAGATGGTCAGAATGTCATCAGTGACTTTGCCCTTGAGTGAGATTGACAATTTTGAGCCTTACTGCAGGGCAGGTTTGTGTTGTGAATCCGTGACTAACTGGGAATGAGGTTGTGCTTTCCAAGCTAATGTCACACAAGACCCCGCAAAAGTCATCTGAAACTTCTAACCCATCATCCAGCTGGACTCCGTTCCAGATCCCAGAGATATAAATGCTGGAAATGCATCATGTCTAATAATACATTTTAACACTGCCTGGAGTGTGCCTGTATGTTATCCTGGGTTTAGTCACATACATGTTGACAGTATTCATTTGAAGAGGTGATGGTTGGCTCTTGGAATCATTTGCTAAAATAATCGTTTCGCCCACAAAATATACAGTCAATTCGCTTTATAGTATATCCCGTGAAGCGCTTTGTGACGTCTCAACAAAGTGATAAGGCGCTATATCAAATGCAAGGATTATTATTATAATCTGTTGCAATGCAATGATCACGCAGTAGGTTCACGCTCTGTCTCTGCTCAAGTTCAGTGTTTTCTCACAAAATGGAGCGCACAACACGAATGGGGTGAAACTCCACCCGGATCTAGACTCGCTCGTTTTTACTCAGACGCAGAGCACCCAGAATTTGGCAAGTTCTTGTACTCAGATTTTGAAGCCATTTATTCTGTAGTTCTTAAAAGAAACAAATTCAAGAACTTGCTAAATGTGCACTGACGTTTTCAAGTGCTCCATCGTGGCTGGAGCCACTCTTCACTGATGGTGGTAAAACATGATCAATCAATGTGCATTCTTTGGTCAAAACATGAAGAGGCTTTATAAATTTTATAAATAAATATTACAGTATGTCCTGGGTGAAATGTCAAATAAACAGAATTTTATTCCTCCTGTTTTTTTAAACTAATTTATTGTTTCCCTTTGGAGACTTTTAGTTGTTTTTTTTCTCAAAAAAAATTATGAATAATGATTTGTCACTGGATCCCTGGTGTTTGTGGGACACTGCTGTGTGCAATTGGCTGCTGTGTTTCGCCCACAAAAAGCGTGATACCGTGATAAGGCCCTGTATCAAATGCAAGGATTATTATTATTACTAACAGCTGGAATTGTCGGACTGGTATTAACTGGGGACAATGAGCAGGGCTCCAGCATTAAGCACAATGTGATTGATGGTCAGTGTGAGCTGCTCTCAGATGCCATACGACCAATTGTTTTTTCCTTTTAAAAAAAGATCCCAGAGGGAGACGTGTGTCCACCCCGATGGTTTATCATTTTGGCCAGGCATTCGGTGTCCCTTTTTCCCCAGTGTATTTTTAGGAATGAGCACTCAAGAGAAAGGGAGAGGGAGAGGAAGTCAGTATATTGACTGACTGCAAAGTCGGAGTTAAACCTGCATCAGAAACTCGAAACGGTGAGTGCTGCTTGCAGAATTTCATCAAGAAATTCTTACATTTACTTTTAATTTGTTACAAGCAATTGACTTATACATATATATATATATGTGTATACAGAATTTATATATATATATATTTGTACAAAAAGGGGATTAATTTAATTGTTGATGTGTTGAGATATATATAAAGTAATAGAGGATTAAAATTTGTGTTTAATTGTGGAGTTTTTTATTCAAAAGGTTGCAAAAAATATAAGAATCGCGTTTAGTTCCTTTTAACCAAATGCGATTTTATTTCATCAAATTCTCCTCGAATTAATGTGAATTTTATCTTTTTTTTTAAGTTTAAAGAAACTTAATTTAGTTCAATTTTTAAAAAAAAAACATCTTTTTAACATGTAAAACTTTCAAACGCTTTTTTTAAAAAAATAAAATTTATTTATTTTTTGAAAGAAAGTTGACTTGTTCCCGATGTTCTTCCAATTAATTAACAATTAATTCTGGCGAAACCCGTTTGAATGTGTAACTCGGACTTGTGTTGAAGGTGGGTTTGAAAGGCGACAATTTAAATAAAGCAATGGATTCTGTCAGGCACAAAGTTTATGTTAGCCTCAGCACTACTTGTCTCAGGGAACCCAAACTATCCACAAACCCTCCCTTTCCAATGAGACTGACCGACTGCAAAATATTCAGGATAGTTCCCCACTGGGCTTGGCTGGTTCCCAACCCACCCTTTTGTCTTTTGATCCAATCTTTTAGTTTGAAATCTTCCAATCTCCTGTGCAAACCCTCCAAATTGGAATAAAGTGCAGCCAAATCCATATCCAGACTCTCCCCTGATCTTGTGCTGGATTTCAACTGGAGGAACCTCGCAGGAGAAATGCCCAAACAAAAGCATTAAAGCCATTCTAATTGGTACATGTGCATTAGAGGAATTTGTCCTGTTATTTGCTGTTAAGCGCTCCGAGACGCTACGCCACATAAAGAGCGCCATATGAATACAAGTAGTTACTGTAAATCTTCAACATCCCTACAAAAAATATATAATTTGGTCACGGCTGTTTGTGGCACACTGCTGTGCGCAATTGGCTAGCTGGTTTCGCTCACAAAATATAAATTCAATCCACTTTACAATACACTATATGCTGTGAAATGCTTTGAGGCATTTTAACAACATGACAAGACACTATCAAATGCAAGGATTCTTATAAAACAAGCAGCATTTGATTTAGTCTAGTTCACCTACAAAAATGCACAGTCACTACACTTTACAGTAAAATCCCATGAAACACTTTGGGACCTTTCGACAACTTGATAAGATGCTTGTATCAAATGCAACGATTATTATTACTGTAAGTAACTTGAATAATTTAAAATGGAAGAACTACATCAGGAGCGCAACATTCGGTTAAACAGAGCCGTTTAAAATATTGCACTAACGTTGAGTCGTGTGGTGTTGGGGTGCAGGTGGGCGGAGGGGGTGGGGGGAGTGATTCCATGCAGACTGAACAGATGTTTGTATATCCTCAGAGTCGAGCTGTAACCAGACTCAGCTCCGCGCACCAGAGATATCTAGCGGCTAAGCACTCGCTGCGCTAATGTGATCTCATGTTCAATGGAGAATGCAAACCTGTCAGTGGCGACTGGTCTGTGAGCGCCTATTTACACAGCTGTGCAGGGCTGAAGCTTTGGTAATTATGCAACTAACGCAGGGACAAGACATTAAATCAACAGTTCAGATTAGTATGGTAGTTAGTTGCAGATTAAATTATCAGCAGTCCAGCAAGAGAATATGTTTCTTATTGTGAGGACAGGAAAGAGAGAAGGGTGTAGCAGTGACTCACTGACCCTATAGATAAAGATTTGCAGAGGCTGAGCATTCTCCACCTGCCTTCATTAAACACGGCAGACACATATTCCAAGGAATATTTCTGGGCTCACACCAATTGTCTGGATATCACTACTACAGCGTTGAATACTGTCGGCTGGGCTGCCATTGCACATAGGTGTCACATACTGCAGAGAGACTGGAAAAAGAAATGCATTAAAATAAAGTCTTAATAATTTTCAGGGTAACAAAGTATCACCAGTCTGTATAATCTGCTGGTTTTATAATAATAATTGATTTGATATAGTGCCTTATCATGTTGTTGAGATGTCTCAAAGCGCTTCACAGAATATATTGTAAAGTGTAGTGACTGTGCATTTTGTAGGCGAATTTGATTAACTGAAACTCTGCTTGTTTTATAATAAGAATTCTTGCATTTGATATAGCAGCTTATTACATTGAGATGCCTCAAAGCACTTCACAGAATATACTGTACTGTAAAGTGGATTGACTGTATGTTTTTTGGGTGAAACTCGGCAGCTAATTACACAGCAGTGTCCCACAAACAGTTGTGGATTGAATGACCAAATTTTATATATATGGTGGACTGCACCCCACAACGTTTAATCAAGCTGTGTGAGCAATTATTGAATGTAAATTTATCTGAGGGCGGGTCCCTGAAATTAGTGGTCACAATACATGTCTAACCAGTGTACCATTTCCTCTAGATTAGGAGGAAGGACACTAGCATGGCACAAGCCAAAGCCAAGACCCACACCAAAGCCAAGCCTCCTAACCTGAAAGGTGAAAGTCCTGGCACAGATAGTGTCTACACTGATGCACTTGGCTTCTTTGCTATGGACAGCAATGTCCCAGGACTCTCTAAAGTTATCCTTCAGAAGCTAAACATGAAAAACTATGACGATTACAGGTAAACAAAGGATAAGTCTTTGTGTCATTCATTCCACACGTAAGGTGAAATAAAACCACTGTAACCCTGTCTCGCTGGCTGTTCTCACTGTTCTATGGTCAGCTCAGCTATTACAGTGTGAGAATACCGTGTAGGTTTACAAGGATGTTATCAGAATGAGCAGGTACAACTATTAGGAAAGATTGGACAGGTTAGAGCTTCTCTCTTTCGAGTTGGGATGATTGAGAGGAGACCTGTTTAAGATTATGAAAGGATTTGATCAGGTGGATGTTGATGGATTGTTTCCACTTGTTGGTGACTCCGAAATTAGTGGGTATAAATCTTAGATAGCAAGTGGTAGATCCAATCTAAAGAGAGTTTAGGAGGAACTTGTTCATGCAGAGGAAACTCTCTTTGTGTGTCTCTCTCCTCTGTCTTTGTCTCTGTCTCTCTCAAGATAGAGAGAGGTTGGGATTGTTCTCCTTAGGACAGAGAAGATTAAGGGGATATTTAATAGAGGTATTCAAAATTATGAGAGGTTTTGACAGAGGCGTGTTTTCACTGGTGGGTGGGTCGGTAACCAGAGGGGACAGATTCAGATAATTGGCAAGAGAACCACAGGAGAGACGAGGAGAAATGTTTTTACGCAGCGAGTTGTTACGATCTGGAATGCACTGCCTGAAAGGGTGGTGGAAGCAGATTCAATAATAATTTTTAAAAGGGAATGTGATATTTACTTAAAGAAAAAAATTGGTTTGGAAAAAGAGTGGGGGAGTGGGACTAATTGGAAAGCTCTTGCAAAGCCCTTTCATAATTGTTTTTTGGATGAAATGAGATGATCTTATTGTTGAGGCTGTGTTTTGTGGGGTTGGGTTTGCATTCCAGCCTCACCCCCACGTTTTGAACTTCTGTTTTGTGCAGAGAAGCTCTGCAAGGACAGAAAGTTGCGGCAGATTTTGGAATCCGCACTTACCACGACATGTTTCAGAGGATGGAAGACACGTTCAAATTCTGTGCAGAATGCAAAAAGCTGCCCGAAGCGCTGGTTGACCCTAGAGCTCTCCGGCGTTGTAAAAGGTAGGTCAACAGCAACCTGACGGAAATGTATGTTAATCCTTTGATACGGCGCCTTATCACATCATTGAAACAATTCCGAGCGCTTCACAGGGTTTACAACAACAACAAAATTACATTTGTATAGCGCGCCTTTCATGTCGGCAGGACGTCCCAAGGCGCTGGACAGAGAGTTACGGACCCGAGCTGGGGGTCGGGGAGGATGGAGGGCAAGGGGAGAAGCTGGGAGATTGAAGCACGGTCGAAGAGGAGGGTCTTGAGATGGATCTTGAAGGAGGCAAGGGAGGGGGCGAGATGGAGGGACTGCGAGATGGAGTTCCAGAGGGTGGGGGCAGAGTGGCAGAAGGCCCATCCACCAATAGTGGGGTGGGCAAGGCGGGGGACGTGAAGCAGGCCGGAGCCCACTGAGTGGAGGGAGCGAGCAGAATGATAGAGGGTTAGGAGGTCGCAGAGGTAGGGGGGAGCAAGACCATGGAGGGCTTTGAAGTGAGGACCAGGATCTTGAACTGTATCCTCTGAGTGATGGGAAGCCAGTGGAGTCGGGCGAGGATGGGGGTGATAGGGTCACGGAGCCCGGTGCGGGAGAGGTCACGAGCTGCAGAGTTCTATATGACCTGCAGCCTATGGAGGGAGGAATTGGGGAGGCTGATAAGTAAGGAGTTTGCGTAATCAAGCCTCGATGTAATGAAAGCGTATGAGGGTTTCAGCAGCCTGCAGGGTGAGACAGTGGCAGAGCCAGGTGTTGTTGCGGAGATGGGGAAAGGCAGAGCGGGTCATGGCACAGATGTGGGGTAAAAAAGATAGTTGAGGGTCAAACAAGACCCCATGGTCTGGACTGGTTTAGTAAGGTTTACTGTAAAGTGTAGTGACTGTGTATTTGTAGGCTAATGTCCACTGATAGATCAGTAAATAGGAGCCATAGTTATAACATAGTCATAAGCAGAGCGAAAGGAGAGTTTAGGAGAATTTTTTTTCATCTGAGTTTTTGCGACATGGAAGGTTCTGTCAGGTTTGGAGAGGCAGAGTCCATTGTGAGTTTCAAGAGGGAAGTAGACGGGTGGATCGAGGCTTGAAGGGGTTTGTGAGATGCTACTGGGGTGAAAGGCACTGTATAAATGCAGGTTGTTGATGAGGTGGAGCAACGGTATTGAAAGAACACTTTGCTCTGAAAACTGGTATAAATCTCCCAAGATTTAAGTAGGTCCTACCCTGCCCGATGGACACCATATAAATGCAATTTTTTTTGTTTATTTGGTTATATGAATGTGAAAGCTAATTTGTGCACAACACAACAACAAAGGAAAATGGCCAAACGCCTTGTTTTACCATCTTGGGTTTGTAGGTGCCAGAATGTCTACTACTGTGGGCAGGAATGTCAGAGAGCAAACTGGTCAGTGCACAAGAGGCTGTGCAAGAAATTAAAGTTGGCTGCAATAGACCGCTTGGTTGAATGGCTCGTCTTCACAGGTATCAAAAGCAGATACCGTTCCGCGTGAGTAACGTTTTTATTCTGAGTGCAGACTCCAGTGGCCGCTCCATAATGTAAGTGTGTTTTGTCTATATTTGTAATTCTCTGTGCTGAAGGAAACTTTGAATTTGACGTGTAAGATGACTGTCACTGTCAGGTATCTTTCAGGTAAATGGACCCTAACAAATACAGCTTCCCCCAGCACTGCACTGGAGGGTCAGCATGAACTTGTGAGCTGAAAGTCCCACATGAGGCTTGAGCTCACAACCTGCTGACCCAGACACGAGAGTACAAGCGTTACGATTGCTATTAAACTCAACGGTCTCCTAATTATGATTTTTTTAATGCTGACCACCTTCAATGATGTGTTACAACCACCGTAAGTATACAGCACAGACGGAGGCCATTCAACCCATTGTGTCTGTGCCGGCTCTTTTGAAGAGCAATCCTCTCAGTACTCCCTGCCTCCCCCATCTCCCACCCATCCGCACCGCTGGTTAGTTTATTCCTTTTTGCATATCTGTCTACAGCAAAACTCACATAAGTTAGATCTGTATAAATGGTATAATTGCCTAAATCGTACCTCTGCCCTATGAATTTCCTATTGTTTATACGTTTCACATAACTTGTACTTTGCAGAAGTCATATTAAATGTATGGTCCCAACTGATATTTGTGAGGTTTACTGTGGTTCCCTTTTGAAAGCTAATCTGGATTCTGCCTCAGCCGCAGCTCCCAGCGGATCATTCCACACTCTAACTCCTCCGTGCCTGGAAAATATTTTCTTTCTAATGTTCCTGTCATTCACTCTCCAGGTGATATCCCTTTCCATAGCGGGAAATGGACCAGGTCCATGGCTGAGGTGAAAGGCTGGGATGAATGGTTCTTGATGCAGGAGGACCTTGATGCCAAGCTGGGCGCCGTTCTGAGCTGCAGGTACATGCACATCCTGTGGGCAAACGCAGGGAAGCCACGTCCGGAGGATGAGGAGCTTGTGGCGTCTATCAGACGGGTGACCAGCGACTTCCACACGCGGCCCATCACTATTGGCTTCGCTCTCTGCGGTTTTGGCATTGCCCCGTCCCAGGCTCCCGTCACCGTCCACGTGGTCGGGGCCTCTCACACCGAGACCCTGGACGCCAGGAGAACAGACTACGATGAGTTGGCACGAGCATTTCCAGACAACCAGGGCCTTGAGGTGGTCCTGATCGGGCCCGAAGTGGTGGAGGGGCCGGCGATCAAAGCCCCTTTACAATCTCCGCCGGCCAGGGTCACGTGCACTTGAGCGGATGGAAAGGGCTTTACCACGTTTACTGGGAAACCATGGTGGAGATGGAACGGGCTGCTCGACCCGACCTTGTCATAGGATTTCATCCAGGTAATAATTATGGTAATTATAACAATGATGATGATAATGAGTCTTACAGCACAGAAGGAGGCCATTCAGCCCATCGTGCCTCTTTGAAAAAGCTTTCCAATTCGTCCCACTCCCTCTGCTCTTTCCCCATAGACTTGCAACTTTTTCCTTTTCAAGTATTCGATTCCCTTTTGAACATTATTATTGAACATGTCCCAATTGGGCACAGCTTTCACCACCCTTTCAGGCAGTGCATTCCAGATCGTAACAACTCGCTGCATAAAACTCCCTGCAATTCTCCTCGTCTCCCCTCTTGTTCTTTTGTCAATTGTCTTCAACCTGTCCTCTGGTTACGGACGCACCAGGCAGTGAAAACAGTTTCTCCTTATTTACTCTACCAAAAACAAATTAAAAACCTCTATTAAATTACCTCTTCTCTGCTTTAACGAGAACAATCCCAACCTCTTTTAGTCTGTCCACATAACTGAAATACCTCATCCTTGGTATCATTCTGGTAAATCTCCTTTGCACCCTTCTCCAAGTCCCTGACATCCTTCCTAAAGCTTTTTTCTTAAAGCAACGAGCAGGAATCGCATCAGTTGAGGACATGAGCGAGGTACCTGCATATCCCCATGTTGCTCAATGGGTCGGTAACTTTACTTCAAGAGGCAGGAACTGAGAAAAGATTTGCTGGAACACGGAGCTCGATCTCCAGTTACAGGCCAATGATAAATGTATGACCTGAAATTCCGACTTGTATGAGAGCATTTGCCCGTTTGAGAACCTGAGAGGCTGCATCATTTGCCCACAAAATATACAGTCAATTCACTTTACAATATATTCTGTGATGCACTTTGAGACGTCTCGAAGATGTGATAATGCGCTGTATCAAATGCAAAGATTATTATATTATTATTATTAGAATCATTAAAATTCTACAGTTGAGTCACGTTTGGCATAGTCTAAGCTAGCACTCCTCTTCGGATGTGACGTTAAACCGAGCTCCCATCTTCTTCTTCTTCAGGTGGACGTTGAAGATCATGTGGCGCTATTCAAAAAGAGAAGAAGGTTTCTCTCTCCCTGTGTTTTGGCCAACAATGCCTCCAATTAAATCAGTCATTCACTCCATGGCTGTTTGCGGGGCATTGCTGTGCGCAAATTAGCTGTCATGTTCGCTCACAAATACAGTCACTGCAAGGATCATATATATATATACACACACACACACATAAAACAATGTCCGTCTGTGCTTCAAGAAGGATTTCAATAACTGGTTGGCGTAGAGACATGACTTATACCTCATCAGAAAGGTCTTGCACCTGGGAGTGACATGTTTTTGGGTATCCCCTATTGTTCATGAGTTATTTTCCGTTTTGCATGAACACGGCTGCAGAGTTCCGGATGGTCAGCAGCCTATGGAGGGAGGAGTTGGGGAGGCCGACAAGAAGGCAGTTTGCGTATTCAAGCCTGGATGTTATGAATGTGTGCATGAGGGTTTTGGCAGCCTGCGGTGTGAGACAGTGGCAGAACCGGGCGATGTTGTGGGGGAAGGCAGAGATGGCATGGAAGTGGGGTAGAAAGTATAGTTGAGGGTCAAACAAGACACCAAGGTTCCGGACTGGCTTAGCAAGGTGGACTGTACAACCATGGTTGATGCACGCTCCACCAAAATAAAGAACACGGACGAAGCTAAGCCACGGCAACAACAACAAAATTACATTTTTAAAACGCTAAGTCCTCCCATAAGAAGTCCTTCCACGGAGTTCTCCCAGATGAGTATAGATAAAGATGAAATGTCTATATGTGTTTCAGCGCCTTGGGACGTCCTCCCAACGTGAAAGGGGCTATATACAAATGTAATCTTGTTGTTGTCTGTGTGTCAATCTACATTCCATATTGGATCCTTTGGTTGCAAGCGTAGCTGCAACAGTTATAGCTCGTTCTTATAATGCTGCCATTTTACAAGGCTCTTCTAACCCAGAGCATAAGCCACAAGTAATTGCTAGTCAGCGAGAGAGCAGCTGATTTGAGAATGCCTGCAACAGATGTAGCTGGATATCATTAATAATTCTTCCTGGCAGTTCCTTCAAATGGATCTCTGGGCTCTATAAAAAGAGAGCAATAAAGACATCAATCTTTTGGGCAGTAATTTATTGAAGGTCAGAGCAAAGCAGAGAGAACCCTGTAAAACCTGCCGTACATGTCTACTTTCAGAACATATAGTGTGGCTCCTATTGTGAGACGCCCTGTTGCTTGCCCACATGTATCCTTGTAATGCCTTCACAGGATTAACCAACCATTGGAGAGAGCAGGAGGCAGGTGAGGAGTGAGCGGAGCTCTCCCCTAACTCGTTGCTTCATGTCCACGCCCTGTCTGCCCCACCACAGGGGCTGCAGAGGTATATCCATCCCTCTGGACGTAGATGCCAAGGACAGTTGTCTTACCCATATATCAAACTCGAGTCACATGGCTTCTCTGTGTCGAGTTGGTATGGCGTCACCTCTCACAGAAAACGAGTCTGAGATTTGTCTGACACGGTTTTCCTTTTCAGAATCCCCACTGACTGAGGTTTATTTTAGTTATTTTTGGATCTTTGCTTCTCATGAATGATTCCCATTATTTTCCATTTGGAGTCCTGTAGTTCAGTGGTTAGAGCACTCGCTTTGCAAGTGAGAGACCTGAGTTCAATCCGAGGCAGAGGGCGAAACCTTGGGCAAGTTTCCTTACTCCACACAGAGCCTAATAATAATCCCTCCAAAACCCAAAACAATAATAAATTGGTCATTTTCAATCCACGACTGTTTGTGGGACATTGCTGTGCGCAATTGGCTGCCGCGTTCGCCCACAAATATACAGTCAATTCACTTTACAGTGTGTTCTGTGAAGCGCTTTGGGACGTCCTCCCGACGTGAAAAGCGCTATATCAAATGCAAGGATTATTATTATTATTATTTCTTGGGCTCAGACTGCCAGCTACCAGTTGTGGCTCTGACAGCTTTACTTAATAACAATAATAATAATAATAATCCTTGCATTTGATATATGCACTTTTACCCCAGGTGACACCTTCCCCTTCACTGAAGCCACACCCGGCTACACCTACCACCATGCCCCACTCCCCAACCGCTGTGGTGGTGGGGTGACCCTCATATTCAGGGTGTCAACTCCTATATCCCTCTACCCACTGCCTCCAAACCTACCACCATCTTCTACCGCCCGTGGAAGAAGATCTCCCCGCAATCCCTCTCCGCTGCCCTGGAGTCCTCTGAACTCCTCCCCCTCTGGCCCACCTCTCGCACCAACCCACTCGCTGCACTTACTCTTCTCCACAGTACCCTCTCCACCATACTCAACGCCCTTGCCCCCCTCACCTCCCGAACTGCCTCCTATTCCCAATTCTCACCCTGGTTAACCAGCCACCTCTGCTCGCTTAAGGGCCAGGTGCGGCTGCCGAACACACTTGGCTCAAATCTGCCCTAACGGTCCACCGGCACATCTGGCTGGACCTCATCGAAACCTACCGCTCCGCTCTTGCCTTGGCCAAATCGTCCTTCTATTCCAGGTTAATTCTGGAGGCGAAAGGCAACCCCAGGCTCCTGTTCTCCACTACCAACGGCTCCTCCACCCTCCTCGCTACGCCTCGCAGATACTTTCCTCCGACTCCCATTGCGAGAAAATGCTGGACTTCCTCGAGTCCAAAATCAAGGGAATCTGCTCAGCTGCCACTGCCCATCCCTCCTTCCACACCTTTGAACCTATCAATCCCTCCTCTGTCTTCATCACCATATCCTCCATGAAGCTCCACCCCCTTGCCCCACTACTCGCCGACATCATCAGCCTCTCACTGTCATCTGGCACTGTTCCTTCCCCCCTCAAAACAGCCATTATCACCCCCACCTTGAAGAAACCTTCCCTTGACCCTTCACAGCTATCTTGCTACCGGCCCATCTCAAACCTCCCTTTCCTATCCAAGTTCCTTGAGAGAGCTGTTGCCTCCCAGCCTCGCTCTTTCCTCTCCTCCCACTCCCTCCATGAGCCCCTCCAATCGGGTTTCTGTGCTGCCCACAACACGGAAACTGCTCTGGTCAAGGTCACAAACGACATCCTGACCATGTGTGACCAGTGCTCCCTCTGCCTCCTCGTCCTCCTCAACCTCTCCGCTTCTTTTGGCTCCGTGGACCATTCAATCCTCCTCCACCGCCTCTCCTCCCACCTCAACTTCAAGGCTCTGTCCTGCAGCTTGTGTCCTCTCACACACCAGGCTCTGTGACCCCATCACTCCCACCCTCGACCGACTCTACTGGCTCCCCATCCCCAGAGGATTGAGTTAAAGATCCTTGTCCTCACTTTCAAGGTCATCCATGGCCTTGCCTCCTCCTACTTCTCTGACCTGCTGACTCCCTACCAACTGGTCCACTCTTTCCGTTCAGTGGGCTCCAGCCTGCTCCATGTCTCCCGCCCGATCCGCCCTAACATCGGTAGCCGGGCTTTCAGCCTCTCTGACCCCACACTCTGGAACTCCAACCTACAGTCCCTTCGCCTCGCTTCTTCCCCTGCCTTCTTCAAGGACGATCTCAAGACCCTTCTCTTAGAGTTGGTCACCCTCCCACCTCTCTGCCTTCCCTCAACCCTACCCCACCCCTCCCCCATGGTCGGGCCCCGACACCTGACTGTTCAGCGCTTTGGGACGTCCTCCCGACGTGAAAAGCGCTATATCAAATGCAAGGATTATTATTATTATTATAACGTGAAAGGAGCTCTATAAATGTCATTTTGTTGTTGTTTTATCACATTGTTGAGACGTCTCAAAGCACTTCACAGAATATGCTATAAAGTGGATCGAGCGTATATTTTGTGGGTGAAACGAGGCAGCCAATCGGGCACAGCGGTGTCCCACAAACAGTCGTGGACTGAATGACCAATTTTTTAAAACAATTTTGAAGGATTTAGCCCCAATCGACTAACAACTAACAACTTATTGTTAGGTAAGCCGGGGCGTGTGGAGTAAAGAAACTTGCCTAAGGTTTTGCCCCCACCCCCGGAGTTGAGCCTGGGTCCTCCCGCTAACCATTAGGCTACAGGAATCGTAATCCACCCCACCATCAGCGGGCAAGCTTTCAGCCATTCTGCCCCTGCTCTCTGGAAGTCCATCCCACCTATCCCCCACCACCTTAAGCCCAACTTTTCTTTTCAACCGTGCTTCTGGTGACATTTTCTTTCTCCCACCTCCCCACAGGTCAGATTTCTGTGAACATCCTCCCAACGCAGACGGAGCTATCTAAATGAAAATTGTTTGTTGTTGAATATGCAAACCATAAGTTTCCAGTCTGCAGGAGCCTCCCCAGTGGTGATTGATCCTAAAATTCCCTTTTTTTAATAAATAAAAATCTCTCTGTGAAAGTGAACCCACAAATGCAGGATTTCTGCTCCCAATGTTGTGGTGGCTTGTGTTTCCTGGCAGTCTGCCCGTGTGTTGGGTAATTGTTGGGTTAGATTAACAGCTCAGCTCATGTGGCTGGTAGCAAGTCCAGGTCACTAAGGCTGATTATCTGGCTGATGATGTGTTGCACATACTCCAGTTATGACCTGTTGTCTTTAATTAGTGGGCCAGAGGATGGTGAAAGGCTGAATGTCCTTTTATTTTAGCCACTGAGAACATGCGGGAAAAGGCAATGGAGGCTGTACTAGTGGGCTCGTATGGAGCATGGATGATTTAAACTGAAGGGCGTGTTTCCGTGCTGTAAATGTTCTATATAATTCTCAGCTTGCTATTATTTGAGTAAGCCTGTTTCTATCGTGCTCTCTGTGTCTGATGGATGCAGTGTGATGAGCTAACTTTGAAGCGCTGCCAGTTTAGAGTTTCTGGGCATCTGTGCCCGGGACTAACAGGTGGTGTGCAGTGTGCAAATGTAGTTTCTATCTGACCCTAGTGAGACCGAGATCTGCAGAGAGATCTCATTGATTTCAGTGGATCTTAAAGTGGTGTTTCAGGCACATGATCCCAGACCTCTCGCTTGCGAGGCGAAGACTTGTACCACCGAGCTACAGGACTCTACAGTAACCAGGATGTGTCCCTCCAGGACAGAGTGCATATTCCGTTCCAATAAATATCTCGATAATTTCCATGTGTAGGTTCGATGATTTTAGTCTTAAAACATGCTGATAGGTTTGTGTGTGTCAGATGTCCAGCTGCCCCCCACCAAAAAAAAACAGGTAGTGTTGTGGGAGTCGGTCAGCTCTCCCTGACCTAAGAGGACAAAGCAGAGAATTTGCAGTATTGTGGCTTAGGTTTCCTGTCAGAGTTTCAGTCTCGCAGTTGTTGCTTTGATGAATCCGTTGTATTTAGATTTCTCGGATGGATTATAGCTTTGGCTCTGAGTCTCACCAACCTTGCCATTCTGCCATTCACCATGAGGTCAGCAGGGTCTCCTTGAAACTGACTGGCTCCAAGGTGACATGTTTCCTATTGTCGACGGTTCCACCAGTTGGAGCTGCGGATTCCATTCCGACATCTCTCCTTTCTAATTCTATCTCTGGAATTTCCATGTGTGTAGGTGGGATGCTTGGAATTCTCAGTTTGGATATACTCTTAAGCATGGTGATGGGCATCTTTATGTATAAGACAACTGGCTGACCCCCCAAATAAGTGACATGTTTGGTAATGGAATTTCGAGTTCAGTCAGACTCTCTGTTGTTCTCTAGTCCGGTTCCTGAACCAGGCGGGTGTGCAGTACTCCAGGGCACTGATATCTTGTCGGCAGGACTTGGAGGGACAGACTGAGGACAGGGATTCTTAATAATAATAATCCTTGCATTTGATATGCTGCCTTATCACGTCTTCTAGACATCTCAAAGCGTTTCACAGAATACACTGTAAAGTGAATTGAATATTTATGGACGAAACGCGGCAGCCAATTGCGCATAGCAGCGTCCCACAAACAGTCATGGATTGAGTGACCAAATTATTATTTTTTTTTCTCTTGAGGGATTATTATCAGGCGTGTGGAGTAAGGAAACTTGCCCAAGGTTTCACCCTGCTGAGAATCGAACCCAGGTCTCTTGCTTGCAAAGCGAGTGCTTCTTCCCACTCAACTCCTGTTAACCCTGCAAGCCAAAGGGTGGGGTGGTCCCAGCTGGACAAGTTTGTGTTTGCGCTTGTGTGTGAGAGATGGGCTTGAGTGAGGAAATAGCAATGGAATACAGCCATTGTGTTAGAGAATGGAATGCAAAGATTCATAACCAATGGTATGCACAGTGCAGCGAGCGAAGTCCACTGAGCTTTCATTGCTGCTTCACAATTAAAACATTGTATTTTAATAATATTTGATATATCGCCTTATGTTGTTTAGACATGATATTAGTGCTTCACAGTGTAAGTTTATGAGTTCCTCACGATGTAATACAAGAGATTGACCACCGTTCCTCAGAATGAAGTTAATGTTTTCATACAACCAAAGTGATATATCATACATACAACCAGGGACGTGTAGTTCGGATTCAAAGGTGATCCAATCCTTCCTCTGGGAGAGAATGGCGACTGCTTTGTGTACATCGATCTGAACTCCTTGTACTTTTGCTTCAGTGTCTTCCTCTTTCCTGTCTGTGTCTCTGAGTCGCTTCTGCAGACAGTCTAGGAGGAGGTTTTCTCTCTCTGTCCCTGAATAAAATAGCTGTCATCTCTCTCCGCTCCACACGACACTCTTCTCCTTTCCAGCGGCTGCCTGATTCCCTGCTACTGCTGTTGTGCAAACCCCTCACCAGGTGTCACTAGTGGTTTCACTGAAAACTCCTGACCAGCTCATGCTGGTTCTTTCTTTGCAACAAAGTCTCTCTCCGATGGAAACCTTCCGCCCGGAATGGGGGTGTTGGTGGCCGTCGCTGCACACTTTCTGCTGGGATACACCTAGTGTGATCACCAAGTGCACCTAGTGTAAAATCATCAGCTTATAACAGAGTATACTGTAAAGTGAATTGACTGTAGATTTTGTGAGCGAAACCCAGCAGCCAATTGCCCCCAGCAGTGTTCCACAAAGAGTCGTGGATTGAGTGTCCAAATTTTTTTTGAGGGAGAGATTATTATCCCCACAAAGCGATCCGACAGTCAACTAACAACCTGATTCCTACTTACTTCTAGATAAACAACGGCTTGTGGAGTAAGGAAACTTGCCTAGCGTTTCGCCCTGCCCGGGAATCGAACCAGGTCCTCTTGCGTGTGATCCGAGTTTTCTAATCACTGAGGTGCCAGACATTTGCGGGAAATGGATTGTGACCTGTGCTGGTAGCTGGTGACGTGTGGGTCTAACTGTGCTGTCTCTGTGCCAGGTTTCCATGCCTCCCAGGGTCTGACGGAGGGATGGCTGCCCACGCTGCTCTTGCTGCGAGATTACGGCATCCCAGTGCTATTTACCATGTACAGGTAAATGTTCTGCTCTGGGGCGCTGGGGGTCTCTGCCATTTGTCTGTGATCAGTGTACTGAAGAGCGCAAACCACGGGCAGTGAGGGGGGGTGGGGAGAGAGAGAGGGAGAAATGGGATGGGGGGAGGTAGAGTGAGAGGAGGTATAACAACTATACAGCGCGGTTCATGTTGAGATGATGTCTCCTCGCACAATCGGCTGGTGGTGTTGGGTTGGGTGGGGGGTTGGGTTGCTGAGACCAGACAGCCCAGCCCGTGTGGAGTGAATTGCAAACTGGGAGGAGAGCCTGTGACTCACGATTGTGCTGTACAGACAGTCCTGAGTTCCCTGAATGTTGTTCTCTGGTGAGAAAGGCGACTGTGTTGTGTCTCCTGTGCAGTGAGCAGGAGCTGACCTATTCCCTGCGGATCCTGGAGGAGCTGGAGGTGCGGATTGTCAGCTCTGGCTGGAGCCCCTTTGCCTCCCTGAAGCTGGAGCAGGTGCAGTCTAACCCCAGCAAGCAGCTGGTCAGCAGTAACAGCAGCTATGTGATGCTCCAGGGAGCAATCGAGGCTGTGCCAGAGCTGGGGTAGGAGGACAGCGGGTTAACAGCCTGGACTCCCCATCCCCGGCTGGAACACGAACGGAACACCACTTCCCGGCTCTTGGAAAACGACTCAGTTAATTTGATGAAGACGCCAGCTTTGTAATTCGGACTGAATTTCTACCCCCATCATGATCCTGGTGGAGGGAAGGGGGAGCTTTCTGTTCTTTCTGGTCTGCAAAGTTAACAATAAATAATCGTTGCATTTGATATAGCACACTGTGTCCCCAAAGCGCTTCACAAGAATTACTATGAAGTGTGTGAGTGTGATTTGTAGATGAACTCGGCAGCTCATTTGTACACAGCAATGTCCCACAAACAGTCATAAAGTGAGTGACTGATTTTATCAGGGGATTTACAGCCAGGACACCAGGAGAGAGAAACTCCTTCTCTTTGTGAGTCATGCCACGGGGATTTTTCTGAGTTGCCTGTAATATATGCATATGGTTTTTCAGATGTGACTCACAGCAAGGAAACGTTTTATGAACCCCACCTATCAGGAAAAACTCAGATCAATGCTTGCCAAAGCACCAAGACAGTAGAACAAGAGGATTAGAGTTGCAAATGGGCAATTTCAGGACAGATGTGATGTTACCTTTCCCCTGGGTAAAGAAATACAAGTGGAACAGGTTGCCAGGAAGAATGGTTAAGGCCAGGACACTGGGATTCGTTTGAATTATAGTTTGATGCTGTCAATTATGTGATCTTTCAATCTCAATCTTTCAATGCCCTTTCATCATCCTCCTTAATCCTTCTGCAGCCCTCTGTCTCTCTCTCTTTAAAATATCCCAATTAATTCCGCAACTACAGCTTTCTGGGGCAGAGTGTTCCACGTCTTCACAACCTCATGTGAGAGGAGATACTTCCAGACTCAGAGGATCTTCAAACCAAATACTTGAGAGGAGGACGGAGGTGTTTTAGGGAGGAACTCATCAAATGTGAGAATTATTACTGGTGTGGCTGGAGATGGAGGGCATTTCACCATTGACTTGTTTGATTGTTTCCCCGTTCCTAATCTCTAATCAATGCCTCGACTTAAATGCAACCAGACTAAAACAGGAGACTCAAAACATGGGCAGCTAGTAGGGAGGTCTGTGTTCTAGACTCCGATCTGTGCAACCATGTAGGTGAATAGGTACCACATTTTTTTAAACTTGAATAGAGAGAGTGGAGCTGACCCGTAATGATTTGTGCATTTGATGTAGCGTGTTTTGCTTTGGGAGGAGGGTCTCAAAAGGCTTCACAGAAGTTTTACTGTAAAGTAGCAATAATAATCATTTTGGCATTTGACATAGCGCCTTATCACGTTATCGAGACATCTCAAAGCGCTCTGGGATTCTACCCAGTACGAGGGGCACTATATAAACGCAAGTTGTTGTTGAGTTTTACTGTAAAGTGTAGTGACTGTTTTTTAGGCAAACATGGCAGCCAATTTGCACATAGCAAAATCTCACAAATAGCCAAGAAGTAAATGACCAAATTTATCCAGGGGGGTTGCCATCCAGAACCCTGGGGGAAACGCCCTTTTCGAGCAGTGCCATGAGATATTTAACATCCATTTGAACAGGCAGATGGGGCAATGCTTCTAATAATACAGGGTTCCCCCACCACTGCATTGGAACTCAGCTTAGACAAGAGTTCAAAGTCCTGACGTGGGGCTTGGAATATACAACCTTCTGACTCAAAGGCGAGAGCACCACAGCCTGAGCCAGGCTGATACCTGATCCGTTCATTCCTTTGAAGATTGAAATCTAAACCTGAAACCTGGCCCGTGAGTGTTGAACCTGCCGTGTATTTCACAGTAACTTTCTGCAGAGTTTTTTAATAAATCCTTGCATTTGATACAGCACTTTACACATCTTCTCGACATCTCAAAGCGCTTCACAGAATAGACTATAAAGTGAATTGACCGTATATTTGTGGGCAAAACGCGGCAGCCAATTGCGCACAGCAGTGTCCCACAAAAAGTCGTGGATTGAAAATGACCAATTTATTATTGTTTTGTTTTCTTGGAGGGATTATTATTAGGCGTGTGGAGTTAGGAAACTTGCCCAAGGTTTCGCCCTGACTGGAATTGAACCCAGATGTCTCACTTGCGAGCCGCGTGCTCTAACCATTGAGCTACAGGACTCCTATTTTCATTTCTTTATAAACCAATCAGCCGTCACAATATTTATAGCAGATTTGCCTCTTGATTCATATTGTTTGCTTAAATACTATACAAGTATTCAGCAGTAAAGTTGTAAAAGTTTCTGTTTGAAATCCTTTCCCATGAATGAACCTACATCAAGAAGGTTTGGACTACCCCCCCCCCCCCATTACTACGTGTGCATTTTCCCACGACCACCCCACTTGCCCACCCATCCCTCTCGACTCCAGTCCACAGCTCGGATACAAACCCTGGACTGTCCAGCACCTCGGGACATGAAAAGCATATAACAGTGGGGGGTGGGTCTTGAAGGATGAGGTCAAATAGGCTGAAGGGCCTTCCTCATCCAACCCAATGTTATAAAAACAAGAATATCTCACAGGTTTGGTAGAATTTCGGGCCCTCAAATTTTCACAAACCTCAAGTCTCGTAGCATAGTTGTTAGCAAACTCACCTGGGTTTGATTCCTGACAGGGGCAAAAACCTTAGGCAAGTTTCCTTACTCCCATATGCCTCGGTTTACCTAGCAATAAGTATGAACCTGGTTGTTAAGTCAATTGGCGGATCGCTTTCCGGGGTTAATAATCCATCCAAAAAAGTAATTATAATTTGGTCACTCAATCCACGACTTTGTGGATTCACTTTGTGGGACAATGCTGTGCGCAATTGACTCCTGCGTTTCGCCCACAAATATACAGTCAATCCACTTTAGAATACAGTATATTCTGTGAAGCATTTTGAGACATCTCAATGATGTGATAAGACACTATCAAATACAAGGATTCTTATAAAACAAGCAGAGTTCGGATTTAGCCCAGATCGCCGATAAAAATGCACAGTCACTACATTGTCCGGCGTAAAGAGCGCTATATAAATCCAAGTTGTTGTTTATAGTAAATTCTGTGAAGCACTTTGGGATATTTCGACGATGCAATAAGGTGTTGTATCAAATGCAACAATTATTATTATAAGTAATTTGAGCAATTTAAAACAGAGAAAGTACATCAGGCGCAGGTTGTTTCACTCAAACCTTCACACAGTATACATACCGCCAGATCGATCAGTCTTTTACACTTTGCATTTGTGTATGAAGAAATGACCAGGCTTTTAACTAGCAGACGGAATTTTATTTTGATCGTAAAATGAACATATAAAAAATCTTTTTAATTTTTTTCCATAAAGGTGAGAGACACAGAGCTTAAATTTTGATAAATATGAAGTGTAAGTAAAAAGATTATTGTATGTGTAAATGGAATTTAACCACCAATATTCTTTGATACATACAGGAGTATTTAAACAAAGCTTATTTCTACGCAGGCAAGGTAAGAAAGCATGTATCTATAAACATTACACAAGAAGCAGCGTCACAGCGAAAGGTCGGAGTTACAGTAAATCTATCCTCTGTGCATTTCTTAAAATGACCCTATCTCTGTTTCTGTATATCACACTTGGGGAGTATCAATCCTGAAGGAAATGTGGGTTCATTTTCTGTCACCTTCCTTAACTGGAGTTGGCAAGTAATACATGATTAGACAAACAAACATGCTCTGTACCCTTTTTTTTGAAAACCAACATTTTTTTTGTTAATATTTTTCAAAATGTTTACATTTTTTCCTTTTGACTCACGGAGAAGCGGAAGGCTGTACTATACTAACTTTGTATAAGAACTATACAAAGTTTCACTTTTTTTTAAAAAAAGAAATAAAACAAACATTGAAAAAGAATACAAACAAAGTTGAAATGAGTGATCGAGCTGCATTGTCTCAGTCGCCTTCGACTTGAGACCAGCTGATCTAAGGACTTCTTAATGGTAACTTGGAAAATTTATATCAAAAAAACCCATAAACTATTTTAAAACCCTTTGGCAGATTTATAATTCAATGATTAAAAGGCAGTGCGGCTCCTTCCAAACTCCTCCACTGTTTCCCATTTTGATTTGAATGCAATTTTTAATTTTTTTAAAAAACACTTAATTTTTTTTTGCATTTCTTTCACTTTTTATAAGGTGCATTTTAGCCATTTTTGAATGTGTAATTAAGGCTGTTTTTGTGGGACTCACTGAAGACCGAGCGACTTGACTGCAATGAGTTCTACGTACAGTACCAGTTTCGGTAAGTAAGAGATGTCACACTACGATGTGCTTTATTAAAAAAAATTAAATTTACATTGTAAGTTTAAATAAGAAAAGTAAAAGGGTTTAACTCGGGTTTGCAGCGGCATTGATCCAAGGCTTGAGGCTGTTTTTAAAAAGGCAGCTATGGATTCCTCCATTGGATGTGAGAACAGTGATACTGGTGCTGAGCAACTGAGTGTGCACCACACACTACCTTTCAGCTACATTCACCGTGGAGCGGACTTCAGAATCGATGTCCACGTGATCACTAATGTGATCTCGCTGTCTCAGTTGAAATGTGTTTGAACTGCACAGTGTGGTTCCAGTATTGCAAACGAGCATGATTTATTTGAAGACATGCCTTACAGGTAAAACATTTTTTTCTCTCTAAATCATATTTATAATAAAACTTAGGTTCTTCTTGACACATTTCAGGATCTCCTAAGTAGATGTCTCTTGGTGGAGCGTGCCAATTGAATGAAACAATGAATGTAATGCACTAAATGAGCTGAAGGATCTTGAGATAAAAGGAGAGATTCAGGAAAGGTCTATGAGGCTGCATTGACAGGAGGGTCAAATCATCGGTCTCAATATAGAACGTGCCGTCTCTGAAATTAATGATGCTTTTCTCGAGATGTTTTCTTTTTAATTTAGAATTTTTAGAAATGATTTGGTTTGATGTGCCTCCTCTCTTGTTGGCCCAGTGCATTTTCTTTCCTAACCAGTCATAACCGTTTTACAGTGGACATACTAAGCCATTTAGTCTACCAGTACTGATGGAGTGAAACAGAGGTCACACTGTGTCAGCAAAGGACCTTTACAGTAGTAATGTTTACAGTAAATATTACCAGCTGGGGGTGGATCACGCTCTCCTGTAGGTGAACTGGAATGAGAGCATTCAAACAAAAATACTTGAGACTTTTTTTGCTGAGTTTGTTGATTGGAGGGCAGAGAAGATCGATTGATTGCTGTGTGTGTGTGATTGATTGATCATCATGGGTAGTGATTGATTACTTTGTGGGGGAGGGAGAGAAGTGACTGATTATCGTGAGGAGGGAATGGGAAGAGTGATTGATTACCATTAATAGGTACCTTCATTCCACTAGTCTTATAAGGAGTAAGTTAGTGTTCAGCAGTTCACTCTAATCTGTTATTTCAGCGTAAACCAATTGCTGTTCCCCATTGTTACACGGCAAGTGGAAATGATACAGATTTCAGCTCTCTTTGAATCGTGCTTCACTGTAAGATCTTAACACAGTAAATGTGGATAATCGATTTGAAATGTCGATTTTTCTTTAAAGCTAGTTGTAGAACAAATAACCAACAGTTCACTTTTCACACAACTCTCTGGAAATGGCTTAGCTGAACTTGCTTCCGTGACTTGTTAGCAATAATCTTTTAGTTCAAAGTAACCTGGTGAAATCAGCCATGCAATTGCCAATGGAAAAGATTGACCTTTATTTTTAAAAAAAGGCAAATTAAAACTAACAGCTGGTGTGAATTGGTTTTTCAAACTGCCTTTCGGAATGAATACAAGATAACCGGGTTCCCAGGCTCTCAATTGGGTCAGACAGTGTCTGAGTGTCCGTGTTATAAACAAAGTCTAATATTGAGATTGACCAGGACTGCTGATGTCACTTCCTACAAATGCGTACAATGTATGTGCAGGAAGTGACGTCAGTGGTGATCTGACGACCTAGATTTTTTTTAAGCGCAGGAACCAGGTTTACCTCCCAGTTCGCATGAGCCCACAGGATACGAAGCCGTGTTATAACAGGATTGCCTTGTATTCACAGAATATCTAAGCAGGTCTAAAATGCAAATTGGGCTGATAGCCCACTAATGTGTACATCACACCTCCATTATGTGACTCCATCAATGAAAACAATTGAAAGGTGATTCGCATTAGAATTGGCTCAACTTGCATTTTTATACTTGATAACGTTAAGCGAGAGGGGGGGTACCTGAATAGATGGTAAAGTGAGCATTTTACAAAGAGAACAGATTTCCACACTCAGCAGAGAATCTTTTTTTCAGGCGAAAAAAACAAAAAAAAGCAGTCTCTCTGGATTTTGTTTTTTTTGTTGAGTTTTAGTGCAGTATAAAACACTGGCCTGACAAAGACCACTATTACACTACCCATCACAGGCTACTAAAAATCCACTGTGCAATACCGTAGCTAAACACAGGACACATGGTCTATCTCTAACTAAATACAGTAGCTGAAACTTGTATCCCGCATTTCCCCTCCACCCCCAATGAGATATTGGAATGCACAAACCATGGTGACAATGCAACCTCATACCTGAATAACAATACATGTGAGTTTAAAGATCTACATAGAACTTCTCGTTAAAGCCAGAGGCTTTCTTTAATACAGAAAACAAAATTTGTCTCCAGTTCTATTCAAGTACAAAAACTGTACAATGTAGAAGAGAGAGAGAGAGAGAGAGATGGCGGAAGCAAAGGGTTTTACTCTGGGGTGATCGGGCTGCGTCTCAGAGATTGCTCTCTGTGTCGTTTTTGTTGGTTAGAAAGTTCACTTGTGACAAACCTTTGGCAACTTCGTTATTTTCATTTAATCTCCTCACTCGGTAAGCCTCATAATGGATCTTGTGTGTGACGTCTTTCAGATCCTGGAGGTGGGACCTTATATAGTAAGAGTGGGGAAAAGTAAAAGTGAAATGGCTTGCGAAAAGCAACTCATGCAGTAAGTAAGTGACTTGATAAATACAATACAAAATTACTTTTGTATAGCGTCTTTCACATCGGGAGGACTTCCCAAGGGCCTGAGTATCCAGTTGCAGCTTTTTTTAACGTTATGTATTGTGAAGTATGTTCTTCCAGAGAACTGAATTGATCTATCCTGACAATCCCAAACTTCATAATGACCCATGTGATTCTATTTATCTAAGCGTCAGCCTGGTTAAATCGATGGCAATATCATCTTGGAGTCACCTTAAGATGTACCTCTTTGACCGCCCTATGGTCATCTTCCAACTGCATCACTGTCCCAACACTTCAACATGGTATCCTGTGTTGAGGGCGATACTGTATATACATACATGTGTATATACATACGATATATACACAAGTTGTTGATATAGAAACTTCACATCAGAAGGATTGTCCCAATGCACTTCATGGGAATTTTGCTTTAACCAGACTGCCACAACCAACAAAAAAGGGAGGGAGAGGAGGAGAGGTGGAAAAAGAGGGGAGGGAAGAGAAAGATACAAACAGAAGAAAATGGGGGGGGGGAAGATGGAATAATGGAGGGAAAAGAGGGGGGGATGGAAAGCAATGGAGGAAGGGAGGGAAACGGAGGGAAAGAAAGAGTGGGGTGGAGAGGGAGGGAGGCAGAGGAGGGGTGGGGTGACGAGAGGGGGATGCGTATGGCACGTACATCCAACAACTAACTACTGGGAGAGACTGAAGTGAACGGCTGAATTATTTGCTAATCCTCTCCACCGAATTGAAGGAAGAATTCACAGAGACCTGGCGTTTTAATCCTATAAATTACGCTGAATAACTTGTGAGGTTATGTCAAACACTGAAATCTTCGGAATCATGTGGATTCACAAACTGACTCTTAATAAAGACAAGAAGGAACAGAATTCCTGACTGAGGGATTGCGTTGTGGCTGGGCAGAGCGAGCGAGCGAGCAAACAGCTTGCAATTTAATCTCAGGGTTCAGATGACGCTGGAAACAATAGGAGCCTTGTGAGACACTCTTGCGTGTCACAGCCTGCTGGTTGTACTGAGAATTCAATCGCTGCTTTTATTACACAATCTCTACCTGATATTAGTGCCTAAAGTTTCAATTAAGAAGAGAAGCAAGAGGAGCAGCAATTGATGGAATGCAAATCTTTCAAACAGGTGAGGTTTTCATTACTGGGTTTCTGTAGGTCTGTTGGTGCAGTTTAGGAATGCTGTCCCGTTCCAGAGGTGAATGAGGCCACCCCAGGATTGAGGGAGCCTTTTCATGGAATGTTTCGACAGTAAACCTCACATGAGTCACATCAGTTGGGGCCATACATTTAATCTGATTTATGCAAAGTATGAGCTATGTCAAACTTTCACAGAATATACACTTTTGAATGGGACTCGGGCAGATGTATGATTTAGGCGATTGTCCCATTTATACAGATCAGAGCTCTGCGGATTTTACTGTACACTGGTCATGACTGGACACATCTTAACCACAACGGCCAGGGCTGCTTTGATGCTGGACTGTATATATATATATTGTTATATATGGCAGTTGTTTTAAACAAAGAACATGATCGTTCAATGCAGAATTCCCGTACTGTCAATTTCCAGAAGGCACAGAGTTACAGAGTGACATAGTACGGCCATTCAGCCCAACTTATCTGTGTTTCTACTCCACACAATCCCCCTCAACTCCCTTCTAGGTTTCTCTTACCTGATCAGCAGGTCTCTCAGATTAGCAAACTCACAGTGCGCACTGTTTTCAACTGTGGAAGAAAACATAACAGTCAGGTTCTAGCTGATAAAAGTGAAACTAAATAGTCAGGTTTCTTTACAATGTTAAATAATAATAATAATAATCCTTGCATTTGATATAGCGCTTTTCACGTCTCCTAGACATCCCAAAGCGCTTCACAGAATATACTGTAAAGTGAATTGACTGTATATTTGTGGGTGAACGCGGCAGCCAATTGCGCACAGCAATGTCCCACAAACAGTCGTAGATTGAAAATGACCAATTTATTATTGTTTTTGGTTTTGGAGGGATTATCATTAGGCTCTGTGTGGAGTAAGGAAACTTGCCCAAGGTTTCGCCCTCTGCCTGGAATTGAACTCAGGTCTCTCACTTGCAAAGCGAGTGCTCTAACTACAGGACTCCATGTTAAACAACTTAAGAGCATAATAATTTCCTAGGCGAAAGAAGACCATCCAGTTCGCCTTCCACCATCCACATGTCATGTCACAAACTACATATTGTATCTATCCCGAGATATTATTTCCAAACAGAAATCTATCCAATTTGTTTACTTCCCAAACTGTTCTTTATTACAGTGCACGCTCTTCAGGTGTGAGCCTCAAAAAAATGATGCTCAACAACAACCCCCTCCAATTGCATTTATAGAATGACTTTCACACCGAGAGGACGCCCCAAGGCATTAGACAGTCAAGGATTTGCATCCGAGCTGGGAGTTGGGAGTCAATAGGGGTGAGGGAAAGACAGGTAGGAGGATGACAGAAGGCGCGGTCAAAGAGAAAGGTCTTGAGATGGGCCTTGAAGGAGGCAAGGGATCGGGAGTGGGAGCTGTGGGATTCCAGAGGGTGGGGGCAGAAGGGATCAATACACGGCTGCCGATAGGGAATGGGCAAGGCCAGTGCCCGCTGAGTGGAGAGCACAGGTTGGTAATGTTTTAGTTGGTCGCAGAGGTAGGGAGGAGCAAGGCCATAGAAGGCTTTAAAAGCGAGGACCTTAACCTTAATTCTCTGGGGGATGGGGAGCCAGCAAAGCCGGGCGAAGATGGGAGTGACAGGGTCACGGAGTTTGGTGTGGGAGAGGAAATGAGCTGAATAATTTGCAGCTTGTAGAAGGACAAGTTGGGATGCCTGACAAGCAGGGAGTAAGCAGAGTCAAGCCTGGATGTGTTGAAAGCATGTATGAGGGTCTCAGCAGCCTGAGGAGAGAGACCGTGGTGGAGTGGACAATGTTGTAGAGGTGGGGGAAGGATAAATAGGTCATGGTATAGATGGGCTTTAAAGGACAGTTGAGGATCACACTAGACACCACAATTCTGGACTGGCCGAGGGAGGTGTAGTGTGCATCCATGAAGTGTGATACTGTCAGCGTCTGAGGTGTGGAGGTGCTGACGGGAGTCAAGCAGGAGGGCTTCAACTGGAGAAAATTGGCTCTCATTTTTTTGGTCAGCTGGGTGTCTGAAACATGTGGAAACCAATCACCAGGTTTAAATATATCCAAACCAGCTGAGATTTCCAGACTCACATCCAGGACCTGATGTCTGACAGACATTCAGTCAGGACAGCAGTGGTCCTGGAGTCAAGAGAAGGTAGAGGCAGAGAGGTAAGAGTTGCGTGTCATCCGCATACATGTGGAAGTTAACACCATGCATGCGGATGATATCACCGAGTGGGAGTAAGTAAATATAAAGGAGTAGGGGACCAAGGACAGAGCACTGAGGAATGCTGCGAGGGCAGGAGGGGAAGTCGATAGCGGATACAAAGTGGAGAAAATGGGAAAGGTAAGAACGAAACTAGCAAGGTGGAGCTGAGGTGGAGCTGAGGTGGAGCTGAGAAATGAGGCAGAAGAAAAGAATAAAGTGGTCAACAGAAGGCTGGAGGAAGCGGGGGAGAAAAGTGTCAGTCAAGGCACACGTACACGCATTTGCCAGCGGGGGTCGCTGGTTAGCTATCGGGAGGGAATCCTACCCCATCGTTAGCCCAGAGGCACTGAAGCCAAGTGACTGCGCTGTTGTAAGATTAGCTAATTTAACTCTCCAACCTCCAGTCCACGTAGCTCAGGCCTGCGCCAGGCCACTGACTGAGGAAACTACTGACTCACTTGTTCTATGTGTTCTCCCCAGGTCTTGGATATACAATCCCCCCCCAAAGTAAGTTAAAGAACCTGTTGGCGCTATTCAAAAAGGAAAGGTTGATTCTTGGTCATCGGTCCCCCCAAATAAAATTGGTCATTCACTTTGCGGCTGTTTGTGGGACGGTGCTGTGTGCAAGTTGGCTCCCGCACTGGCCTACAAAATACAGAGTCGCTACACTTTAATTTCCTGTGAAGCACTTTGACATGGTTCGACATTTGGCACTGTGTGAAATGCAAGGATTATCATAATACTAATCTGATAAAAGTGCTATATTATTATAATAATCCTTGCATTTGATATATCACCTTATCACGTCATTGAGACACCTCAAAGTGCTTCACAGAATATATTGTATAACATGGCAAATTGTGCACAGCAGTGTCCCACGTACAGTCGTGGATTGAGTGACCATATTTTTACGATTGGCAGATCAATTTCATTGCAAAAGTAAATCCTGTGAAGCGCTTTGAGTCGTGGTCCTGATGTGAAAGGCGGTGTGTCAAATGCAAGGATTATTATTTGTTAATATCTGTAAATCTTGCAGATATGACTGAGGCTCATGTCAGATCAGTGCATCCACAAAATATGAATTCAGAGCAAGTTGAGAATATCAGACAGTATCTCATGGCTCATCACGATAATTATATCCTAAACAATAATATTTCAATAGAGTGTGATGTCGAAAGATTTTCTCAAGCTAACGTGACTCACTTGGTAAAGTGATGGACTCTTAATGTGAGATTGTTATAATGGCTGCCCTCCGTATCTGAAAATACATGTGAACAACTGGATGTGTGAGTTTGTGTATAGTGTAGAAGTTGCTGTCCACACAGCAACCACACTCTCAGACAGCAAGCAATGTCTAACAGAAACCTGGCTCACCCCAGGCGACACCTTCCCCCTCACGGAGGCCTGACCACCCGGCTACACCTCCCACCACATCCCTCGCCCCAACCGTCGTGGCGGTGGTGTTGCCCTTATCTCAAGGACACCACTTGCCCTATCCCCCTACTCCTCTGGCTCTTTCCCCTCTTTCGAGCACCTCATCCTCTCCCACCCCTCCTTCCTCTCACTTAAAATCCTCCTCCTCTAACGGCCCCTAAAACCTCTCCCACCTTTATCTCTGATATCTCAACACTTCTCACATCTCTCTGCCTCTGCTCTGATCGCCTCATCATCCTGGGCGACTTTAACCTGCACTTCACCCCCTCCTGCTCAATCTCCTCAGATTTCTCTTCCCTGCTCTCCTCACTCAACCTCTCCCTCCACATCAACTCCCCCACTCACAGTCACGGCCACCCACTCGACTTGGTGATCACCCGGGGCCTCAGTGTCTCGGATGTCACCATCACCGATAAGGCCATCTCCGACCACCACTTCATCTCCTTCACCACCTCCACCCCCCTCCCCACCTCCACCAGACCCACCACCATCTTCTACCGCCCCTGGAAGAAGTTACCCCCTCAATCCCTAACCGCTGCCTTGGAGTCCTCTGAACTCCTCTCCCTCTGGCCTTCAACCCTCACCAACCCCTCTTCTGCTCTCACCCTCCTCCACAACACGCTCTCCTCCACACTCGACACTCTTGCCCATATCACCTCCCGTACTGTCTCCTACTCTCGCTCCTCCCCCTGGTTCACTACCCACCTCTGCTCACTGAAAAGCCAGGTGCGGGCCGCTGAACGCACCTGCGTCAAATCTGGCCTAACGGTCCACCGACAAATCTGGCTGGACCTCCTCAAAATCTACCGCTCCACTCTAGCCTCGGCCAAGTCGTCCTTCTACTCCAGGATAATCCTGGAGGCGAAGGACAACCCCAGGCTACTGTTTTCTACCACATCCCGACTCCTCCGTCCCCCCCACCACCCTGCGCAGGTCATCTCCTCCAACCTTCACTGCGAGGAGATGCTGGATTTCCTTGAATCCAAGATCAAGGGAATCCGCTCTGCGGTCACTTCCCCTCCAACATCCACCCACCACCCACCCCTTCCCTCCCACACTCCGACTCCTACCCATCCTCCCCTACACACCTTCATACCCGTTTCCCCATCCTCTGTCACCAAACTCATCCTCTCCCTGAAACCTACCACCTGCTCCCTTGACCCCATCCCCACTCCACTCCTGATCTCCCAGCACCACCTCCTTGCCCCACATATCACAGACATCGTCAACCTGTCCCTCTCCTCTGGCTCTGTTCCCATTCCCTTAAAAACTGCCACCATCACTCCCACCTTAAAAAAACTCTCCCTTGATGTGTCGCAGCTATCAATCTCCGGCCCATCTCCAACCTCCCCTTCCTGTCCAAGGTCCTGGAACGAGTTGTGGCCTCCCAACTGCGCTCTTTCCTCTCCAACCATTCACTATTCGAACCCCTTCAATCGGGTTTACGTGCTTCCCATAGCACAGAAACTGCCCTGGTCAAGGTCACCAATGACATCCTGACCATCTGGTTTAGGTCGTACCTCTCCCACCGTCTTCACTTTGTCTCCACAAATGGTTTTTCCTCCACCCCCCGCACTGTCTCGTGCGGTGTCCCTCAAGGCTCTGTCCTCGGTCCCCTCCTCTTCACCCTCTATATGCTCCCCCTGTGGTGACATCATCCGCAGACGTGGGGTTAACTTCCACATGTATGCGGATGACACCCAACTCTACCTTTCCTCCTCTACCCTCAACTCCACGACCACCGATGTCCTGACAGCTATCTGTCCGACATCGAGTCCTGGACGAGAGATAACTTTCTTCAGCTCAACGTGTGCAAAACTGAGGCCCTCCTGATTGGCTCACGTCAGCGCCTCCGCACCTCAGGCGCTGACAGCATCAGCTCCGCACTCTCCACCTCTCAAAGCCATCAGGAACCTCGGGGTTCTCTTCGACCCTGAGCTGTCCTTTCTCCCCCATATCCGCACCACAACTGGCACTGCCTTCCATCACCTCCGGGATATCGCCAGACTACAGCACTACCTCACCCCTCATGCGGCTGAAACTCTGGTCCACGCCTTTATCACCTCAAGGCTGGACTATGGGAACTCTCTCCTCGCCGGCCTTCCCGGCCCTCCCTCCACACTGCAGGTCATTCAGAACTCTGCAGCTCGTGTACTGTCCCGCACCAGGCTTCGGGACCACATCACTCCCACCCTCGCCCTCGCTCGCCCCCACTGGCTCCCCATCCCCCAGAGGATCGATTTCAAGATCCTCATCCTCACCTACAAGGCCATTCACGGCCTTGCTCCCTCCTACCTCTCTGACCTATCCCCCTACCTACCTGCCCGTACCCTCCGTTCCTCTGGCTCCGGTCTGCTCCACATCCCCCGCCCCAACCGCCCTACCATCGGTGGCCGGGCCTTCAGCCTCTCAGCCCTGAGGCTCTGGAACTCTATCCCCCAGTGCCTTCGCCGCCTCCTCCCTTTCCTCCTTCAAGGCCGGTCTCAAGACCTTTCTCTTTGACCGTGCCTTCAGCTCCCCTCTCGACTCTCTACCCCCTCCTCGCTCCCTCCCTTCCCTCCCCTCACCCTGACCATTTCCCCCCAATGCTCGGGTCCTGACCCAACTGTACAACGCCTTGGGACGTCCTCCCGACGTGAAAGGCGCTCAATAAATGGAATCTTGTTGTTGTTGTTGTTGTTGGTGCCAAGGAACGCCTGAGAAGACCAGACCACTTGCTGAATGCACTGGTAGCAACCATTACCCATGGAAAGCGATCTGCCAATTGCCTAACAGGCGGGTTCCTACTTATTGCTTGGTAAACAGAGGCGTGTGGAGTAAGGAAACTTGCCTAAGATTTTGTCCCACCTGGGAATCAAACCCGGGTCCTCTTGCTTGTGAGGCGAGCGTGCTAACCACTATGCTACAAACTCCTTAGGTTTGCAGTAATACAACGTGAAATGCAATATGGAATGTTAGTAGCTTGTGTTGGACACAGCCAGAGCAGAGTCTCACAAAGAGAGGCGACGTGCATCACGTCATCCGACTTGCTGATGGGCCACATGTCAAAACACCTATTTCACCTGCTCCATGACCAGGCTGTGAGTGTGAAGTGCCACTGATTTCCTCCACAGTAAATGGCCCTCTTCACCAGCAGAACAAAGGAAGCATAAGCCACATTCACTTAAGGCTCGAGCAACAGAAATGCTTCTATTCAGACCTGCTGAAAGATTGGTGCCATTGACCAGCCAGCTATGCAGGCAACTGAGAGCACAAAATTCACTAAAATCAGAAACAGGTGCTCCCAGGGCATCTCTCTGGGAGTTTGAAATAGTAAAAGCAATGTTGCTGATTTCCTTCCTGTCCCAACGATAATTCACTTCCACTGGAGTTTGATTTCAGGGTAGTTTGGACCCGAGTTTTGTCTGCTAGCATTACAGCGACACCTTCACACCTGGGTGGGTGGGGGCGGGGGAGAGGAGCCTGGATGTTTCCTTGGCACCTGCACAGAGCTCTGTACTACAAATGACTGTAAAAGGGGGTTGGGGGCTGGAAACAATTCAAAAATGACTGCAATAATACTTCAATGTCAGCATGAGATGTTCTAAGCATCAAGACGTTCTTTATCGTCATTCAGGTATATAGCAGAATACCTCAAATCTACGTGGCAATTGACGTCACGCCTGCTTATTCACATTGGGCTCCGAGATAATAGCAAAAAAAATTAAGTTGTGTGAGGTAGGTTACTAACGACGGGGTTTAGGTTCATATCACAGACCTCCTGCACTGCAGGATTAGTTTTGCCAGGAACACTTAATTGTTTCTAAGTAGACGTGTTAGACAGAGATAATCAGAGAGAAAACATAGAAAGAGGCTTAGAGGAAAGAGAGGGAGGAAAGAGCTGGCACAGGCACAGTGTGACACCACAGTGATAGTACTTTTTAGTTAGGGCTGTAGCCAACTTGTACTTAGCATGGTATCCAATTATCCGCCATGGGGCAGGTCCCAAACAATACAATAACTGTCTCTCTTTCGGGTGTGTAATTAGTGAGTATTGAACTCAGAGCACAGGTTAAAGTATTGTCATTTTGAGCACATAGTATTAGAACTAAAGTCAATTTGTGGCACCAGTGAAACTAATTAACATCCAAGGACAGTTATCGATGAATTTTACATCGTCTGTGCTGCAGGAGGGGGCAGCTTCAAACAGCTGTGAGCAACCGTGATCGCACCACGGGTTTACCGCAGGCTTGGAATTGTAACTTACGACCTCTGGAAAGAATGTAACAAACAATTAGTGAAGCTTGTTGTGTCATTCTAATGTGTAGGGTGGTGCTTAATCCAATGGACAACTAACGCCTCTCTGCTTCCTCATACATAACTCCACTATAGTCAGGATTCAGCAAAGCAAACAATATCAATGATGAAAATACTGAATTTTTATATCAGTAGCTTTGCGATTGGGTCACTTGATGGTTTGTGAGTCTGGTTTAGCACTGGTGTACCTCGAGCGAAGGAATTTCACCATTCTGCAAGATAAACGCAATGTGGACAATTTGGGAGCTTCCAACACTAACAACTGGACGTACTGAGCCTGACATTGTGTTCAGGTTTAGATTTGATTCTTTCCCCCGAGCAGCTCCCATCAGCTTCTGCTGCCGGGTGTAACGTTTCTTACCTTCAATGATTCCCCACTTGGTTTTCCTGCCCAGTATCCTCTTGCCGTTCACCTGGTGTTCCTGATCCGTGCCCACCACTGCAAAAGGAATCTTTTCCTGCCGGAGGCAAACCACAGGAACTCGTTAAACATATGTGAAGTTAGAGCAGTGTAAATGCTAACACAATCCCCTTATTCCACCCAGAAATCCTATTCCTTTCTGGCTGCTTCAACTGAGGCTACATGAACAGCCATGACATTAATGATTAATTTAATCCTTAGGATTTCGGCCAGGACACGGGGAAAAACTCTTCTCTTTTCGAGTAGTGCCCCAGGATCTTTCGCATCCACCTGGACAGGTAGACGGGACCTCGGCTTAATGTTTCATCTGAAGTACCTCCAATAATAAAGTGCACCTCCAGAGATGGATCCCTTTGAGTATACAGGACAACCCTGTGTTTCTGATCCAAATAAACAAGGCATTTTTTGCATCACATTAGATTTGTGACAAAAATGGCTGGCGGTGCCATTTCCAGGTCATCAGATCACCACTGATATCACTTCCAGCTTCCTGTGCATGTGCCACACTTCAAGAAGCCAAGGTTAAATGCAATCTCACACTCTAGTGCCTTATCCGGCGTGTTTCTATAAAGGCAAAATATAAAATGTGTTTCTATAAATGCAGACTGTATTTTAACTGTTTGAAAAAAATAAAATCGTACTTTATTGATTGTGAAAATTACAACGTGGCCAACATTCATTAATCTTCACTTTCCATATTCAAATAAGCTGACATTTAGTTGTATAATTTGTATACTCGTCAACTGTTTAGACGATTTACAAACATAGTCAATCTGTCTTTATGACATTCCTTTACCACATTCAGAATCTTTTCCCTTCCAAATAAGTCCAAGCAATAAAATCCAGGCCTGCAGAACACACTGGGAGTTCTCAAATTAAACCGCTTGATTTACATCATAAAATTGCTGCAGAAAAAACACACACTAATCAGCTCCGGGTTTGGCACAAACTGGCGTAAACCCCACCAGGCAAAGGTTCCGAGATTATGGGTCATACAAAGATGGAACGAGATGTCAACATTTAATAAAAGCCTGATTCAATTACATTTAAAAAAACAGCTGACTCGTTTCAAGTGTTTTGTCTATTGAGAGTGATCTGTTCAATGATTCCCTTCTGCATCTACATTTCCCAATTCCCTGGGTTGGGTGAAAGACAAGTTTCCTTACTCCACATGCCTTTGTTTACCCAGCAGTAAGTAGGAACCCGGTCGTTAGTCGATTAGCAGGTCACTTCCGGGGGTAATAATCCCTCCACAAAAAAAATTGGTCGCTCAATCCACGACTATTGGTGGGACACTGCTGTGTGCAATTGGTTGCCACGTTATACAGTTCATGTTTCACCCATATAGCAATCAATCTACTTTAAAATATATTCTGTAAAGCGCTTTGAGACGTCTCAACAACATGATAAGGCGCTATATCAAATGCAAGGATTATTATTATTTCAGTCCGCTCATCAAGGGAGGGCAAGCAATTGTTATTATGCATAATGTTGGTCAAGTGGAAATAACTTCTTCCTATTCACCCTGTCAAAATCCATCATAATCTAGCAGGTCCCCACTCAACCTTCTCTGCTCCAATGAAACTTTTCCAATCTCTCCTTATACTTAATTCATTCCCCTCATCCCTGTACCATTCTTGTTTGTGTGTAAACTGACTTGGTTCCCTCCACTCAGCCGGTTCCGGCCTGCTCCATGTCCCCCGACCCACCCGCCCCACCATTGGCGGGAGAGCCTTCAGCCATTCCATCCCCCAATCACTCCGCCTCGCCCCCTCTTTAACCTCCTTCAAGTCCCGCCTCAAGACCCTCCTCTTCGACTGTGCCATTGACCACCCCCCTTCCCCTCCCTTCCCCCCCAACCCCAGCTCGGGTCTGAAATGCTATTCTCTGTCCAGCGCCTTGGGATGTCCTCCCGACGTGAAAGGCGCTATACAAATGTAATTTTGTTGTTTTTGTTGGTTCATAGGTTTTGGGCGTTTGCCTAAAAAAATACACTTCACAGAAAATCCCAAAGTGCTTTTGAGCATTTTGACTACGTGATAATGTGCTGTATCAAACGAAAGATTCACCATTATTATTATTACTCCCATACAGAATATAGGCTGTATCCCGTAAAAATGCTTAACAAGGTCTGTGAGCCCAGAACCCATGAACCAAGCCTCCACCTTGTCTAGGTGAACCTCCCATTAACACCCAGTGCTGTAGCTCCACTCACCCGGACTGTATCATTTAGTATTTGATCCTCAGCATCTTCGTCAAACTCTTTCTGGGGGAAAACACTGATGCCGTGGCTCTTCAGGTCTTTCCGAATCTGAAAGCAATTTGAAAAATAGGTCAATGTCACGGAGGTTAACACTTCACAAAATAAAACTGCAAGCGGGAGTGAACAGCTAAACTACAAAGCAATGTCTGGCAAGTGAGAAAGCTTGCCTGACTATGCTATCAATGGCAAGCTAAGCATTTTTAACCGATTAAATTCCAGCAATTGCCCCAACACACACTGGGGGGACCCCAAGCCTTGGCACTCGCCAACCTGTGCCTAATACTTTCAGGAATTAAGTAAGCAGGATGCACCCCTCCAGGGAGAGAGAGCGCATTCCATTCCAGCAATCTATCTCTGGGATTTCCATGTGTATGTGGGATGTGTGGAATTCTCAGATGGGTTTGGATACTTTTAAGCACGGCGATGGGTGTGTCAGACACCCGCTGACCAAAAGAGCGCTGCAAGGTTCAGTGCATACCATCATGCGATTATTCCACTTTGGAATGAGTTTCAATCTGTATTTTTCATGATCCTTCGACATGATCAATCAAATTGATTAATGTGTGTAAGCTGTAGCGACTTTATAACGTACAATGTAAATTGAGTAGCTTGATTTGAGAATTCCCAGTGGATTTCTGCAGGCATAGGGATATCGATCGAGCTCCACATGAACAGAAATTAAACATTTCTGTAGCACTCGTTGAAAATAAAAACTAATCAGGAATATCCAACAGAATTCCAAGAGCGGAATGGCTTCTGGTAACTGGAGGGAAGTCATACAATGTCCCTCCACTCCCAAAAGCAGAGTATCCAGCGGGCAGACACATCACCTGCAGGTTCTTTAGCAATGAAGCTGTGGAAAGTCAACACTCGATCAGGCCCTAAAGGAGAAAAATGGCCGGCTTCTGGGTCATTGGGTCACCTCCAATTTCACTTCCTGTTTGCTGAAAACAACGCCGATAATTCACCAAGACCAGCGTGTTGCGATTGGTTGCGATCAGAGGCATCGCAAAGCAATTAAAAAATGACATCAACATCTAGAATATCGTTTCAGTCACATTGACCTGCCTCCCACCCCACCCCACTCCTGGAGTCCTGTAGCTCAGTGGTTAGAGCACTCGCTTTGCAAGTGAGAGACCTGAGTTCAATTCCAGGCAGAGGGCGAAACCTTGGGCAAGTTTCCTTACTCCACACAGAGCCTAATAATAATCCCTCCAAAACAAAACAATAATAAATTGGTCATTTTCAATCCACAACTGTTTGTGGGACATTGCTGTGCGCAATTGGCTGCTGCGTTCGCCCACAAATATACAGTCAATTCACTTTACAGTATATTCCGTGAAGCGCTTTGGGACGTCCTCCCGACGTGAAAAGCGCTATATCAAATGCAAGGATTATTATTATTATTTTTTAGATATTTATCTAGTTCCTTTTTTGAAAGCTACATTCACACTGTGCACTCTCTCAGCAACCCAGGAATGGGAGTCGCAGCCTAAACTGGGTTCGCTGTGGGGCTTGAACCCACAACTTTCTAACTCAGAGGTGAGAGCTACTACCTGAGCCAGGTGGACATCCCATTAATATTCAATGTAACTGCAATGTAATTGCAAACCTACTTCCAAATGCTCTAAGGTACGGAGGGGAACCATAAAGAAATAGTAAAATTGGTAGCCCTCCCCTCCCCTAGTAATTTATCTATTATACAATTCTGGGACAATTTCTCACATTGTTTATGCTCCCGGACATATAGATAAAGAATTATTATTAAGCTTGTGAATTCTCATTCTGCTCGCAATGTGCAGAATGTCTTTGAGACATTAAAAGCTTTAACTTGGGTTTCTTTGGAAAGCAAAGAAACACACACACACACAGCCCGGGATGTGGGGGCCTGCTTAATATCCTAATTAACAAGAGCAGAAACGCTAGAGATTTATGGCGTTAGATTTAGATTGCAAATACAAAGTCCGCACATTCAGAAGAGAACAAGCAAGGGAGGAGAGCAGTCAAGTATCCTCGCTGTTTCCTATGGGCATTTCAGAGGCCGTTCTTACTGGAAAAAAAACTTGTTAAACCAATCTGCACGGGGTGATTTGTGAACACACATGTTTAATATTAAGATAGTCTTTATCTTGATTCCTTACAGCTGTTTCAGCCACTTGCAAGATTCAACCATCAACATCTACAAACCGTACTTACATTTTCCTGCTATTTGAACATAATTTTGCCAAGAACAGTGTTATTGCAAATAGATGTATTTTGTGCACAGGCACCCAGATTAAATAACTCAACTATTATCTGTACTTTTTCACATTACTCCGCTCAATTCCTTCAAAAACACGCAGATGAACGCGTTAACATTTTTATTGATACATGGCCAGTGTATTGCTGGATTTCTCAAACGTTAATAACTCCCCAAATAAAAATGTTGGAGTGTGTATGTGTGTATGGGGGGGAGGGAGGATAGTGGAGGAGTGCCGAAATTCTACTAGTCTTAACCTAAAAGACCATTTTTTTATATAATCCAAGACGGCACAGGATTGGGGGCAAATTCTTAAATTCAGTCTTAATTTCGCCCACAAAATATACAATCAATCTACTTTACAATATAGTCTGTGAAGCGCTTTGAGACATCTCAATTGCTTGATAAGACGCTATATCAAATGCAAGGATTATTAATTTGTAAATCATGCTGAAAAAAAAAGGGCAGGGAAATGGGATTGAAAGGATCTCTCTCTTGGGAGCCAGATTAAATCAATTGGGCCGAAGGGCCTTCCTTCTTCATCCAAAACAATATTGTGCCGAAACCTGGCTTCCAAATCAAGGCTGGTTAAGTTAAGAATTTCCCCCCATTTAGACCATTCTCACAGTTTATCAGGCAGGTTGGCTGGTTCCCCAAATACATTCTCATTGTTAAACATTGTGTTTACATTTTTTAAAACATATTGATTTAAACAAAATGGCTGGGCTCCAGCTCGCACACAGGGAGCGTCATCCTTGGCACGTCTGACATTTTTATCGCCAAAAAAAACATTAAGTCAAAAAGAACTCCAAAAATGTAAACCAAACATCCATATCCATCATAAATTGTAAAATAAATTTGAAAAACAGCCCTACTTATAAAACGCTGTGAAGAGGAAAAGATTCCTACTCTTCAGATATAAAGTGAGTTTGAAGGTGCCTAGCAAGCCTATTCTGATTGATAACTGTGTACATAAAAGATTCTGCAAAATGTACTGCCCACTCCTGTGTTAATCAATATTTGTCTCTGAACCCTTGAGACAAATAATAAGTCTTTCTATCATTCACTATTACTAATGTTATTTTTGAATAGTTATTAATGGTGTACGTGATGGGCAATTCAATCAAGTGCTCCAAGAAACTGCCCGAGTGAACGGCGCTTTATAAATGCAAGTTGTTGTTGTTAACTGAACAGCATGAAGTGTGCATGGTGAAAGGGAATCCGCAGAAACACTGCTCTACACATAAATGTTCCATCAGCAGGGTTAATGCTGTAAAGGTTTTGCAAAGGCTTATCTTTCAAAAATATTGATGCAATTAATGTTTTTATATCTATCAGATTTCTGAATTCTTTAAAAAGATGGGAAAACAAATCCCCGCATCTGGCAATGATAACTATCTGCGTTCGGCTTGAGTACAAGTCCGGAATAATATCAACCTTTTGGATGTTTGAACAGCCCAAAGTTTCCACTAAAATAAAAAATAAATAATAATCCTTGCATTTGAAATAGCGCTTTTCACGTCTTCGAAACATCCCAAAGCGCTTCACAGAATATACTGTAAAGTGAATTGACTGTATATTTGTGGGCGAACGCAGCAGCCAATTGCGCACAGCAGCGTCCCACAAACAGTCGTAGATTGAAAATGACCAATTTATTATTGTGTTGTTTTGGAGGGAGCAGAAGGAGAAGGAGCTTGGCACCAAAAAAATTAGGCCTTTTTATTCAAAGTGTTTGGCTCAATTTTGACGGGGTGAGCAAGGGGCCGATTTGTGATCAAGGAATTAATAATATTAACCAGTGCCACTATCATTAGAGTGCACAACTACCATCACACAGAGCAAATGGTGTGAATGAGCAATAAATCGCTCTGAGAAGCTGCCCTTGTGAAGAGTGCGATATAGATGCAAGTTGTTGTTACTGTTGGGACTCAATAAAATAATAATAATCTTTGAAATTGATATAGCGTCTTATCTTGTCGTCGAGACATCTCAAAGCACCAAATAAAATATACTGTAAAGTGTAGTGACTGTATTTTGTGGGTGAAACATGGCAGCCAGTTTGTGCACAGCAATGTCCCACAAACAGCCAAGGAGAATGAGCGGCCAATTTTAGTTGGGGGACACCAAGAGAGAGAAACTCACTTCTCCTTTCAAATAGGGTCATGTGATCTTTTACGTCGACCTGAACAGACAAGCGGGACCTCAGCTTAATGTCTCATCGGAAGGATGGCACCTCCGACAATGCAACACCGACCCCAGCACTGCATTGGAGCATCACCTGAGACTATGCGATTCAAGTCCTGAGGTGGGGCTTGAACGCACAACCTTCAGAGGCGAGAGCATTACCACTGAGCCAAGCACTGAGCACCGAGTGAATGATCCACCCGCCCCCAAACAAATGCAGTAAACAGCCACAATTCAAAGTACGGCTTCAGTGTATTTCACACAAACGCATACATACCCTCTGCTTAAAGTCTTGTCTTTCTTCTAAGGTGAGTGTGTCGGCTTTAGCAATAATTGGGACTACATTGACTACTTTGCCTAAACGGTTCATGAACTCAATGTCCAGCGGACGTAACCTGCAAAAGAGCAGAATAATCCATCAGGTCTTGTTACCAATCACTAGCATTGATATAATACAATAATTTACATTGTGTATATACACTTTACAATATATTCTGTGAGACGTGATAAGGCACTATATCAAATGCAAGGATTATTATTATTATTGATCTCTATTTGACCCTGTCAATGTTTCACGACATGAACAGCCACTGGTGACTTTGATGACTCTGACCTCTGGGTTCTGAAAGCTGAGAAACCAAACATTGGAGGCCGGTAGTAGTACATCATTGTTGTCCTTTCAGTAACTGGTGTCACATTGACACCCGCCATTAACAGGTCTGGATAATGATAAACAGCAAATTTGTTTCACCCACAAAATACACAGTCAATCCACTTTAAAGTGATAAGGCGCATTTCATATAATGATGTGATAAGGTGCTATATCATTTGTAAGGGTTATTAGTATTGTTAATAACTTCATACACAACAAATTGGCAATTAATTCACATTCCATGTCTTGAAATATGGAAAACATTAAGTTTATGACTTGAATTCAGACAATTCTTTCTCGACTGATGCACGACAGATGCCTTACCACTACAGCTTTGCTGTTTGAATGGATATTTGTGAAGGACAAGTTTGCAGGGCTATGGGGAGAGCGCGGGGAGTGGGACTAATTTGGGGAGGTCTTTTCAAAGAGCTGACACAGACACAATGGCTCTATGATTCTAACGTGTTTCGGCAGATTGGAGCTGAATCGGAGGCTGAATGGCAGCACTCGCCCCGTGATCATTTACCCTCTCACTTCTTCTCACGTGGTGTCTGAAGAGGAGCTGACAGGCCATACTAAATCAGCGTCACCGGCGACTGGGCCGACACAAAGTGGAGACATGAGCAACGGAAAAGACTGCAGGTTTCCTACAAATCTCTGCTCTCACAGCTGCAGCGACTGGGAGCTGCACTCACTGGCCTTAGGGTTACACCAGAGTGGAAAACAAATTGCTTTTAATTTGATTTGACAACGTTCAGCATTTAGGGACTGATGAGGCTCTGTATTTTCTTCCCCCCCCCAACTCCCTGTCCCGACCATTTATCGTCCTTCAAATATATAATTCTATCTTTATGGCCGTGCCTGCTCACTGCCCCACCCTCTGCTCCCCCATCATAATTGTTCCATTTGACACACCACCTTAACACATCAATTGGACGTCTGAAAGCACTTCGCAGGATTTCACTGTGAAGTGTAGTGACTGTGTATTTTGTAGGCGAACGCTGTGGGATGCTGCTGTGTACAAAACAGCTGCCGAGATCACCTACAAAATACAGAGTTACTACGTGATCGGCCCTGTATCAAATGCGAGGATTGTTATTAGAGTGAAATCACGGTGGTCACAGGCTGCACCCATTAACTGTAGAGACATTACTAACAGTCGCTCTCGGTAATATTAAGGAACCGTTACATAATAAAAATGAGATATTAATATTTGAGGACTGCCAAATTAAGAAGCAGACTTTTATTTCATACTATGGCACACTTTTCAACTTGTTACTTAACACTATTTCAGAGAGAGAGAGATGGACTCTGGACAGTCACAGCACATTAGTGATAAATTATTGGACACCATAAAACTGATGTGTAAAGATGAAGTCTCCCAACTGTTATTAAAACTCGTTATCTATAGTCACATTTTAATTTTCTTATTAACCTAATGACACATAGTATAATAATAATAAATAATTGTTTAATATGCCATCGTGCCAATTGTTATATATTCACATTGAAAATGTTGGGTAGTATTGCACACCTTCCATCTCACTCTCTTTAAGTCTCACTGAAAATAATAACTCTTCAACTGTGCCATGGTTCAACCCCACCCCCCACTCCCATATATTTTGGGGCTGAAACACAGCAGCCAATTGGGCACAGCAGTGTCCCATCGTGGACTGAGTGACCACATTTGTTTTTGGATTATTACCCCTGGAAAGCGATTCACCAATCGATTAACAACTGAGTTCCCTCCTCCTGCTAGGTCTACTTACTGCGTGTGGAGTAACAAAACTCGCCCAAGGTTTTGCCTGGGAATCGAAATGCAAGTTGTTGTAGCAGATGATGTTTTAGGCTGGGTCTACCCAGGGGAGAAACAGCGGTGTCTCCCTGTTTAACCTGGCAATCACTGAACTTTGGATTCCAGGGGCTTGTTTTGGAAACTGATCTGCAGCAACGTCAGGAATGGCAGAGCGTGTGTCCGTCCATCTGTCTGTCTATCTACCTATCTATCGTCACCCTCCTCTCCTCCCGGCTAATTTGCAGCTTCCAGACCCCAGCAAGAAAACAAAACAAAGTATGCTTTGAAGCCATTCCCTCAGAATGGCACATTTGGTCTAAAGCAGCCCCTCTTTTAATATTGGTCTTTGTCACCTTGTCTTAATGCACGGAAACTGGCTCTTCAAGCTTGACTTGACATTCAAAGGCACTGTGGGCAGCCACGGCCCGGTTTAGAATTTCTACAAAATTGCTATTGAAGTATTGACAGATTGTCTTTTAAATGGCGCTGAAAGACTGAAAGATTTTTTTTAAAAAACGGAACTTCAGCTCTTGATATGAGTTGATTGATTCCCGGCAGGTCAGGGTGAAACCCTGGGCAAGTTTCCTTACTCTTACACACCTGATGATAATCTCTCAACAAAAAACAATAATAAATTGTTCACTTCAATCCACGACTGTTTGTGGGACATTGCTGTGCACAATTGGCTGCCGAGTTTCGCCCACAAATATACAGTCAATTCACTTTACAGTATATTCTGCGAAGCGCTTTGAGACGTCCAGAAGACGTGAAAAGTGTTATATTAAATGCAAAGATTATTATATAATTGTAACAATAATAATAAATACAACATCAGAAGTAAGGAACTAGAAAAGATCAGGAAATCCTCATCATCATCCCTGCATTCGGGATAGGGCGTTTTATGTCAGGAAGCACTCTCAAAGCGCTTTAGAGGATTTTTACTGTAAAGTTTAGTGACTGTGTATTTGTAGGTCAATTAGTGCACACAAACAATGTCCCACAAACAATGTCCCACAAACGTCCAGATTTCAGTAAATTCAGCTTTAACTTTGAGTTCAGTTTTCTGCCATTCCTAAAAGAGCTTATAGAAAAATGCTTTGAAAATGATGTGTATACAAGAACTTGCCAAATTCTGAAACACTTCATAAATAAGAGTAAATCTAGACCCAGGTGGAGTTTCTCCCCCTGAACTCATATTTGCACGTCTCCTCTGCAATCTCTCAACAATCTCTGCCAAATAAAATCTCTTTCCCTAATAAAATAAAACCCTACCCTATCTCATTCCTACCACCAACACAAGTCCTGAAATTCAACCTAGTTTTAACCAGTCAGACAATTGAGATTGAGCAAAACTGATGAAAGTTCTTAAATCCAGTCTTAACCTGGAAGCCGGTTTCTGTTTAAGGAACCGTGGGAAAACCGGCCTCTTAATTCTGCGGGGTTTCCAGAATATTCAACAGTTCTGGGTGATGTTAAGAATACAAATTGATTGAATTGGCGACAACTAGATGGGATTTGGGGGTTATGTTGTGTAGTGTGGATGTTTCAACTTAACACTGACTCGCAATAACCATCTGGTACTCGGACTGCACTGTCGTTGTGGAACCTTTGTAGAACAGTCACAATACCTCACTGTGACTGTCTCTCTATAATGAGAGTCATACAGTGACTGTCTCGCTGCCTTCCCCGGCAGGGAAAATGGGGAAGTGGTTAAGGGTGTTGGAGGTAATACATAAAACTATTAATAAAACTGGTCATTCACTTCACGGGCTGTTTGTGGCACGTTGCCAGGTGCAAACTGGTTGCCATGCTCGCTTACAAAATACAGTCACTACACTTAAAGTGACAGAAATCTCTGAAGTGCTTTGAGACACTGACATGATGAGGCACCACATCAAATGCAAGGATTACTGTATAGAGCGGATGAACATTTTCTGTACATATGTTTTCACAATCCATCTCTCTGTGTAGCCAGCTGGTATCCTGTACAATTTACACAATATGGTGAAAGTCTTTCACCACCTATTTTACAGGCTTTTCCTCCGAGGACCTTGTGTCATCTTGGTGCCTGTCTGATGAGATTTATAGACTGGTTTACAGGAAACACACTGGTCTCTCTGTGCCATTTCAAGAAAAGCTTGTGTGAAGCATACAATCTTGTAGCGAAAGGGTTTTAAAGCGGAGTGAAAGCACAACAATCACAACCTGTTGCATTGGCAGCGAGTGCACAAGAAAGACAAACCCAAAATACTAATAGTTCTTTGGACCCCACTCAGAAGAGCAGCAACGAGTTTCTCCCCCAGACGTTAGCCACACGTCTTTATAGACTCGCTAACTCTAAGGCAAACCGTGACCTGCAATCACATCGCCAAACATCAAAGGATCTGGTCACATCAATCCAAAGCTTTGATTGTAATGTGGTTTAAAAGTGCCCCAATAAACTGATTTAATACTGTTTGGCGTTCCTTTTGTAAACTAGTATGTCTTAGAGCAGCTCGTCTAAGGTGACTTACACCGAGATTAATGATTAGTTGGTGTTCAAGGATGGTCAGGTGGACATTCTGGAAAGATGAGATCAACTGGGATGAAGGGTCTTCATCACTCTAACCTCTCATGATCTTGTAATGAACCTAAGCAAATAAAATGTCACCGAATGCTCTCCATCGTGTTTACCTTTTTACCCCAATTTGCCATCAAATTCCAATTCTGAGAAATAACAACATCTGCTCAGCTTTCACCATAGGTCTGGAGATCAGCTGAGCTTGGATGCAGAGGTAATAATAATAATAATCCTCACATTTTATATTGTGCCTGATCATGTCATTGAGATGTCTCAAAGCGCTTCACAGAATACACAGTAAAGTGAATTGACTATAGATTTCGTGGATAAAATGCGGCAGCTAATTGCGCACAGCAGTGTCCCACAAACACTCGTGGATTGAGTGACCAAATTATTATTTTATTCTTTTTTAAGGAATTATTACCTCCGGAAAGAGATCTGTCAATCATCTAATATCTGGGTTCCTACTTACCGCTAGGTAAACAGAGGCATGTGGAGTAAGGAAACTTGCTTAAGGTTTTACCCTTCCTAAGAATTGAACCTGGGTCCTCTCGCTTGCGAGGCGAGTGCTCTAACCACCTTGCTACAGGACTCCAACCTTCAAAATTACTATTAAAAAGAACCCTCTGCAGCTGGATATAGGATATAGTGACAATGATTGCACTTAAGATCGTTTTAAAAAGAGGAACACTGAAAAGATACCATTAATGTGTCTGGCCTTTATCCTGTTCTAAGGTAGTAAGAAGCCGTTTGATTTGACAGCAAACATGTTGATAATAATTAGTTAAAATTGGTGCTGAAAGGTCAGGGTATTACAGATGTTATCAAACAACTAAGGCAGCATATATAGCATGCTGCAAGCTTTATTTTTCTCCATTGCTGAGGAATTCTTGAAGAGGATAGTTGACCTCAAGGCTGTAGAAAAACATTCCTGGGGGGAACTGGCTCACAGTTCAATATCAAACGAGGCTGATGAACGCTGTAGTGCTGACAACCTATCTGCCACTCATCTCGACTGATAACATTTTGGTTCAATGAGGTTAAACTCCTTTGAAATTGTCTTGTGAAGTTGCTGGGATACTTGAGCACTATTAAGGGTTTTCGTGTTAAAAAGGGCACGAGATAAGGGTAGATAAAGCCCTCGGAAGGGCCACATATATTCTTTATTCACTGCTGTGGGTTAACCACACACTTGGATAATGTAAGAAAATAATAGCTGATCGATTGGCCGAGCAGGATCTTTCATTGTAGAATACGGAAGTGTTTAACTTGCTGGACTTTGTATATGAGATTTTAACTTAACATTTACGACCTTTTGTCATTATCCTCCAGGAGCAACACTGCCCAATTTGGTCTTTTTCAAGCCTTGCTCTCTTACACAGGCTTGTTTGTTTACTGTGGAATTTTGTTATATTCCTACATCACTGTAATCTGAATTTCTGAGATTCGGAATCTAAACTCAGAATTGAGCTGAATAATCATAATAATAATAATTCTTGCAATTGATATAGAGCTTTTCATGTCTTTGAGACGTCTCAAAGCGCTTCACAAAATATACTGTAAAGTGAGTTGACTGTATATTTGTGGGTGAAACGCGGCAGCCAATTGCGCTCAGCAGCGTTCCACAAACAGTCGTGGATTGAAGGAACCAATTTATTATCATTTTTTTTTCTTGAGGAATTATTATCAGGTGTGGAGTAAGGAAACTTGCCCAAGGTTTCACCCTGTCGGGAATCGAACCCAGGTCTCTCGCTTGTGAGGCGAGTGCTCTAAGCACTGAGCTACAGAACTCCACATCATCAGCAGAATCCTTAATTTGATACAGCGCCTTTCATTACTGGAAGGCATTGCAAAGCGCTTCACAGAGTTTTGCTCTCACGTGTAGTGATTGTACACTCTGTACGTGAAAGTGACAACTAATTTGCAAACAGCGAAAGAATATCACAATTATTACTTTTATGTATAAAAATAATCCTTGCACTTGATACGACACCTTTCACATCAGGAGGACTTCCCAACCATTTCACAGGATTCACTGTAAAGTGTAGAGTGTGTCATTTGTAGGGAAATCCTTCCTCACAGCAGAAAAAAGGGGAAAAAAATGGAACAAATATTAATGGCTTAAATGGGATGAATGGAATGGAGTCCCAGAGTCTTCACCTCTGAGATTAATTGTGTGGCTTGAACACAAATGGCTTTGGATGTTATAATCCAGTCCACCTACAAGCGCACAGTCACTACACATTACAGTGAAATCCTACCAACTGCTTGTAAAAGAGCAAAAGGCAATTTCATACACAGCCTCACATTATAGTATCTCAGTGCACCTGTGTGTGTGTGTGTGTGTGTGTGAGAGAGAGGGGGAGAAAGAGGGCTCAATCCTGTTGGGTGCAGCACAGAACTGTACATACCAGTGTCCGGTGGGAGGCACGAAATATACACAACAGTGTACTCTGGTGTCAGGAATTCGCTTTTTTCGATTGATATTAATTTCTTCCCTCAGGTACTTTTCATACTGTTCATTAATGTATGTCACAATTGGCTCCCAACTGTAAAACAAGAGATTCTTTGATTATGAAATTTCAAGGTTCCAAAAACCAAAACAGCTGCTCGCTCACATTCCTGCAGGACTTTATCTGGGAAAACAGTGGAATGTGCGTTACGAGTGAGTGACTCTTCCTGCAGCTATTTCCTTAGGGCTTGTTTTGAAGTTACCTGCACGTAAACAGAAATCAAAACCTGAAGGTTCAGAGAGCAATCAACAGAGCCCTGGAGTAATTGCAGATGACATCCAAAGCCAATTCACAAATCATAAACCCAGAGCTTTCAATTCTGCTTCTGTTTTAGCCAGGACATTGTCAGAAATGAAACAGCTGCAAACTATCACAGGTAACGCTGTTCTCCCAAAGCCAGATTTCCTCCCCGACGTTACCTTAGCAAACAGATGTTACAATATACTTTGATATTACAAACCGGGGCCACATCCAGAGTTTTATACTGTAAAACATAATCATCAGACTGGGTGTCAGGAAGTCCGACATTGATGCTGGCCAGCCCTCCCCGATATACTGCAAACTCCCTCCGAAACCCCAGGCAAAGCGGCCACAGATTACAGCCATCTGGGACAACATTCCTTTGTGAAAAATTGACAACTGTACCAATCCCGGTTCTCGCGTGGCAAAGCATCAACGTCAAAACAAACAAACAAACCAAAGCTATTTGATAAGACAAGAACTGAGCACGTCAATACAATGCTCACGTTGTTAATTGCACCTGAATTAATCGCCCCATCTGTCAAAGAACTAGCACAGGTACGATGGACAAATGGCCTTCTTTTGTGGTGTAAATGTCTATGATTCTATCTCAGCAAGAAGTTCGATCTGTACAGCGAGGTGGAGTGGATTGCACACCCACTCACACGTGCACTCACGCACACTCCAGTCTTCTAGAATCAGTCTTGTGTGCAGACTTGCTCTTATTTCAACCTCAGTCACTCTCTCTGCTTGAAGATAATGAGGTAGAATAATGGAGCCTGGTTTATTTAACCTGCCCACTGTCTTTACAAAGGAGCGAGGATTTCAAACTGGACATTCTTGCTATACGCACATACACACGCACGCACATGGGTGAAGCAATTTGAAAGTAACCTTTATTTGAGCTCATTCACTAGAGATGACTACCCCGAAGTAAAACCTCCCAGAAATGTTCAAGAAACCCTTTAACTTTTACCAGTTTTCGTTGTTTATCTGATCCCCAAACCCTGGGGTGTCGATGACAGTCAGGTTCATCTTCACTCCTCTCTCTTCAATAACTGAAAGAAATGGAAGATACAAAGTTTACGGTACAAGGAAAACAGAGAGAGAGAAAAAATAATAATCCTTAAATTGATACAGCGCCTTTCTCATATGGAGCACATCTCAAAGCGCTTCACAGCATACACTGTAAGAACATAAGAATTTGCTGGCGAAACAAGACCAAGGTCCATCTAGTTTGCCTGCCACCATCCTGGCAGTTGCTTGACATGTCATGTCCCAAACTATATACTGTATCCTTAGATATTATTTTCTGGGAGAAATCAATCAAATTTGTTCTTGAAACAAATGACATGTTTTTGCTTCCACCGTCTCTCTATGGAGCCTGTTCCATAAGTTTTCTACTCACTCACTGTAGGGAAGTAGTGTTTCCGCAGATTTGTTCTGAATTTATCCCCCTTCAGGCCACAAACCTCTGGGGGCTGTAAACTGTAAAGTGCAGTGAGTGAGTATTTTGTAGGTGGACACAGCTATCAAATTTTCTCACCGCAATGTCCAACAAACAACCATGAAGGGAGTGACTCACCTTATCTGGGTGGAGGCTTGTTGGCCAGGAAAAGACAGGACAGGACTCGCCATGGTTTTCATTGTGAATACTATTGTTAACGTCACCCCAGGGTGTAAGCAAACCACCACCCAGCTCAGTGATCTCACCCACAGACAGATTGTGCATCAACAAAATTACATTTATACAACACCACCTTTCGTGCCAGAGGGACATCTTTAAGCACTTCTTATATCTGATGGGAGTCTGAGCTGGGGGTGGGGGGGGTTGGAGAGTAGGGAAGGATAGCTGAAAGAACAGTCAAAAGAGAAAGATTGCAAGGCAGGGCGTGGGAGGGAATGCGTGGGGAACGGGGCCTTAGAGTAGTCTGGAGAAAACACGGACACGGATTTCAGCAACCTGGGAGATGGCAAAGATAGTGGCAGAGAATAATACCCTCAGATATTACTTGAACTTTATTGATTGTGAGATTAATATTAATAAGCGTGTTTTAACATAATTTACTTACAGTGCACCACCGGCCTCTGTTAAATCCAATTTGACTTTAACAGAGGTGATAGGGAGAAATTATTTCCACTGATCAGTGAGTCAGTGACTAGAGTGCATTGATAATTAACAAAAGGGATTGATTAGGAGGAATTTTCTTTACCCAGAGAGTTTTTGGGATGTGGAATGTCCTGCCGTGGTTGAGGCAGGTCCAGATAAGCTTTCAAAAGAGACCTATATAGTATCTAAAGATAAGTCATTTACAGAGATGGTTGGGGGGGGGTGGGAGTTGGGGAATGAGGCAGGTAACTGGGATTGAATGGAATGATGTTTCAAAGCACCAGCATAGACACGATGGGCTGAATGGCCTTCTTCTGTGCTGTAAATATCTATGGCTCTCAGTGCCTTGTTTTTGGCATCATGAGTAGGATTCCTTTCCTGTCAGCGCGATTTCTAAATAATACAAAACCTGGCAGCTACGTAAACGCAGATCGCGTTCCAATGGTAATGTAAGTGGCGTGTCGAATCACAGGGTAATATGATAGATAGCCTAGCGATTGGGATTCAACAGAACTGGAACGTGAGCAGAAAATGACTCTCACACAAGCACCAGAGAGAGGGGTTTGACGCAAGACCTTTCAACACTTTCTGCTTATCTTTCAAAACTATTCCGGCAGGAGGTTAACTTAACTATCATACGATCAATTTAATCTCAATGGGAAATCAATTATAGAATCAAAACCATATTTAGCAATAACTGCTTGTAATTTACAGTAAGTATGGCTTTGATTCGCCAGCACTTGGGTGCATGACAACGCCTTGGGACGTCCTCCCGACGTGAAAGGCGCTCTATAAATGTAATTTTGTTGTTGTTGGACTCACATCTGCTCTCTTACCAGTAGAACATTTTTTAAAAATTAACTGATGTCTCCCCCCCACTGCCCAAAAGAGCTATTGCGACATCAGCCTGGGTTTAGACGGGGTTTCTGTAGAAACCCTTGTCCTGGCAATAATAATTCTCACATCCAAAAAGGGTTTGTTGACACTGAAATGTCTGAAAGGGCTTTGCAGTTTATCTCATTGTTGCTTGTAGCTCATTGCTCTTACACTGGAGATTGTGGAGTCCGTTATTGTAGAGGTTGGAGCCCTCGCCTCGCAAGCGAGAGGACCCAGATTTCATTTCTGGGTGGGGCGAAACCTTAGGCAAGTTTCCTCACTCCACATGCCTCTGTTTACTTAGGCAGTAAGTAGGAACCCGGTTGCTAGTTGATTGGCTTTCCAGTGGTAATAATCCCTCCAAAAAAAAATTAAAAATCCACGATCTGAGTCAGTCAATCCCTGACTGTTTGTGGGACACTGCTGTGTGCAATTGGCTGCCGTGTTTCGTCCACAAATCCAGTCAATTCACTTTACAATATATTCTGTGAAGCACTTTGTGACGTCTCAACGACATGATTAGGTGCTGTATTGAATACAAGGATTATTATAGTCGTACTTGTTGCTCTGTGCTGTCGGCAGCCCCTTACATCCCTGCAACCAGATACTTACAAAATATTCTAGGTGTGGGATGACCAGAGAACTCTACAGCTTGAGTTATGCCTTCTGGGTACAGAGGAGAAAGATTTGGGTGCGATTATTGATCATTCGCTGAAAGTTTCCAGACAATGTAGTTAATCAGGTAGGAGATTGCAGCTTGAGCACATTAGAGCCGAATGTTTCTCTGACATCCTACAGAACTCTGGGCAGACCGCATTTGAAATACCGTTTGCAGCTTTCTGACACTGACCTTGAAAGGAAATTGAAGCAATCAGGATAACTCTGGGATTTGGAGCTCAAAGTTATTGGAGCTCTCACAAATCTGAACTTATTTTCAGTGAAAAAAGGCCAAAGGTGAGGACTGATCCAGGTGTTAAAGATGATGGCAGGAGTGGGCGATGTGGATGTAAAACAGTTACAGGGCAGAATGTCTCAAGGAACGTTGAGTGTTGGAAGATCTCATCTCCTCCCATGAGAGCGATAAGAATAATTCTTGCATTTGATATAGCACCTTATCAAGTTGTTGAGACGTCTCAAAGTGCTTCACAGGATATACTGTGAAGTGAAGTGACTGTGTATTTTGTGGGTAAAACCCAGTTCAAATCAAGGCTCAAATGCCATTCAAGTCAAGCCACTTCACAATGCATGTGCTTTATAGAGGGATATGCAAACTGAAGAAGTAACGCACAAAACAAACTATGCTGCTGGACCTGGTGTGTGGGGAGGGAGGGAGGGAGGCCGAGTTGGTTGTGGAGATGTGGTGATAGATGAATACTCTGGACTATTTGCTCGATCACCTTCGAGCCTCTGAGTTTAATATGTTGCTTCTCAAAAGATTTACAAAGAAAGTACAGCACGGAAACAGGCCACTCGGCCCAACTAACCAGCGCTGGTGTTTATACTCCACGAGTCTTCTCCTAATCCTTTACTCCCTCCCTAACCCTTCTATTCCCCTCTCCCTTGGTTGGACTCATTAGGCCAAATGACCTCTTTATATCTGTGCTTAAGAGTTTAGGAAATGCCTGGCTCTTACAAGGAACCTCCCAAACCCCCTCCTTTCCTCATACAGTGAGACTAAAATCTCCTCCTGCACAAAGCACTAGTATTAGGTGTCAGGACTCCATCTACCTTGAAGTTGGATAAACAATGGCACCAGCATGGAAGCTTGTGAAGTAAAGCAGATCCCAGACGCTCGCCCTCCCACATACAAGTGAATGTGTTGATATAGCGCCTAATCATATTGCCAAGTCATCTTAATGTGCTTCACATCACCAATGCTGTGAAATTGGGAGTGAGGTGAAGGGACTACGAGAAATGAAAGATTCGCTTCCTCTCTCCCTGTACAGGCCACACATTCAAATTCCTTCCCCTTCACTGCCTAGACTTCTGCTATTGCACTTGTGATCAGGTGTTAATAATAATGAGAATAGTCATTGCATTGGATATAGCTCCTCATCAGGTGGTCAAGGCGGCTCAATGTGCTTCACAGGATTTACAGTGAAGTGTAGTGACCATGTATTTCATATGCAAAAGCAGCAGCCAATTTGTGCACAGCAATGTCCTGACAAACAGCCACAAAGTGAATAACCAACTTGATCTGGGGGATAAAAACAGAAGTCGCTGGGAACACTCAGCAAGTCAGGCAGGATCTATGGAAAGGAAAGTGAGTCAATGTTTCGGGTCCACAACCCTTCGTCAATTCCATGAAGGGTCGTGGACCCGCAAAGTTGACTCACTTTTTTTTCTCCATAGATGCTGCCTGACTTGCTGAGTGTTCCCAGCGACTTCGGTTTTTGTTTCAGATTTCCAGCATCTGCAGTGTTTTGTGTTTTGTTTATCTGGGGAATTGTTGGCCAAGAAACGGGGAGAAACACTTTTTTTCTTTTCAAATAGTTCCAAGGGATTTTTAAATATCCACCTGACCAGGCAGATAGGACCTGGGTTCAACATCTCAGCTGAAGGACACCACATTCCCCCTCCCCTCCCCCCTGCTCCCCCAGCACTGCTTTGGAGACTCAGTGTCAGCACAACGTGATTTCAAATTGTCATTTAATTGGTATTATGCAATTGAGGCTTTGTTATTTGGTTGTGGAGACTTTTGTTTCATTGTTATGACTGGATTGGAAGCCAAGTCGTAGATGGGGAAAAACCCAATTTATTGCAGTTTCTTCTTTCCCCAGACCCCTGCTTAGATATCTTCCTAAGATTTGTCTCAGTTATTTATTAGAGTACATATTTCACCAAAGCTGCAATTTTAAATTTATGCCAACACAATTCACATACATTTCTTTAAGCCATCTTGTGTAAGTTGTGCCCGCCTCCGATTGTACCTTGCCCCCCAAGGCAATTGAAATCCTCGTCCACGCCTTCGTCACCTCCCACCTCATCTACCCAATACCCTCCTCATCGACCTCCCCAACTCCCACAAACCACAACTGATTCAGAACTCCACTGCCCATTTTCTCACTCTCACTCCATACCCCTATCGCACCAGTCCTCCCCAGGCTCCACTGGCTCCCTATAACAGAACGGATCGATTTCCAGATCCTCTCACTCGTCTACAAGTCCCTTCATGCCTTAGAACCTCCCTACCTTTCTGATCTGCTTTCTCCCCACTCCACTACCCGCTGCATCCACTCTGGCTTCCTTTTTGCCTCTCGTCCCCTCTGCTCCCCTATCAGCATCCACACTTTCAGCCACTACGCCTCAAAGCTTTGGAACTCTCTTCCCTAATCCCTCAGCCTTGCCCCCTCCTTCTCCTCTTTTGGATCACAACTGTAGACCTTCCTCATCAACCGTGTGAGGTCACCTCCTCTCTCCCGCCCCCTGGTTCGGTGTCAGTCTCGCTATTGTTAGTGCTCCGAGACGCTGCCCCTTGTGAAGGGCACTTTATCAATGTAATTGGTTGTTGTTGTTGTTGTAGTCTGGCTACTCTACAACTAACAGAGTGGATTCCCACACCCAACCCCCACCCTGGTTGCTGATTCTACACGCCTACAAGTCAACACAAGGCAAAATCATTTAAATATATATATATTGAAAGGAAGTTCTGGAAGCATCTATCAAATGATTATGGGATGAGCAATGTTTGCCAGATTGTGCACTGACGAGCTGTCGATAGCACGGTCTTATCACACACACATCGACACACGCACACCTATTGATACTCACACCACTGCCTGTAACCTGGTGGTGTGCAGCTACCATCACAGCTGAAGTGGGAAAGAAAGCTCATTCTGTTTAGAAGTTTAGAAACCAGCAGGTTCTGTTAAGGCTGAACACGCTGGCGCCACTGAATCAAAACAATTGAAGAGCCTCCCTCATTTCTAGTCAGTTATGCTTTCACAGCTTTCCGCCACATGCAGAACCTGTGTAAACTCAGTCACGTTCCACTTGGCAGTTCAGAGATCCTCCTGAGGGTAGTGGGTGGGAGGGTGGAGAGAGGTGGGTGCAGGGGGGACGATGACGATGACGGAGGTGTGCTTTTCTCAGAATGCAGGTGCTCACTGACTAGGCAGGACCTCCTTACAATGAAGGTGATCTTCAAACTGAATTCAGCGCACACCCAAACTGCCAGCGATGTGGTGCGAGCTTTACTGTAATGTTTAACAGAGGGCCGGAATGCAAAACAAAGGCGAATCGTCATTGTCTTGCATTTCAGACTGTGGCCAGTTGGCAGTTGTTTTACTAATAATAATCCTGGCATTCGATAGCGATACGAAAAGACGACACCTTCGGATGAGACGTTAAACCGATGCAGTGCTCCCCCAGCCTGGACTGTTGAGTTCAAAGCCCCTGATGTGGGGGTATGAACCCACAACTTTCTAACTCAGAGGCAAGAGCGCTACTGACTGTGCCAGGCTCGACACCTTAAACCAATACACTTAAACCCTGGCTAGCCGGACTAATGGGGGGTGGGGGAAAGCCGGTCCAGCGAGCCGGATTTTCTGGCTAAGTGTAATTACAATAGCAATATTGGCAACAGAAGGGAGTTTCTCTCTCCTGGTGTCCTGGACAACAATAGCCCAAAAATACAAAATCTATCACCTGTGTCTTTACATTTGATACAGCGCCTCATTATGTTGTCATTTGGAAACACTGCCCGGCTACCTTTCGGGCTTTGTTTTGCAGGGTTAACAGGAGCTGAGTGGGAAGAGGCCCAGCTCCCAGTCTTGTAGTTATAAGCACTAAAGCTCACAGATCAATAATTCATTTGATTTCCTATGGTTTGTTTCTCGTTTACAAGTCAATGGTTCTCAATAATAATTACAGTCCTTATATTTGACACAGCACCTTTTACTCTAGGAGGTCGTCTCAAAGCGCTTCACAGAGCTTACTGTAAAGTGAAGTGACTGTGTATTTTGTGGGCGCAACACGGCACCAATTGTGCACAGCAGTGTCCCACAAGCAGTCGTGGATGGAGTGAACAAATTACATATATATTTGAAGTGATTATTACTCCCAGAAAGCAATCTGCCAATCAACTAACAACCGGGTTCTTACTGCTAACTAAACAGAGTTGTGTGGAGTAAGGAAACTTGATAGTATTATGGTCTCGCCTGTGATCTGGGAAGGGGGAGTGGTGAGGCAGGCGGCAATGGGATTGCAGGTAAGACTTACCATGACTGACAGACTGCAGCTCCACTGTTTTGGGGATTCTCTCCACGTGGTTGGTTGTAGAGGATTTCCTACTGATTCTGGATTTGAACAAAGTGTTCACTAATGTTGACTTTCCTAAGCCGCTCTGACCTGTAGCAGAGGAAAAGGAGGAAACTGTTAAATCCATACAACTCTGTCAATTCACCTTGAAACAATGCCACTGCAGAGTTATAACAGATGAATGTCACTTGTCTGCTTGATAGAGGTCACAAATCATACCCATTAGTGATAAACTGAGCAAACATGGAGACTTTTGCTGCAGTATCCCCTTCTATTGGAATGCACACTCTCTCCCTTGGAGGGATGCATCTTGCTTAGATAATTCCAGAGTATTTAGGCACAGGTTGGCAAGAGCTAAGGGTTGGGCAATGTGTGTTGGGGTGACTGCTGGAGTCTACCCAGCTAAAACCACATAGCTTGCCATTGTTTTGCTGTCTGGCAAGCTTTCCTGCTGTTTGTCCACCTAGGACCACCATAACTGTTAGGGCTTTGGCTTGCAGGGTTAACAGGAGCTGAGTGTAAAGAATCCCTGCTCCCAGTAATATAATAATAATCCTTGCATTTGATATAGTGCTTTTCACGTCGGGAGGACGTCCCAAAGCGCTTCACAGAACACACTGTAAAGTGAATTGACTGTATATTTGTGGGCGAACGCAGCAGCCAATTGCGCACAGCAATGTCCCACAAACAGTTGTAGATTGAAAATGACCAATTTATTATTGTTTTTGGTTTTGGAGGGATTATTATTAGGCTCTGTGTGGAGTAGGGAAACTTGCCCAAGGTTTCGCTCTGCCTGGAATTGAACTCAGGTCTCTCGCTTGCAAAGCGAGTGCTCTAACCACTGAGCTACAGGACTCCAGTATTGTAGTAATAACCACCAAAGTTTGTAGATCAATAAGTAATTTGATTGTGAGAGTTTGCCGGCATTCTTCCTTTGCTGAGCCTCCTTTGCTGTGTCTCTGGTTCATAGGTAAATGGCTCTCAATAATAATTATAGTCTTTACATTTGATACAGCGCCATTCATGCCAAGGGGATATCTCAAAGCATGACCTGCAAAATGGAGTAACTGTACATTTTGTGGGAAAATGTGCACAAAATGTACTACACTCACTCTACAATACAGTGTACAGATTTCCTATACTTAGCAGTAAATACTGAGATGTGCTTTGAGACCTTTTGACAATTAATAAGGTGCTATAACAAATGGAAGTATTATAATGAGCATTGTTAAACCATTACTTGCCCTGGAACTTGCCCATCTACTGAAAGCTTCTTTAAGATAGTCAGAGATATGGCCACATCGCAAATAAATGTACGATTCTTCCCTAGGTGTTGGGCTTGCTTTTCTGCGCTGTAAATAGTGGGAGCAAAGCTTTCTTTCCTGCTCGCCAGACCTGAGGATCCAGAGAGATATCTCACAGGTGGCATGTGTGGGAACTATCCTCCCAATGAGCCACTTGTACCAAACAGTGAAGAGAGGTTTAAAGAGTTAAAGGTAACATTAGCCAAGTGGCAGAATACAGCACGTACCCAACCCTGCCACCTCACAGAGCTCTCCACCACTTGCTGCCTCCCTCCCCCCCCCAATCCTACTCACCCCAAATAGCTGGGACCCGTTGCCAAGCCTATCACAACAACTTGCATTTTATACATCACCCCTCATGCAGGGGAGCGTCCCAGGGAGCTTTAATCTAATGTATAATGGAGAGAACGCAACTTGCTCATTTAATGGGCAAAATTGTAAACGCGAACATGCAACATTAATACTCTTATAATGAATGTTCCAGTGCGATTCATGCTGGAATAGAGTACAGACGGTTAATTAAAGCCGAGCATTTTAATTTATTCATGTCCTCAGTTCCACTATTAAACATTCATTGGAGACATTAGTGGGCACATGGTGACGGATTTATTGAGTGGCTGGCCACTCACCCTCAATGTCACTCAATGTCATCACTATGCTGTTACTGGTAATATTTCCTCCGCATCCAACACAACAATGTACTGCAATGGTACTGTTGCCTCCAACCCATCCCCATCCGACAAGTAAGGAAACCCATCACCATACTTATCATAGAATCATAAAATTATACAGCACAGAAGGAGGCCATTCAGCCCATTGTGTCTGTGCCAGCTCTTTGAAAAGAGCTATCCAAATCAATCCCACTCCCCCGCTCTCTCTCCCCAGAGCCCTGCAAACTTGTCCTCCCCAAATAAATTGTCTACTTCTCTCTTAAAAGCTATTATTGAATCGGCTTCCACCAGCCTTTCAGGCAACGCATTCCAGATCCGAACAACTCACTGTGTAAAAAAATGTCCTCCTCCCCTCCCTTCTGTTTCTTTTAACAACTATTTTAAATCGGTGTCCTCGGGTTACCGACCCACCCGCCAGTGGGAATAGTGTCTCCTTGTTCACCCGATCAAATCCCCTCATAATTTTGAAAACTTCTATTAAGTCTCCTCTTAACCTTCTCTGTTCCAAGGAGAATAATCCCGGCTTCTCCAGCCTCTCCTGATAACTGAAGCCCCTCATTCCTGGTACCATTCTGGTCAATCTCCTTTGCACCATCTCCAATGCCTTGACCTCCTTCCTAAAGTGTGGGGCCCAGAACTGAACCCAGTCTCTCACTGAGGCCTAACCAGTGTTTATATAAAGGTTCATCAGAACTTCCTGACTTGTGTATTCTATGCCCCTATTTATAAAGCCTGGTATCCCGGCTGCTTTTTTTTTTAAAAAACAGCTGTATCTCCCTGTCCGGCCACCTTCAAAGATTTAATTATCTGAACCCCCAGGTCTCTCTGTCCCTTCACCCCCTTTAACACTGTACCATCAGCGTATATTGCCTCTCCTCATTCTTCCTTCCAAAATGCATCACTTCACATTTCTCCACATTAAACTTCATCTGCCCCGTGTCTGCCCATGTTACCCGTCTGTCTGTGTCCATTTGCAGTCTGTTACTATCCTCCTCACTGTTTACTACGTTTCCAGCTTAGTATCATCTGCAAACTTGGAAATTCTACTCCCTATCCACAAGTCCAGGTCATTTATATATAGATCAAAAACAGCAGTGGTCCCAATACTGATCCCTGGGGGACATTACCGCACACTTTCCTCCAGTCAGAAAAACAACTGTTCACCACCACTCTCTGCTCTCTGTCTCCCAGACAGTTCTGTATCCGCTGCCACTGTAATAATAATAATCCTTGCATTTGATATGGCCCCACACTGTCCCTTTAATACCGTGGGCTTCGATTTTGCTTACAAGTCTCTTATCAAACGCCTTTTGAAAATCCATAGAAACTACATCAACTGCACTCCCTTCATCCACCCACTCGTTACTTCATCAAAAAACTCTGTCAGGTTTGTTAAACACGATTTGCCTTTAACAAATCCGTGTTGGCTGTCCTTTATTAACCCATATTTTCTAAGTAAAAATTTATTTTGTCCCGGATTATAGTCTCTCGAAGTTTCCCCACTACTGGCATTGGGCTGACTGGCCGGTAGTTCCTGCTTTATCCTTCTGCCACGTTTTGTACGGGGAGTAACATTTGTAACCCTCCAGTCCTCTGGCACCACCCTGGTGTCCAAGGAGGATTGAAAGATTGTGGCCAGAGCCTTCGTTATTTCCACCCTTACTTCCCTCAGTAACCTAGGATCCATCCCGTCCGGACCGGGTGACTTATCTACCCTTGAACACCAACGACCTTTTTAGTACCTCCTCTCAGTTTATTCTTACCCAATTTCTCTCCCCTCTCCTCCGATAATGTGGCATTGGCTGCTCCTCTTCTTTTGTGAACACAGATGCAAAGTACTCATAAGGTCCATCAGCCATGCCATCTGCCTCGCAAGAAGATTTGCTCTTTGGTCCCTAATTGGAACCACCCTACCTTTGACTAACCTTTTATTCTTTATATGTTCATAAAATACCTTAGGGTTCCCTTTTATACCCACTAATCTTTTCTCATACAATGTCTTTGACCCTCTTATTTCCTTTTTCAGTTCTCCTCTGTATTTTCTATAACCTTCTGAATTTTGGACCTGACATTTATCATAAACCTCCTTTTTCTGTTTTATTTTAATCCCAATTTCCTTATTCATCCAGGGAGGTTTGGATCCCCTACCTTTCCCCTTTGTGGGAATGTATTTGTTCTGTCCCTGAACTATCTCCTCCTTGAAGGCTTCCCATTGTGGAGTCCTGTAGCTCAGTGGTTAGAGCACTCGCTTTGCAAACGAGACACCTGGGTTCAATTCCAGGCAGAGGGCAAAACCTTGTTAGCTGTTTTACCTGCCAATCTTTCTTTCCAGTCCACCTTGGCTAGGTCCCTTTTTAACTCACTGAAATTATCCCTCTTCCAGTTGAGTATCTGAATATCTGAACTAGACAGAAATTTTCCTGCTGCTTTCAGTGCTCCGAGATGCTCTGCTTCGTGAAGGGAGCTATATAAATGCAGGTTATTGTTGTTGCTTACCTAATTCCGGAGAGCAATAGACACAGGTTGGTGAGAGACTAAGCTTGGGGGACCCCAGAGCGTAATTTGGGTTACTGCTGGAATATCAACCAGCTAAAATTACATGGTTTACCATGAGAACACTGTCTGCCAAGCCACCCACTGTTTGTCCAGCTCAGGGCCCCTATCTGTATTGTCTGTAAAAGTCCATTTGTAATGAGGATACACTGTATGTTGGGATCTGACCCAACTTACTCTCGAACATTCAACAATTCCAGAATTGAAGTAAACTTAAAAAGCCTCAGTATTTAAGAGCTTTGTTGTTTTAGTGGAGATGTGTTTGGGAGCTCAGTGGGTGAACTGTCATAGTTCTACCATAGCCCATGTTTTAAAACCAGGATATAATGGACTGTGAACACAAATAATGGGCTGTTCTGATGCTCAGTGGTTACATTAACTGCTCGCCTGTATTTTGAGGAGATGTACATGGACATTATCAATTATGGGTTGTGGACAGTCTTGCAAACGTAGATAAGCAGATGACAACAGATGCGAAGCATACACCTCATGTGTTTGGCCAAAGGTTAGAAATCCATTAAGTTACTTCATTTTGCACCATTTCATCCACAAAGTGAAATAT